CGAGCTGCGTCTTCCTATTGTGTCCGAGGAGGTTCCTTTCAAGGGCTCGATGCGTCGTTCTCAGGGCTCGTTCAGTGGTCTGTGTCGTGGCCCATTAGAATCAATTTTGAATCATAAATTACTTTAAAGCTAATGAATCACCGAATTTTCCCTCTTTGAAAACCTTGTCTATCAAAAAACATTGCCTACTCTTTCATCCCCGAAATCACTCTCGTTAAAGATCCCAAGAGATCTTAAAGTCTGCACTTTTTTTCACATTTCACTTTAGTAAAGAGAAAAGAAATTTGTTTCGAACTCGAGTCGGGAAAAGAATTGAGGGAACAGCTGACTGAAATTGTCCCTTGTTAACCCGTTTCACCGTCACATTTGCTTCATTTCTGATCGCGTGTTGTTGACTAAAATACTTTTAACAACTTTCTTAATTGTTAATTTTAATATTAAAGCTTTTTTAAAATTAGCATTGAAACTTTCTAGCATTGAAACTTTCAAGCCTTAAAAACTTTTATTTTGTTTTATTGGGAGTGGGACAAATGCGACCTTTTTTTTGCGCACCCGGACATTTGCGCACCTTTTTTTCCGCACCTTGCCCATTAGCGCACCTTTTTTCGCGTTTTAAGCTCTAAAAGCTCTAAAAAAAGCTCTAAAAGCTAATATTAACCAATTTCTATTCCAAATGTTGTTTTTCTGGGTAATTTTAGGGCGTAGAATCGAAATTTTGACATAACAGAGCGTGTGGAACCAATTTGAAAGACAAAACGGCTAGATCAAATTACAGAAAATTGTCGATTGTCAATTTTCTCTTTGTATAACCTCGTCCGTTTGTTTCCACAAGCTCTGATATGCCAAAATTTCGATTCTACACCCTAAAATTACCTAGAAAAACAACTTTTGGAATAGAAATTGGTTAATATTAGCTTTTTAGAGCTTTTTTAAGGTGCGCTAATGGGTAAAAAAGGTGCGCTAATGGGCTAAGTGCGGAAAAAAAGGTCGCATTTGTCCCACTCCCGTTTTATTTTGTTTTATTTTGTTTTACCATTCAATTTTTCATCTTCACCACAATTTGCCTCTTTTTTCTTGCCTTTCCTTTTCTTTTCCGCTCTCAATTGTATCTCTTCCCTTCTCCGCCCCTTCAATTTCTCTGTTTTCCCTTTTCTCTTCTCTTCTTTCCACATCAACTCGAGCCGATCATTTGACAGAAAAATTTGACACACTCCTCACTCATTCAAATCCCCATTTTTTTTTTGTTTGTTGCAAAACTGAGATTTCAATCTCTTTCTTTCTCTCTCTCTCTCTCTTTCTCTCTCTGTCTCTCTCAATCTGTAAAGTGACAAGCCACTCAAAAAAAGTTGTCTACTCACTTTGAAACATGGTTTTTTTTCGCAGCAAATCTGTACTTGATCACTTTTTTTTGATTTTCTTGTACACTTTGTGCTCAAATTTTGTTAGAAAACTCTTTCTAGGGCACACAATCCTTCATTTTCAAATGATTCTTGCAAGAAAAATGAAGAATTGAGTGTGTCAACGAATTTTTGCTAAAAACCGGCTTTTGTCTCTTGCTTAAGTTTCAGATTAGTTAACTTCACAATGTTGTTTCTTCATTTAATGCTTTTAATTAATTGATTTAATTTGTTTAATTTTATTTATTTAATTGAATGTAATTGTTAGTTGAAATCTCGGATTTCTGAAAGATTGTGAGACATTTGACAGGCGCCGCGCCCCTTTTGCCATTGGCAATCTAACTTTGAGCTCAAATATCTTGGTGCTAGGCTGTCGAATTTAAATATTCTTGATATCATTGGATGCGTCAAGTCTTTCTCTGTCGATTGGTATAAAAACTATTTCAATTGAACAGCCCAACACCAAGATATTTGAGCTCAAATTTAGAATATCAATGGCAAAGAGGCGGAGCACGTATCAAATGTCCCACAATCAGAATATTTTACTAGTTAGACAATCTTTTGTAGCAAAACAATTGTTCTTTATAATAAAGCAAATCGTAGATCAATCGGTGAATAGATTATCCTTAAAAAGAAGTACTAATTCGAAAGTTGTTAGATAGATAAACGGGATTCAATAGATTCAAACTCGTTCGCCCGGAAGCCATTTCCCAAATAAGCCATTTTTACCAAAAAACGCACTTCCTAAGTGCTATTTCATTCGAAAAATGTGAATTTTAAAAAAAATCGAACGGATCTTTTTGTGTTCTCATTTTTTCCCTCAAAAAGCTTACCTCTGATTCTTGTTTTGAAAAAAATGGGCAATGAAATGTCGTTGGATCGGCCGTTCATTTCGCCAAATGGCCCCCAAGAGAGCTTTTTTTTTCAGCTTTTACCCCTTTTCATCTTTTTCTTTACAAATTTTACAGCTTCTCATTCATTCCACATTTTTCTGACCGATTTCATTACTCAAAATGATTATAAAGTGCCACTTTGGTTTCTTGGTTTACTTTTTTTTAGTTAAAATCTTAGCACTGATCTTACAATTCTTTAGTAGTTGGAAGTTTTGAAATAAAGGTTTCAAAATCTTTAGAGCTCTAAGCTCTAATCGAAATCGGTTTAATTTTCGAATCTTTTTCAAGTATTACTATCCAAAAAGTTTACCAGTACTTTAAAAAAGTTGAAACGCTATTTTTTTTGCAATCGAATGAGCGCTTATCAAAAAACGGAAACCCACAATAATTTGAACAATTTGAGGTTTAATTTACCGCATTTTCTTTAATATTAGTGCCCCTGAGCGTCGCCTAAATACCTCGAAATCTCGAGAACCGCTGATCAGAACCTATCGATGTGGGGTCGGAAAATGTAGCTGACGATGAGATCTAGTGGGGGATTTGAGTGTTGAGCTTCTGTAAAAGCTTGGAAACCGTAAAATAGTCATCAATTCGGCTCGTTGGGGTGTAATACTATTAGAGAAAATACGGTAGACGGTTTCCCGTCATGTTTCCTTTTTGTGTTTTGTGTTTCAATTGAGCCAAAATTGAGTTCAAACTATTTGTTGATGCATTATTGTACCCAAACAGGCTAATACTCGAACAAATTGAAACACCAACATTCCAAATCAAATTTTTCTCTTTATAGATAAAACAAAATTCCCTTTATGGACCAAGAAGCATTGTTGCCCAAAAATTATGAAAGTACTTGAAATAAATTGAAACATCAACATTTCCAATGAGAATTCGGGCTTTCTGTATGATTTTTCATAAATGTTCCAAAAGAACTGTCAAAAGTTCAATAGAATTGTTGCTGTTTCATCTTTTTGGCTTATTTTGCGAACAATAATGAAGCTCAGGAGTGTCTAATTGTAAAACTGTATGAAATTTATTGATTTGGCATTCTGGAATTGATTTTATATTGGATATTTGTTTAAATGACTCGATTGTACTTGACTAACTGCCATAGAAGTTGCGAATTTTGAAACTTAATATTTATTTTAAATTTTGCAATGCTCATTCTTTTGCGTTAACTTCAAGAATTGATCGGTTTTTATCATTTCATTTCAATTACTTTTTCAGTTTCTTTTCTTTCATCGTCACTCTTTCCAATCCTTTCTATTACTTCCTCTCAAATCCTTTTCACGATTTTTTTTTCTTTTTTCCTTTTCCACTTGATTTTTTTTGGTTAAGTCATAAACTTTCACCCGATTGGATTGCCCGGAGCCGGTTCCTTTTTCAACTCCCTCGTCTTTACTTTAATTTATTCCCCATCCACCCTTTCACCTCAACGAAGCAATAAAAAGTTGAAATAAAGCAAAAAGAAAAGCAAAAAGAAACCAAATCGTCAAAGTGACTAATTTGAAACTTAAAAAAAGAAAAAAAATTGATTAAACAATCCCATTTCTCGTTCACCTTTGATATTTTGAAATTCTTTGAATTTGGTTCCCTATCTCTCTAAATTTGGTACCCTATCTGACTAAATTTGGATCCCTGTCTCTTTAAATTTGGTTCCCTATCTGACTAAATTTGGTTCCCAATATTTTTCCTTTTTTTTAAGTTTCAAATTAGTCACTTTGACGATTTGGTTTCTTACCGTAAATACTGTAATAGTACCCCACCCCCCTCGTACAGGCGCGTAGTCGCAAAAGTTTTTTAGTATTTCATTTTTTTCAAAGCGCCCGTACTTTCAAAAAATGCGTCTTTGGTATCAAAAAATAGCTGAAATTCACGGCTATTTTTTGATACCAAAGATAGTGACGGTGCGAAGTGTTGCGTAGTCTAGCTTTGAACGCGTCTTTCTCGACACTGGTTTATGCTACAATGCGCGCTTAGGTATCAAAAAATAGCTGAAATTCAGGGCTATTTTTTGATACCTAAGCGCGCATTGTAGCATAAACCAGTGTCGAGAAAAACTCGTTCAAAGCTAGACTATGCAACACTCCGCATCGCCATTATGGGGGTGGGGTCCAATTACAGTATTTACGGTATGTTATAATGTGTGATTTTAACTTTAAAACTTTAGAATCAATCTTTTCCGTCATTTTTTTTTGTTTTCTTTGTTATCCATCAAATCAAAGCTTTGCAGAAAGCCCTATAGCTCTTAATTCTTTACCTTTCCACTCAATTTGAGCATTCTGCTTAACTAAAAACTTTTAAACTTTGAGCTTAAACTTTTAAACTTTAAGAATTCAAAATGAAAAAATTGAAAAGCAATCAATCTTTATGAAGTCCATTTACAATCCATTTACAAATCAGGTTTAATATTTAGAAAAAAACAGCTTGAGAATGTGAAATTTTTGAAAAGAAATAAGTTCAAAACCTATCTCTCAAGTTGAAGATCAAAATCAGCTTAAACAGAATATTTATTGCCAAGAATGAATTTCAAATTTCACTTTCCTTTTCAACCGAATCAACTTAAACAAACAATTCGGTTCTTTTTCGATTATCGCATAGTTTCATGACTGTTTTTGTTGCTTGGGATGCTTTCAAATTACTCAAAAGTCTAAAATGAAAAGAATTGCAATAAATGTTATGATGTTTTCAGATGTTATGATTGTTTGCGAGCGATATGCGACGAGATTTCGATATTTCATCGATTTTCCCTCTCATTTTCATTTCTTTCACGATCATTTTCTCATCTTTTGCCCATTGTGATGAGAATATTGTTCGAATCGAGGAAAGATTGACGACAGATCGAGAATTCTATGAGAATTGGATGCACCTGGTTGGGCTACAGGTTTGCTTTTTAAAATTGAACAACTTCTTTCAAAAATCTCATCGCAATTACTGTAAAGTTCGTTTGTTTATTACTAGAGTTTGCGGAAAAAGGATTCCGTAAAAAGATTTCGGATTTAAAGTAAAGATTTAAAGTTTTGATTGATTTTAAAATTTGAAAAGATACAAATAGTCATTTTAAAGTTGTTTTAAAGCCTTTTAAAGGCATTTTAAAGTCTTTTTAGTCATTTTAGTCTTTTTAAAGTCTTTTTAAAGTCATTTTAAAGTCATTTTAGTCATTTTAGTCATTTTAAAGTCATTTTAAGGTCATTTTAAAGTCATTTTAGTCATTTTAAAGTCATTTTAGTCATTTTAAAGTCATTTTAAAGTAATTTTAGAGTCATTTTAGTCATTTTAAAGTCATTTTAGTCATTTTAAAGTCATTTTAGTCATTTTAAAGTCATTTTAGTCATTTTAAAGTCATTTTAGTCATTTTAAAGTCATTTTAGTCATTTTAAAGTCATTTTAGTCATTTTAAAGTCATTTTAAAGTCATTTTAGAATCATTTTAGTCTTTTTAAAGTCATTTTGGTCATTTTAGTCATTTTAAAGTCATTTTAAAGTCATTTTAGAATCATTTTAAAGTCATTTTAGAATCATTTTGGTCTTTTTAGAGTCATTTTAGTCATTTTTAAGTCATTTTAAACAAAGAATCATAAAATTTCAACTAATTTTTCAAATTTTAAAGAAATTTCTCAAAAACTCAAGAATTCTTTTGCCTTAAAGTGTCAAGTTTCAACGTTTCAAAGTCAACAGTTTATTGCGCAATGTTTAACACATAAATACATCAAACTCCAACAATCCTCCAACAATTCAACAGTGTTTTTGGTTTTTGAGAATCTTTTTGTAAATCAAAATCAAAAATCAAAACCAAATCCCAATCAAAGCCAAATCCCAATCAAAAGTAGAGTCTTTTCCTCGCGAGCAATGCGTTTTTTCAAAAACGTAGCCTTGGGAAAAATTAGCGTACTTTTAGGGAAAAAATCATTGCAAAATAAGCAAAAAAATTGGCAACAAAAATTGACGCCTTATATGCAAATCCATTTTGAAGATCTTCAGTCGTTTAACTGCTTAACAAATTCAACCATATCATTTGGTGGGGAAATTCCCGTCAAATGTAAAGATATTCAATGTATTTTGGTGTGTAAAGGGGTTACTCGGTCACTCGTTACTCGTAGGAGGGTCACTCGTCCGAATTGAATCATCTAAGATCCAAATTGAATCATCTCAGATCCGAATTGAGTCATACAGATCCGAATTCAATCATCTCTCATCTCAGATCCAGGTTCAATCATCTCAGATCCAAATTGAGTGATGTCAGATCCAAATTGAATCATCTCAGATCCAAGTTGAATCATCTCAGATCCAAATTCAATCATCTCAGATCCGAATTGAGTCATATCAGATCCGAATTCAATCATCTCTCATCTCAGATCCAAGTTCAATCATCTTAGATCCAAATTCACCGATACCAGATCCGAGTTGAATCAAGTCAGATTCAAATTCACCTTTTTGCCATTCAAAAACGTTGATTAAGCGAGTAAATATTAGTCAAGCAACTCTCATTTATTCGCAAGTAACTCACTATACTGTTCATTAAAACCGCTTTTTGTCGTTTTCAATATCCCAACTTTGAAACACATTTTTTTACAAATGACAAGACGTTCTAAGCTATCTAATTTTTTGCTTTTATACCGATTTTCACAACCGATTCCTAGCTCATACCTTTAGCGAAAGCCGTCGAATTTGGAACAAGAGGAAACGCTTTAAATCTATCCTTGATTTCTAAAACCCCAGTTTAGTTATTTTTCAGGTAGACTTTAAAGTCAACCATTCAGAAGATAGAAGATTTTCTAGGTTCTCGGTCACAAAGCTCTAGCTTTCTTCTCTACGTCTACAGTACTTGATCATCCAGTAATCCAGCTCATCCAGTAATCCAGATCATCCAGTACTCCAGATCATCCAGTAATCCATATCATCCAGTAATCCAGCTCATCCAGTACTCCAGATCATCCAGTAATCCAGATCATCCAGTAATCCAGATCATCCAGTAATCCATATCATCCAGTAATCCAGATCATCCAGTAATCCATATCATCCAGTAATCCAGATCATCCAGTACTCCAGATCATCCAATAATCCAGTACAAATTTTAAGCACCAAACTTATCAAATTTCTTGTCTTTTTCTCAGTTTTTCCTTTATTTTCAAAAATCTTTTCTTAAATAAGATCCCTTCATTTTCTTGGCAAACACTCTGTCTAATCTATTGAGCTTTTTCTAATAGCCGAAAAAATGAAACCGCCAAAAAAATTTTTGAGAAGGTTTTGAGGAGAAAATGAAAACCGCCGACACTCTTCGAAGAGTGTTTTGTTTGCCAAAGTCCTTCACATCGTAAAAATTTCTTTTTTTTTCTGTCTTTTTACCTGACAACCGATTGGTTTTTGAGGGAAATGGGATAATAATTTTTCAAGGAAATTTTCACCAAAACTTATCGGGGGAAAGCACGTGGAAAACTAGTTCAAAATAGTTAAACTATTAGATGTGTGAAAAAGTAATCCACGTTTTTAACGTTTAAATATAAAAGACCATAAGTTTCGTTAAAATAATTTTTATTCAACGAAGTAATCACCATTCGAAAGAAGAATCTTTTGCCAACGTTCTACAAGTAAAGACATTCCACGATAATAAAAATCTTGGTCCTTAGAGGCGAAGAAAAGATCAACCTCGGTTTTGACATCTTTTTCGGAATTGTCCAATTCCGGAATTGTGTTTATTGACCAAAAAGTTAGACAGAGACAAAAATAAATAATAATCAGATGGAGAAAGGTCTGGACTATAAGGTGGATGTGGTAAAACCTCCCATCCAACACTCTGGATTTTTTGTCGAGTCTGTAAAGAGAAATGTGGTCGCGCGTTATCGTTCATGCGGTATCCATTTGTCCAACTTTTTGATAAAATTTAGGGCATTCAAGCGTTTCCTTACGGTTGACCCATCACAATTTAATGTAAGGCCTATTTCTGAAGAGGTTCAACGAGGGTTTTCGAGAAGACAGCGTCTTGTTTGGTCATCAGATAAAAATAAAAAACGTGGATTACTTTTTCACACACCTAATAGAAAAGAAATAAATGTTTCAAAAAGTTTGCTATATCAAATGGCTTTACCGGCTTTTTCTTTTAATTTTTAATTTCAGATCATTTTTGAAAATAGAGACAATTTTCATTTGCCAAAATTTATAAATTAAGAAAAAATTTTGCTGAAAATCAAGGTTCCAAAATTTGTTGCATAAATCGATTTTGCTCATGTTTAAACAAATAAAATATCTTTGTAAACATTTAAAAACAAAGCCGTGACAGATTTCGGGGTTTATTAGGTCAAAAACTTATAATTTAAATGTTCGAGAAGAAAAAGTGAGCAAAAAAAAAACGAAGTTTCAAAAAACTGGATATGAATTTGGTCTTCTGCGCCACGTCGTTGGATTTTTTCGAATTTTTTTTCTTTAATTAGAATACTACATTTCTTTTCTTTTTTAACTTGGAATTTTCTGGAATTATTTCTCAAATTCTTTTTTTTTGACAAGAAGCTAGCTTTTCCCAACGGACAATTGATAACTTATCTTTCCGATTCCGACTGACACTGACAATAAGCAATTCTAATAAAGCAATTCTAATCATAAAGCAATTCTAGTAAATTAATTCTAATAAAGCAATTCTAATAAAGAAATTCTAATAGAGCAATTCAAATAAAGCAACTCTAATAAAGAAATTCTAGTAAAATAATTCTAGTAAAGAAATTCTAATAAAGAAATTCTAATAAAGAAATTCTAATAAAGTAATTCTAGTAAAGCAATTCTAGTAAAGCAATTCTAATAAAGAAATTCTAATCATAAAGAAATTCTAATAAAGAAATTCTAATCATAAAGCAATTCTAATAAAGCCATTCTAATAAAGCCATTCTAATAAAGCAATTCTAATAAGATTGTTTTAATTTTAAAAGCACCAAAAATAATTCCAGGCCCAAGAACTCGAGGAGCAGTCCGACGATTTCCCGATCGAGAGCGACAAAATCTACCTGAACTTGACGCAATGTCGGCGAACGAGCGCCGAGTATCCTGATCATGTTGATTACATTAGGTGAATGATTTGAACTTGAAAATGATTTGTGTCTTAAAATTAAAAATTTGTGGACAAACTATGGACAAACTTATGGCAGTTGAAAAAAATCATGTTTCAAATAAAAGAACCATTGAGCTTTTCAAAATTATCCAATGCGGTGAGTTGCTCGTGTCTATCCCGGAGATAAAAGTGTTTAGCTGACAAAACTGAATATCTTTTTTGACAAATCAAGAGGCCAACAAGACAAATCAAGAGGCCAACAAGGCCAACAAGATAAATCAAGAGGCCAACAAGGCCAACAAGAGGCCAACAAGACAAATCAAGAGGCCAACAAGGCCAACAAGACAAATCAAGAGGCCAACAAGGCCAACAAGATAAATCAAGAGGCCAACAAGGCCAACAAGAGGCCAACAAGACAAATCATGAGGCCAACAAGGCCAACAAGATAAATCAAGAGGCCAACAAGGCCAACAAGAGGCCAACAAGACAAATCATGAGGCCAACAAGGCCAACAAGATAAATCAAGAGGCCAACAAGGCCAACAAGAGGCCAACAAGACAAATCAAGAGGCCAACAAGGCCAACAAGACAAATCAAGAGGCCCCTTGTTATAGGACTGGATTATCTGCTTGTTTCAAGCGATTTGTCGAAATAGAGCTTGTTTTTAAAGCACTTTTATTAGCTTAGAATTGGCAAAAAACTATTAGCGGATATATGAGAATTTTATTTTATTTGAAAACAAAAAAACCCCAAATTCCTGGAATAAACGTCATTAGTTAAAAAATGAAATTCAACCACTCGATAAAGTGTCCTGTTTCAAGTTTAACGGCTTTCAATCAACAATGAAACGATCAATTAGTCGAGCTGTGAGATGATCAAATATTGGAAATTTGAAACACAACTTTTTTCTGTGAAAATTATTCGAGTTTCAAACTTTTATATGTAATAACACTAGAAAAATGTGTTCTATGAGGATTTTGGGACTTTATTTTATGTCCCGCATGAGTTTAGCTTATTCTAGTTTTATTTTTAAATTCACTTCTTTCAGTGTCCTTTCAGCCCTTTACAAGAATGTTCAAAAGTGTTGAAATTGAAACAAAATGAAACAAACAAAACAAAACAAACAAAACAAAACAAAACAAACGAAATTGAAACATTAAAACTGAGCAGTTTCTGGATTTTTCTCTGAAAAACTGAGTAAATTGTTTAACTAAAATGAGGCGAAAAGTTGGTTAGGAGCCTGCTCTGCGTGTTGTCCGGGTCTTTACGGAAAATAACGATGGCAAGCTTCATTACGATTCATTACGTTTCATTACGATGGCAAGTTCAATTTTGTACCCATGAAATTTGAAACACAATTTTTTTTCTGTGAAAATTATTTGAGTTTCAAACTTTTATATGTAATAACACTAGAAAAATGTGTTCTATGAGGATTTTGGGACTTTATTTTATGTTCCGCATGAATTTAGCTTATTCTAGTCTATCCTACTCTCCATATAGCCAATTCATGCCTTTATTATTGACCTTTCTAATGAAACAAACCCTAGTTTCATTCGTGCATTTGTTGATTTTAAACGGAAGTACGAAAAGGAATGAAAAGACTTTCTGGACAGCTAAATATTTTGTTGAATGCTATGCTAACGACAAAGAAAAATTAAGTTAGCATCATCTTTCTCGGACTGTCAACTTTGAAACATTATCTTTTGCAGGCCCGAAGACGTCTCGATTTACGCGGAGATCGGCCACCTCACGCGCTATTGTTCCCACAATTTCTCTTTACTGCAAGCAGGTTGAGTTCTTTAGATGTTCTCAAAGTTGAAAAATCTATTACTAATCGATGATTTTTGTCTGTAATGCAGAAAACATGGTCTTCAGCTATCAAAAACTAAAATCGAAACTGAAAATGAGCTTTTGTGCAATCGAAAAGTAAATGTTTCAAACTAAAGAATGATAATTAAATCCGCAACTATCTAGTCTTGTCGTATTTCGACTTGTTAAAACTTTCCCATAAGCTCTTTAGATTTCATTTTGATCGTTAAAGACCATTTTTTCAAATTTCTGAGTACTTGTTCTGGAAAGATTGCGGTCAATTTACATGTAATTTTCATGTGTTTTCAGGGATTCTCGACTCGTGCCAACACCGGGGTGCCGACGCTGAATCGCCGACAATAGAGAAATTGTTGCGGCTTTTTGCTGACAATCTCACTGTCATCAATGCGAATCAGAGGGATGATCCGTTGAGGGATCAAGCTAGGTAAAAGAAATCACACACGATCCACTACCCAAAGTCAAGTTTGTTTAAAGTTGAGTAGTATTTATTCCAATAGAAGCACATGTGCTTCTATTTCTCAACACCCAGCTGGGGTGTGCTTCTTTTAGTGAGTGTGCTTCTATTTTTCAACTCTTGTCTACAGGGTGACCAAGAATTACCGCAACACACAAAAGGCCTGGCTTTTAACCAAAGATGCAACCCATCTCGAAAAGTTAACTTAAAAATCTTTATTCAACATATAACAGTAACAAATTAACAATTAAATTCAAATTTGCCTCCATCGGCATTCAGACAGGCCTGCAAACATTTGGGAAACGCGTTGACCGTGGCGAGCAAATAGGCATCATCGAGGGTATCCCATGCTTTGATGAGCGTCTTCTTCAAACTTTCGATATTTTTATGTGATTGTGTTGACGGAGCTTCTCTTCAGACCCATTTTCTGTGCCATTCCTCGAGCCGATTGGTTAGGGTTTAATCTTAGACGATCGCGCACTTTCTTGACATTAACCGGAGTAACCGCTGTTCGTTTTGCACCTCTTCCAGGGCGATCAGAAACTGTGCCCAGAGTTTCATAACGTTGAATGGTTCGAGAAACGAGGCTTCTGGGGACATTCAGGCGCGTTGAAATCTCGTTCGCCTGAACACGCTGCCGCTTGAGCTCAAGGATCGATTGTCGATGTGGAGACGCTTTCACCATTCCTGAAAACAACCATACTAATGTATTGAAAGTTAGTAATCATACCATAAAATAAGAAAGATACACAAAAACCATAAAAACAGGTAAGCAAAAAGTGAAATGGAGCTCATAACATAATACGATGTTGTTGCGGTAATTCTTGGTCACTCTGTAAAAACTCTAGGAGTAAATTGAAACATTTCACAAATGTGCGATTTTGGCAAACGGCCAAAATTTTCCAAAATCGTAATCTTTTATTCCGACCAGATCCGAGAATTCATTTATTTCTAAAAAGAAAAAATTAACAATCCGAGACGTAGGAAATGTGCGATCGAGAAGGAATAGGAAAAGATAAAAATCCGAGAATCCGAGAAGAAAGTTTGTATCATTTCATAAATTTCCGAAAACAGCGCTTTTATTGGAATAACTTGAAACATGAAACAAAAAAAAGCCCATTTGTTAAAGAACTGATATAGCACATCCATTTCACTTGTTACCAACTTGCATTTCGCATTTTTACATCTTCCACTTTCTAAAAAGGACTTCTTCCCAAAAACTATCCATCCACCAGTTTCCATTTGATCAGTTCAATTTTGGTATCATTGACTAAGCCTTATGATCCCTTCATTAAAACTGACCAAAATTAGGCTCATTGAATGAAAACTGACCGGTGGATTACGGTAGTTTGTTTAAAATAGATATCTTTTAGAAAACTATTTATATTAACGAGCATCAAAGCCATAACTTCAGGGCTATCGGAGAAGCGGTGCAAAAAATCGACGACTATGACAAAAAGTGGAAGTTGATCGTGGTGGTGCCGAGTATACAGGTTTCAAATTTCTTTTTCTTTTTCTCTGAAAGGTTTTTCTCTGAAAGGTTTTTCTCTGGGGATTCGAACTCACTACAAGAATTCGATCCGTTTTTTTTCGTATTCGTACAATTCCGTAGCACACTACCCGCTAGGCCACTGAAATTGACAACACCATTGAAAGAGAACCGTCAAACTCTGCTCAAAAGTGTATAGCAAAAACTTTGATGCCAGGAAATCTCGCGTTTACGATCAATTCAGCAGATTTTGATTACAGATTCAGATTCCCCATTCGATTTTCTATTGGATAGGATGAGTCTCATTTCGAAATCCTACGATGACCTAGTACTCTTCCCTAATGAGACCCATTAATCGCTTCTTATAAGATTTTATAGATTCAAATGTTTTCAACTGGCTAAAAAACACTCAGCACAGAATTGGCAGTACTCAAAACTTTAAATCTTCTAAGAATTTCCCATCATTTTAGGATGGTGAGGCCAGTGAAACTGGACAAACGGCTGTCGAAGTGTTGGCGATGATCGAGGAAATGGAGATCCAACTCCCACTCCGAACACTCATCCTCATTGTCGAGAATTCGGGTAAGCTCTTGATTTCAGGCCAGCTCTGTTTTTATCCTCAAGTTTAATTTGTGTGAAAACTTGAATCGAAAAAAAGCCTGTAGGTGAGATTTGGTTACAAAATAAGCGTGGAAAAATCAGCCTTTCAATATCATTTCTAAACCCTCACAGAATCAGACAAAAAAAGTGATAGATTGGATAAAAATAGAGACAAGATTACGATAGAGAAAAGGGACATGTTTTAGGAAAGAGAAATACTGACAATCAAGAGAGATACTGAAAAAAGCATCAAGTTTCAATAGTCAAAGTTGCAGCAATGGAATTTGCTGTCGAAATTTGTTGACCAAGACAAGTTTGCAAAAATGCCGAACAAGTTGAGACGTGCTTTTCTCATTCAGTAACTTTAGCATCATCTAATTAAAGAATTAACTAATATCTAAAGATTTACAGTATAAGTTCGCAATTTTTTTTAGGTAAAGAGATCTGGGCGGACGCCTCGCATTCGCACGCCGCATGTCGTCAAATGTTGTCCCGTTGGAAAGCGCATTCGCATTTTAACGCCGAAAATGTTTGGGATCAGGTGGGGATTTTTGGGAGAGTAGGATAATGATAAATAAAGAGTTCAAACAATTTCAAACTACAATTGAAATCATTTTTTATTTATGAAGCTACAGTACTGGACAATGAAATGAAAATTCATAGCTTTAAAGCTTTATAGCTTGATATCTTGATATCTTTATAGCTTTATAGCTTGTATCTTTATATCTTTATACGCTACTGGACAATGAAATATCATACTTGAAAAACGAAATCATCACTTTCGCACGTCTGTAACTCCCTTGTTTTTACCGTATTTCTAAATATTAATATTACCATTGTGTAGCCCTTGAAAAGAGCTTTCCAGAAAATGTATAACACTAATAGTTTAAACTCAAAGACAAGGGAGTTACAGACGTGCGAACGTGACGATCGTTTTTCAAATATGATATTTCATTGTCCAGTACTGTACGTGAACGATTGATTACTATTGAAAAAAACAACGATTAGTGAATTACGGTTGAGAAATCATTTCCCACTTAAGATAAGTTGAAACACAAACTTTCACTTGTAGCTATCAGCTGTAGAAATCATTTAAAAATATGTAAATGAAAGAGTTTCAAATTAAATACTTTAAAATCTAAAAGAATATTTTAAAAGCAGCCTTTTCCAGGTGCGCATCATCGCAAAGAAAAACTTTCGCAAAGCGAACTTCTCCGTGGAATTCCTGCCGCTTCTCAAAAACGCCTCGTTGATACATTTGCCGGACGCGTAAGTGCTAATAATAAAGAAAAATGATTATATAAATAAGCGAGGAATCCGGTAGCTTTTTAATTATCGTAGAGCATTTAACCTGCTGTTTTTTATTAAGCTTTCTGGATGGATCCAGAAAGTCTGGAAAACATCGACAGTTTGAAGTTTAGCACAATTTAAGCCAGCTCTAGTTTTAAATTCCTCAATAGTAAATCCACCAATTAATCTATGGTTTTCTAGAAATAAAAAGTGTTTATTGTTGAATTTTCCATCTTTTTAAGCCAATTTCGGTTTACTTTTGGGCAAATTCGATAGTGAAAACACGTGTTTTTCGCAAAAAATCTATAAAAACCTCTACGAAGAAATTGGCTGAATGAATTTCGCTGAAAATTTGGCTATATACCTAACGCTTTGTGCTCTATCTTTTATCTATTGACACGAAGATAGGTTTCTTTAGCTAAAGTGTCTAAACCGTATCATCGAGCCGTCTTTTTGACTACCCGACTTCACGCTTCCAAAAAAATCCATGCATAAGACCTTTTTAAAGCCGTTTTAATGTTAGTTGTTAATTGGGCCAAATAATTGGGCTTTCTAATGAAATAAACTGTTTTCAATTCGTGCATTTGTTGGTTTTAAACGAAAATATGAAAAGAAACGAAAAGACTTATTCACTAATATAAAGTTGTTGCTAAAAGCTCCGGTATTGAGGAATTTGAATCTAGACCTGGAATAATTTGTGCTAAACTCCAAACTGTCGATGTTTTCCAGACTTTCTGGATGGACAACTTAATGCAAAACAATAGGTTGAATGCTCTACGATAATTAAAAAGCTACCGTATCCCTTGCTTATTTGTATAAAAAAAAGAAAAATGAAAAACCTGTGCATAAGCCTTAAAATGATATCGCATATGATTCAAAGCAAGTTTAGCAAACGGTGTCAAAATTCTGGTTTCTGATAATCTGATAAAAAAACTTGGATAAGGCTTGGAATAAGGAATAAACTTGAATAAGCTAAACTAAAATAAAGTCCCAAAATTCGCATAGAAAAGGTTTTTCTAGTGCTATAGCATATAAAAGTTTGCAACAGAAATAAATTTTCACAGAAAAAAAAACTGTGTTTCAAATTTCGTTGCTTCAAAATTGAGGCAGCCATTGTAATGAAATGGCAATCGCTGGCATTGTAATTAAAATATCTAAAGCTTTAAATGGCTTGCTGAACGATATGGAAGTAGAAAATCATCTTTAAACATTTCCAATTGTAAAAAAACGTTTTATTTTGACCTTTTCCAGAATGGACTTATCGGTGCTCGGCTATGATTGTGCTCATTTCTCGGAACGTGGCCTTTCACTTTTGCATACGGGTGAATTTTTGAAATAACATTTTAAACAATTAAAAACAATTAAAAACAATTAAAAACAATTAAAAACAATACAAAACAATTCAAAACAATTCAAAACAATTAAAAACAATAAAAAACAATTAAAACAATAACATTACAGTAAAAACAATTAAAAACAGTTAAAAACAGTTAAAAACAGTTAAAAACAATTAAAAACAATTTTAAACAATTAAAAACAATTAAAAACAATTCAAAACAATTAAAAACAATTCAAAACAATTAAAAACAATTAAAAACAATTCAAAACAATTAAAAACAATTAAAAACAATAAAAAACAATTCAAAACAATTCAAAACAATAAAAAACAATTCAAAACAATTCAAAACAATAAAAAACAATTCAAAACAATTAAAAACAATTCAAAACAATTCAAAACAATTCAAAACAATTAAAAGCAATTAAAAAGCAATTAAAAACAGTTAAAAACAATTAAAAACAATTAAAAACAATTAAAAACAATTAAAAACAATTAAAAACAATTAAAAATAAATACTATCTATATCAAATATTATAGAAATTTGATCATTTGAATAAAGAAAGAAAATTGTCAATTGTAGAAAGGGTGATGGGACAAATGCGACCTTTAGTCTGTCGCCCAATGGAATGTGATCTTTTACATGACAACGGTGATCTATTTGATCGGAGCTTTTATGTATGCAAGATGGGCATCGGGAGAGATTGAACCGTGGGCTTCCGAGCATATGCCTTTTGCTTCGGAGCTACAATAAAGTGCCTCGAAGCTACCAACAGAGATTCGCGTGACTCCGCGTGACAAAAAGGTCGCATTTGTCCCACTCCCGTAGAAAGCGAGAAAGCCACATACTAGCAATTGAACAGCTTCTTTTACGTCCTAAACTTTGAAACAAACAATTTGTAATATCTCGAAGAGTCTGAACAGTCTAGTATGTCACCTGTCATTGCCTGGGTTTCTTTTTCGATGTTACTCGTGTAGACCAGTGCCTTTGGTGTGCCCGGGTAAAGACGGAGTCTATAATGGTGAAAATGAAAATCAATCAATCAATGAAAATCAATCTAATAGGTTGATGCATAAGTCTTTTCGTTTTTTTCGTACTTCTGTTAAAAAGTAACAAATTCACCAATTAATCTATAGTTTGCTCTATAAAAAAAAGTGTTTTTTTGTTCAATTTGCATCTTTTTAAATGAATTTCGGTTCACTTTCAAGCAAATTCGAGAGTGAAAAACGCCTTTTTCGTAAAAATCTATAAAAAACTCTACGGAAAAATTGGCTGAATGAATTTCTCTGAAATTTTGGCGAAATATCAAACTTTTTTTTCTCTATCTTTTATCTATTGACACGAAGATAGGTTTTCTTTAGCTAAGGTGTCTAAACCGCATCATCGAGTTAGCCCTTTTTGACTACCCGACTTCATACTCTCAAGAAAATCCAGGCATTAAATATTTTTAAACCCGTTTTAATGTTATTTTGCAGAAAAATAATTGCTTTTTCTAATGAAATCAACCGTAGTTTAATTGGTGCATTTGTTGGCTTGAAACGGCAGACGAAAAGGAACAAAAACACTTATGCATCAACCTAATATATCAATATTATAGAAATTTAATCATTTGGATAAAGAAAGTAAATTGTAAATTGTAGAAAGCCAGAAAGCTCTATACTAGCAATTGAAAAGCTTGTTTTACCTGATAAACTTTGAAACAAACAAATTTTCACTTTATTTAACAACTGTAATTCTTTAATATTTCGATGATATTTTATAAATTAACTTTAAAAGTCGATTCTGCCTTATAAAGCTTGAGTTTTCAAATCAAATTTCAAACACTGAACCCACTTTTAGGTATTTGGAATGAAATGTGGGCAAAAACGAGTCAACGAAGTCGACAGTGGCGCCCATTGCCGCAAAGGGTAAGTGAAAGTTAAAATTTCAAAGTAAACAAGACAGTAAATGTATGTTTTTCGTCAATGATGCCTTAAAGCTCTCTCTAAATTATCCAAATCGTTAACAAGTTCAATTTTGATGCAAAGAAAGCAATAATAAGGGCTTGAAGGAAATATGGGAACAAACAACAAAACATTTTTCTTCAGATACTTTGCCCGGATCCTCGTTGCCCGTTCATTCGTACCGAAATCAACAGCGAGATTTGTATTTGGAACGAGATTGAGGTGAGCAATCGGAAAAGAAAAGTTTCAATGTAAGGCTAATGGAGTTTCTGCTTTTACAGATAATCCCCGTGGAATTCTAAGACACTTGGGCCTATTTTCAGACAAAAACTACCGTAATCCAGCAGCCAGTTTTCATCCGATCACCTCAATTTTGGTATCATTCAATGAGGAATCACATGGCACAATCAATGATACCAAAATTGGGCTGATCGAGCGGGAACTCGGGGAAGGATTACGGTTACTTTTCTAATATGTAGAAAGTGTACTAAATAAGAGAAACACAGCCTATTTTTGACTTATCAAAGACTTTTGAATTACCAACTTTCCAGAGTTGGGTCTCTCCACTTCCGCCCGAGCTGATCGCTTTGGCCGTGCTCGTGTTGGCCGTTTTGTTGACGGTAAAGAAAAATTTCATTAATCGTAGAAAACGAGAGCTTTTGATCGATATTGAGTCAAATACTCAAGTAAATCTAACAAATTTTCGAAGAAAAACCCTCAAACGATAATACTGTTGGGGTGATCGTTGTATGCTGATCGCTGTTGGGATGATTATCAGTATCGTTGTAAAGAGCCTCATTCAATACACGATAAATCTAGTGATAATGGTTAGAAAAATATGGAAAGTACCTACCGTAAATACTTTAATAGTACCGGGCACCCCCCTCGTACAGTCTCGTAGTCGCAAAATTTTTTTAGTATTTCATTTTTTTCAAAGCGCCCGTACTTTCAAAAAATGCGTCTTTGGTATCGAAAAATAGCTGAAATTCAGGGCTATTTTTTGATACCAAAGCGCGCCTTGTAGCATAAACCAGTGTCGAGAAAAACCCGTTCAAAGCGAATACACACCCCCGGCCCGCATTGGGGGGGGATGGGATTTACGGTAGCTATTTTTATTAGCTATTAGCTTACTATTAGCACAATATTATGTACGATTATCAGTAATATTATGTACTTAAGTTTTTTACAAACAAAACTCTGTCATAGCTTGTTTTCTTTTTCCCTTTTCTCAGGTCACAAAACTGGTCGTCGATGGATCATTTATGAGTCGCCTTAAATATCAAAAAATAGCGGAAATTCAGAGCTATTTTTTGATACCTAAGCGCGCATTGGAGCATAAATCAGTGTCGAGAAAAACCCGTTCAAAGCTAGACTACGCAACACTCCGCACCGTCATTATGGGGATGGGGTACTATTACAGTATTTACGGTATCTCTTTGCTAGCTGCGAGAAAAAGGCATCATAGATATAAAATAAAGAAATTCAAATTCAAAAACGCATAATTGGCAAAGTGCTAACTTTTGCTCTATTTTGAGACCGATATTTTTGAAATGCCTCAAACGATTCAACTAAGGGATTGGTTTTATCACCGTAATGTTATTACCTATTTAAATACTTTAGAGTATTTGTATTTTTCCATTTTTCTAAACACAAATCACGGAAAATCAACTGAAATTTGCCACTTTTTATACGCGTTTAAAATTTCGGCTCATTTTGTTTTTGATTCATCATTCACCAACGATAAACAAACAACATTGTGCTTATGATTGAGCGCGATTATGATAACGATAACTTTGTGACACATATCTTTTAGCCAAGCAACCATTCAAACGATCGCTTTAAAAGCAAAGCTAATAATGAAATCGAAAGCACAAAACTTAAATTCCAAATATTTTGCTTCCAAATATTTGCTACAAAAAAATGATCCTTTTTCAGATTTGCCTTCTCGTTTGTTTGTGCATGCATAGAGCGCCACGGTTGCGGAAGAAACCACTTCACTCGTTCGGATCAACATTTAGCAGCATTCGTTTCATCGATGAGGATATTTAGATTTAGACAAAATGTGTACAATACTTTTTTTAAGATTAAGAAAAAGTGAATCAAAATTTCTATAAAATCAAAATCCCTATCAAATCAAAATTAAAATTTGTCTGTCACCTGAAATCATTGAATTAAAAATGATAAGTCTTATAATAAAGGCTCAACTTTGAAACATCACTTTTTCATTTCAAAATTTAACCGAAAGATTTTAGCGCCTTTATCCTTGTGAAACTCTCAAAATTTTCAAGCTATCCCAATAATTTTTAGGTTTTTTTCTTTGTACCCAAATTTCCTTTCGAATCTCATTTCCGGGGACAAATGCGACCTTTTTTTGAGCACCTGGGCATTTGCGCACCTTTTTTTTTGCTGGAAAAGGCCTTAGGAAAGGTCGTAGAGCTTCGAAAATATTTCCATATAAGTGAATCGTATGCGTAGATTCCGAATTTCGACAAATCAGACCTCGCTGACACCTCAAATTTGGGCTAAAAGGCAAAAACTGCGGAAAAGCGTTAAGTTGCGTAGTTTTTGCCTTTTAGCCCAAGTTTGACGTGTCAGCGAGGTCTGATTTGTCGAAATTCGGAAGCTACGCATACGATTCCCTTCTATGGAACCATTTTTGAAGCTCTACAACCTTTCCTAAGGCCTTTTCCAGCAAAAAAAAGGTCGCATTTGTCCCACCCCCATTTCCGCTCTTCAGTCCCAAAAAAAAAGAAAACTTTACGCTTAAACATCTCACTTTTGCCTTCTATTTTGATGTGTGCAATTCTTTTTGTACCTTATTTTGTACCTTTTGTACCTTTTTGTACCTTTTGTACCTTTTTTTACCTTTTCCCAAATTTAAAACTCTTGTGATTTTTTTGGGAGCTTTTCTCAAATTTTTTTGCTAATTTTGAATTTCAAAAAACAGATTTATTACCAAAAAAAAAAGGCAAATCATGCGAAGCGAGCGAAGAATTAGGCAAAAAAAAAACATTCTCTTTTCTGTGGCTGATTGAAAATCATTGAAATCTTTAAATCTTTTTAAATTTTGCAAGAAGAGGGAAATTTTTGAATCAAACACGCGAGGAAAGCTCATCGAAAGAAGAGAAGAAGAAGGAGGCTGAAATTTGAAAAATTTGGATAAATTTTTGATGTAGATCATCAAAATCGTTTTTGACGTCCATTTTCATCTGTTGCTGTTGGCAATTTAAGGATTTTCGTGTTTTTCTCAGCACCAACCTATCGATTTCGACTATTTTGATTATCATGCGATGGAGAATAAAATTGCGCGTCGAATGATACTAAAATCAACTCAAAATGTAATATCTACGTAAAGTTGTTGGCTAAAAACCTAAACCCCCGCCCATTATGGGTGGGACTTAACTTTTTTCCTCATAGCTTTGCATGGATATTAAATTTTGAGTTATCTTTGGTATCATTCGATGCGCAATTTCCTTCCGCATCAAATGACAGTCAAAATCGAAGGGTTGGTGCTGAGAAAAACACTAAAAACCATAAATTGCCAATGGCAAAAAGGACAAACAGGTGTTTTCGTTGGCAAGTCTACTGTACAGTCCCGATCTCTTGTCTCACTACAGTAACCCGAAATAAAAAGCTATGCCGCGTTTTTTTTTAAAGGATTTTGAAAGCTATTCAGTCAACTACTTGATCACTTTTAATTCGGTATACTCTAATAAGACCGTAGCTCGACCTTACAGGACTTTACAGGACTTTACAGGACTTTAAACTGTTTCTGAAATTTTCCAATGTTTCAAAATTTCGGTGGTCAGCTGCTCCGCCCAAAAGTTAGTGATTTCTACCTTTCATTTGGTAATTTGCTTAAAAATTACCCCAATTTTTTTAAAAGTTTTTGTTTTAAACTCCTTACTAGGGATCGTTGTTTATTTACCACCGAGTTTCAAAGACCTAGCCTATTTTGTAGCAAATTCTTCGATGATTCCGAATATCTAGGTCGTTTGTGTTCGCTAACTGGCAGGATTCTTACCAGTTAGGGAATTCACAATGATTAGTGTGAATTCCCTAACTGTGTTGGGTTCAAATTTTCGATTTAAATCCGTTTGAAGTTTGTGTGTGCAAAGAAAAGAGAGTTTTTGCGTATTTCACTATTTATCTGACCGCGCAAGTATCAAGCTATCTTGCATAAAAGTTTTAGAAATCCCCTCTGCAAAGAGCAAAAGTTTTACCCAGGTCCAGGCTCGAACCAGGGCCTAACGCATTTACCACTTGGCCACGATCAGGATCGCTTGATCGCTTGATCGCTTGATCGCTTGATCGCTTGATCGCTTGATCGCTGGATCGCTTGGTCGTTTGATCGTTTGATCGCTTGATCGTTTGATCGCTTGATCGTTTGATCGCTTGATCGCTTGATACTCGCCTGGTCAGACAGATAGCGCAACACTCGAAAACTCCTTTTTGAAACAAAAACTTCAAACGGATTTAAATCGAAAATTTGAACGCATTACACACAAGCGACCTAGATATTCGGAATCATCGAAAATTTGCTTCAAAATAGGCTAGGTTCTACTTCAAAACTTGGCGATAAATAAATAACGACAGTTAGTGAAAACTTGATAAACCAAAAACATATCCACCTTTCAATTCCGTTTAAGGCGTTCGCTCGTAAACCCGCACGCTTTTCACACCATTGCTTTCGCACACCTGAACGAGAAATGATTTCAGAAGAAGAATTAGTTTTGCGGTTAATCGTTTAAATTTGGATTACTCAAAACGGTTTTCTTTGAAAGATTGTCAAGTGATTGTTCAAACTCTGTTCAAATCATTAGCTCTTAATTTCCTCAAATTTCAATTCAATTCCAATCACTCCGCCAAACTCGAAACACCCACAATTTTGAGCTTTCCGTCCTCGAGGAAACGCTCGAATCGGCTGTTCTTTCCGTTTTCGCCTTTCTCCTCCTGGATCAACTTGTCGCCATCGACCGAGAATTTCGCTTTCACCTAAAAAATGGAAAAGAATTAGCTTATCTAAGCTTAATACAGCAAATCTTAATCAATTAGCTCAAGTAGCTTAATCAAGCAAATCAATTAGCTTTTTTTATCTGTCTTCGCATTCAGGTGTTCCTATTTGCGCAGATCACAACCTGCTTCCACATTTCTCTATCCCTTGCTATTGTTATCCAGTGTTTCCTATCTTGATTGTTCCTGGTTCGAAGTCTTCGACTTGCTTGTGCTGGTGGTGGTTGCACTCTAGCCATCCTTTCTCTGACCGTCTCTGCCACTATTGTGTTCCACCTCGTTACTGGTCTTCCGATGGGCCTCTTCTGGTCCGTATCGTTCATCTGTCGTCTGTTCTTCTGGCTACGTGGCCAGCCCATCTGAGTCTTTTTCTCTCAATCACTTCCACTGGATTTCTGAGTCCGGAGAGCTGGCGCATATCCGTACTTCTTAGGTCTTGGTCGAGCTGCGTCTTCCTATTGTACCCGAGGAGGTTCCTTTCAAGGGCTCGATGCGTCGTTCTCAGGGCTCGTTCAGTGGTCAGTGTCGTGGCCCAGGTCTCTGTCCCGTAGCAGAGTGCCGGGAGGACGGTGCTGTCGAAGAGGTGAAGAGGTGAAGAGTCCTCTGGTGATTCTTGAGCATCTTTGTGCTTATCAATTAGCTTAATACAGCAAATCTAATCTTATACTGTGCTTTGTGCTCAAGTGCTCAGCATTGTATTTTTCATTTATCCATGCAGTAACGACTCGCGTCACAAAAAAGAAAGATCACATATCTTGAATGCGCCAGAGAGAGCGTTTTTACAAAATTTGAGCACAAAATGAACACTGCTTGAACTTATTCAGGACTGAATCAAAAATAATTGGCTTCTGTTTTGTAGAAAACGCAATACCAATTGCGACAAATTTAGATATTTAAATAAGTAGCTTGTTTTTCGTATTTTCAAATCTTTACCTTTCTTCCATCAGCCGTTTCCCCGTCGAATTCCTTGTCCATCACCCATTTCACGGTGAACGTCTTGAAAGTCGACTTTGACGTCATCGACCATTCATCGCCTAGAAAATTTCAAAGTTAAAATAGAATGGAAAAGAAAAACACAAACTGGAGACTCTACTATTATCCTTACCTAATAATAAAGTAAGGAATGGTAAAGAAAGATTTCCAGAGAGGGAATTGAATCCTCAATCTTTTCTCTTTCCGGGCAGATGCTCTAACCACTCAGCTATCCGGCATCTTCTTGCCAGAGAAGAAAGAGGAAAACAAGGGGGAAGAGAAAGGAAGAAAGAGAGGGAAAGTAAGCTACAGTGCCAAATTTTGCCTCACTACAATATCAATCAAACTATTCAGCCGACAAGATTGAACATCTTTCAAGTTCTTCAAAGAAGTCAATGATAAAGATAAATATATAAATATATTCAGTCTTTTAGCTGAATATCTTTCTCCCGGCGTACTGTAGTGAGGCAAAAGACAGAAATCTCTCAATGTGGTTTCAAAGTGAATATAGTTGATTGACAAGCTGCTCTTTGCATCAATTGAGTCATTGCTGAGTCAACAATAACAATAAGCAATAATAATCAACAATAAAACTTTGTAAGATTCATTTGTTCCATGAATGTTCAATATTTTCAAAAATCTCACCATTTTTCTCGAAGATCAGCGTCGGTTTGAGGTTCGAGGCGATTTTCCGGGTCATCAACCCGACTCCGACCTGGAAAATGAAATGAATTGTTAAAAAATTGAATTGAATCGATTTAATTGCATTTTCAAGATTCCAAAATTCGTTCTTAATGAAAAAAAATAGAAAAATCTGCAATAAATCATTAAAAAAAAGCGGCTTTAACTTCGAAGCTGATAACTTTAAAAGTACTTTTTTAAACTACTTTAACCTCTTTAAACTACTTTAACTACTTTAACTACTTTAACCTCTTTAAACTACTTTAACTACTTTAACTACTTTAACCTCTTTAAACTACTTTAACTTCTTTAACTTCTTTAAACTACTTTTTAAACTTTTTGAGCATTTTAAGAGTAGTTTTCTCGTACAAAGCTTTTTATCAAATCTCTTTAAAACAAAAATAAAGCAATTCTTTCAAATTCTAATTAGTAGTAGCTTTCAAATATCCCACTCAAAACTAAACCAACCTCTTTCAAGTACTCGTCGAATCCCTCCGATGAGACGAGATCCCATTTGCCGACCAATTGATCCACCATTTTCTTCGATTTCTCTGGAAAAAAATACATTTCTTCAAAGCTGTACAAAGCTGTACAAAGATTCGAACAGTTTACAATTTACAATCAAATTTTGATATAAGTCAACCATCAAACCTCTCAAAATTTTGAGAGGTTTGATGGTTGACTGGCTAGTTTTCTGACAAAAAAAGAGTCTTCTGACAGTTTGAAACTCGAAATTTCCAAAAGTCTATATCAAAAAAAGAGCTTTTTCAAAAAGCCACACTCGAAATTTGTACAATTTCAATTTCAAATCTGAATCTAAAAGTTTCAAATCTCTCCGCAATATCTTGCTTCTAGATCTTTTGCTTTACGGAAAAGAATTTTCCATTTGGTTGAAATTTTCCGGAGATTTTGTCTCTCCGACAAAATCGGGACGTTATTTCTTTTAAAATAACAATTTTTAGCCCAAAGAAAAAGTGAAAAGGAAGAAAGAAAAAGAAAGAAAAGAAAAAGAAAGAAAAGAAAAAGAAAGAAAAGAAAAGAAAGAAAAGAAAAAGAAAGAAAAAGAAAGAAAAGAAAGAAAAGAAAAGAAAGAAAAGAAAAAGAAAGAAAAGAAAAAGAAAGAAAAGAAAAGAAAGAAAAGAAAAAGAAAGAAAAGAAAAAGAAAGAAAAGAAAAGAAAAAGAAACAAAACAAAAAAGGTCCAGAGAGTTTTCTAGAATTGAAAAAAAAGGAGAAAGACAAATCTGAAGGGAAATTCTAGAATGATGACTCATTCTGATGATTTCAATTTCATCATCAATCATTTGTTTTTTGTTTTGAATGTAGCAAAACCTTTTCTGCAAAGAAATGAGTCGGTTGCGAAAGGAAAATTTTGGAAAGATTTTGTTTCTGAAGAGAATTTGAATCATCTAATACTTGAAAAATCATTTGGTTTAGTTCATTGCGCCCATCTATTGAATACCTATTGAAATACCTATTGAAACAATGCAAAATTAGATAAGTGTTCACTAAATTTGATAAAGCTTCAAAAGTCATCTGTATTCAATTTAAAATAGTAAAAAATGATCAAAAATGATCAAAAATCGTCAAAAATCGTCAAAAATGGTCAAAAATGATTGAAAATAGTCAAAAATGCTTTAAAAAAGCAAAATGGGAATCAGGGAAAGTCAATTTTCAAACAGAAAATGATTGTTTACGAAACTTTTTTGATCATTTTTGATCCCATATCGCGTGCTTTGAAACACGAATACCGTATTTTCTCTAATAGTAGTGCACCCCGGTGAGCCGAGTTGGTGGCGGAGAACGGCACGTTTAAAGTTAGACTACGCGCCTGTACGCTCGTCATTATGGCGTTCTATTAGAGCCGAGTTGGTGTCTATTTTACGGCTTCCAAAGTTTTTGCAGAAGCTCAACACTCAAATTCCCCACTAGATCTCATCGTCAGCTACATTTTCCGACCCCACATCGATAGGTTCTGATAAGCGGTTCTCGAGATTTCGAGCAATTTAGGCAAGCCTCAGGGTGGACTACTGTTAGAGAGAATACGGTACTCATGCTCACTTTGGAGGGTGTAGCTCAGTCAAAAGATAACCGATTACCATAAAAATTCTACAGATAAATTTTGACTGGGTCTCCTGTAGGGGTGCCCATTATCTAACCGATAGGAGCTCACAAATTTCTAAAACAAGCTCTCAAAGTTGAGAGTCGCACTTAGCCTAGTTTGACTAACTTTGGAGTTTTTGTGTACCCCGGCGAGCCGAGTTGATGACTATTTTACGGCTTCGAAGCTTTTGCAGAAGCTCAACACTCAAATCCCCCCACTAGATCTCATCGTCAGCTACATTTTCCGACCCCACATCGATAGGTTCTGATAAGCGGTTTTCGAGATTTCGAGGAATTTAGGCGACGCTCAGGGTGCTATTAGAGAAAATACGATACTAGCAAGAAAATAGCATTAAACAAAGATTAGATCCTCATATTAAACTTAAACTTTTTGCATTTGACCCTGCTAACAATGAAAAATTGGACAAATTTCAAATCTCAAAAGGAAAGGAAAAATGAAGTTCTTTTATCTAGATTTCATTCCGTTTACGAGTGGCTTGATTTAGCACTCAACTCGTAAACGTTAAGTTTCATGGAAATCTATTGAATCTGTTACCTGTTATGTATTATTAATATTAAACCTTTTAAACCTTTAAACCTTTAAACCCCATTAAAATTGAAAAAATGAGAAAAAAGGAGAATCAAAAAAATTTCGCAAAGCCCCTAGCGAGATTGGGCTATTTTTGGCTCAATCATATACAAAAAGGCTCAAAAAGACAAAAAGTGCGCATGATTTTCTCTTTTCTTTTGTTGATATTTTTGTGAAAAACATTGCCAATTCATCGATTTCATCATTGAAATTCTTGATTAATAAAGAAATTTTTGAAAAACAAGGGAGTGGGACAAATGCGACCTTTTTTTTGCGCACCCGGACATTTGCGCACCTTTTTTCGCGTTTTAAAAAGCTCTAAAAAGCTAATATTAACCAATTTCTATTCCAAAAGTTGTTTTTCTAGGTAATTTGAGGGTGTCGAATTCAAATTTTGACATAACAGAGCGTGTGGAACCAATTTGAAAGACAATTTGAAAGACAAAACGGCTAGATCAAATTACAGAAAATTGTCGATCTTTCTCTTTGTATAACTCAGTCCGTTCGCTTCCACAAACTCTGATATGTCAAAATTTCGATTTTACGCCCTAAAATTACCTAGAAAAAAAACTTTTGGAATAGAAATTGGTTAATATTAGCGTTTTAGAGCTTTTTTAAAACGCGAAAAAAAGGTGCGCTAATGGGCAAGGTGCGGAAAAAAAGGTGCGCAAATGTCCGGGTGCGCAAAAAAAAGGTCGCATTTGTCCCACTCCCAAAAACAAAGATTTTTAAAGGTTTTTGAAGGGGATTTCTATTTTCTATTTTATCCAAACAACTTTTTAGTGTCAAAGATCTATTTTAATCCAGAGTTTTTACATCTAAAAGGAAAAGTTTCAAAAAAAAAGTATAAAAAGTGATGATCTTGGTAAAGATAATGTGATTCTTGATGTACAAACTGAGGCACAAAATCGAAAATGTTTAAAAGACGTTTGCTCAATATCTTTTGTTCAAACGTTTAGTTCTTTTAGCAATCTTTAAGCAGAAAAGAAAAACAGCAACAAGAGTAAAAGTTAAGTTAGCTTTTTACGAGTTTTATTCACTCATTTCGGAAAAACTTTAATTTCTCATTGATAGAAAAGCCTGTTTGACGAAAAATTTTCAAAACTACATAAAAATAAAGGTTGCATCTAGCGTGGAAAAGCTATTTTTTCTCATTTGAGTTGTTTATTGCAGTTTATTGCATTTTATTGCAACTTTTAAGTTTCAAAAATCCTACAATGAATGCCGATTCACAAAAATTAACAGAAAAAGTGTTAAAAAAAGTCTCGTTTAAAAAGCGCGCTGTGTTTGGATGAGTGTGGAGAAAGGAAGGATGAGAAAAGTGAAGGGGACGTTCGCCTTTTGTGAAAAAGATCCCACTGAATAGAAAAAACGGAGAGTTGGGGAAAGGATTGGGATGAAAATGGAGAAATTAGGTGCATGAAAGATGGAAAAAATATTGAAGACTTTGGAGAGAAAGGGGAAACGAAAAAAACAATCGGCAATCCCTCCGGAAAGCGTCAACAACTACCACCGGCTTTCAAAGAGAGATTGAGTGAAAGAGGGACCAAGAGTGGGTAAAGGAGAAAACACAGGCCTCGAATGTTTGCGACTACGTGGCTCATTTAAAACTCTTTTTTTTTGACTAAAGATGAAGTTGGCAAATTAAAATAATGAATGGAAAGCTTTTAGCTCTTCTACCTCTTCTCATTCCTCTACCAACTACAAGCTTACTTCAAAATGAAACTTGCCTTGTGCTTAAATGAAAAGAAATTTAGATTTTGTTAAATTTTTTGAAAGTAAATAGCAAGTTTTATACTTAAAATGAGCCTAAAACGACTGGAACTACGACTCATTTCCAGTCTTAGTCATGTCCAGTCATTATCAATGCCTAAGCATTGATAACTAAACCTAGAGTCAATCTATCATTTGATAGACTTTTTTTTGAGGATATTTGAAGAACTCAAATCAAAGCAAATTTGAATTTTTTTGATTGACAAGTCATTGAAAATAAAGCTCCAAGTTTTAAGCTTGAAATCAATGTTTTTACTTTTACTGGCTACTTAATTATTTAATTGAAAGTCTGTTTGAAATGCAGTAATTTGAAACTTATTTTTTACAATTTACAGTCAATGATTGAATTTCTTTATTCTAATATCTACTTAACTCCCTCTGAACTGAGGAAGATCAGGTCCGTTGTGGTGAAATGGTCAGCACATTTGCCCGGTAACCGAAAGATCACGGTTTTCGTTTCGAGTCCCGGTTCAAGTCCCGGTTCAAGTCCCGGTTCAAGTCCCGGTTCAAGTCCCGGTTCAAGTCCCGGTTCAAGTCCCGGTTCAAGTCCCGGTTCAAGTCCCGGTTCGAGTCCCGGTTCGAGTCCCGGTTCGAGTCCCGGTTCGAGTCCCGGTTCGAGTCCCGGTTCGAGTCCCGGTTCGAGTCCCGGTTCGAGTCCCGGTTCGAGTCCCGGTTCGAGTCCCGGTTCAAGTCCCGGTTCAAGTCCCGGTTCGAGTCCCGGTTCAAGTCCCGGTTCGAGTCCCGGTTCGAGTCCCGGTTCGAGTCCCGGTTCAAGTCACGGTTCAAGTCCCGGTTCGAGTCCCGGTTCGAGTCCCGGTTCGAGTCCCGGTTCGAGTTCAATTTTGATCTGCCTTAGTTCCAACTATATTTTACGCAAAATTTAAAATATAATTAAGTGCTAGACGGTGCTACAAATCGCTGGTTGAAGATTTTTCGTTATTTTGGTCATTTTGACAAATTTCCTTAACAAATCTTTGATCTTTTACCCAATTTTCATTTTTCTAAACCTTGTTTTCAAATCTGTGTTATGTGTTTATTGATAATCGTTAATATTTCCTTTTATGGATAAGTCATCCCATTTTTTTATAACCAATTTGTATTCGGGAGCACTCATACGAGTGCTTTTTCACAAATAATAATCAGAAAATGGAAAGGAACGCTTTAGAGCAACGAACGATTGCACAGAATAACAATTGCATAGAATTACGGATCCTCGACGGTGAGATTTTATGTTGAAAAGAGTAAAGTTACTGTAAAGCTTGTCTATTGTCTCACTACAAAAAAGTATTCAGTTGAATATCTTTTCTTTCTATACAATAACAGCAGTTACTACTTATCATTGCAACAGCAATTGGGTTTTTTAAAGCGCATTTATCTTGTTGACTTTAAATTTATCTTGTTGACTGATCTCTTCAAATTTCAATTTCTGCTCTGAAATCTCTGAATTGTTTGAATACCTTTTATTCTGGCATACTTTAGTAAGACAAAAGACTGGGTTTTTATTGTTATTTTTGACTTTTAGTAAGGTAAATGCTTAGAAATCATATCAATCACTCGTTGTTTATTTATTCAATTTAACGACAGTGTTTGTTTTGCAATTTTGACTGTTATTGATATGATAACGGGTCGGCGGAAAACAGAGAAATTTAATGTGCTTATAAACAGAAGTGTGCAAACAAAGAAAAAAACCATGGAGTCTCGATAAGTTTTCAATTTTCAAGTTTCAAATGATCAAAATCTGGAAGCTGATGAAAACAGCGCCATTTACAAACAATGCCAGCAAAAATAATGCATTTGCGGTTAAGTTTATTTGTGTTTTCTGTTTCTGTTCTTGTTTTCATTGGATTTAGCTATCTTCTGAATATTTTTGAGCCGTTTAGAACAAATCTAGAATGAGAGATTGCCAAAAAACGAAAAAGGACTCAAAAAGAGATTAACTGAGCTTTTCTCGACACGAATTTTGTTTTAAGTGATCGCAAAGTATACAAAATGTAGCTAATTTTATTCTGCATCTAATAAGAATAAGAAACACATAGAAACTTAACCGCCGAGAGGCTATTTTTGTCGTGGCGCTGCTTTGACCAGCTCCCCAAAATCGTGAGTTCACCAAAAAAATTGTTGAGCCTTTGCACAAAAACTTTGGCCTTGATTTCCGGGGGAAATGATAGTTTGAATTGGGGAAAAAGAGGCAGCCACTGACCCTCAAATGCCACCCAGAAAGAGCCGAAAAAAAAGAGATAAACAAAGAAAAAGATCGGGGAAAACGTTTTCAACATAGAGAAATAAAAGCGAACACAGCGATCGAACGATTTCCCCGTTTTTTTGAATTTTCCCCATGTCTGACCCTTAAATCAAACACTTTCCCGAAAAAAAAACCGTAGCAATGACAGGATTTGAAAAGCAAAAGAATGGGGATTATCGTTTGAATCTATCTAGATTTGTGATGTTTTTCTGGGTGAATCGAGTGACAAAGATAAATTTGAAATAGATTACTTTCGTAAGTTAAAATTTAGAGATGTTTAACAGGATGGGATTTAAGAAAAAAAAATCGGTTAAGGAAATGTGCATTCGATTTCTTTATGCGCAATTCAATCACCGCAATGTGGAAACGGTGGCGAAAAGATTGAAACCAGCATTTTGCATAACAAGGAATGCACAGCAGTGCATTGGTTGACTCTGGCTCTGGCCCAATAGCCAGTATCTCTTCATGGTACAGTATGCCAAATAAAAATATCTATATAAAAGGGAAGTGCCTATCCGTCCGTCCTTCTACCTTTCTGTACTTCTGCTGAGTTCTCGGCCTCCTGTGGCCCGATTTGCATAATTTTTAGTTTATTAGGCTTAGAACTCTATGTAGTTGTGCATCTCATAGTTTGCCTTTTTAAAATGCAAAAGTCACGACACAGCCGGGAGTCGAACCCGGCTCGTGCGGCCGGTAGACAAGCGTGCTTCCGACCACGCCATAGCGACAAAACGACCCACCAGAAAAACCCGCCTTTAGGCGGGTTTTTCGGCTGGTTCAGGCGATAATTTCTGTCCAAGAGGCACAAAGAAATTTGTGGTATTTCGATGTAAGTTCGTGGCTGCAAATTTTGATTCTGATTGCCTCTAGGTTTAGTTAACAATGCCTACATATTAGAATTCAATTCCCCAAACCTCGAATTTACCAAGAACTGTCCGATTGGCAAAAAAGAAAGCAAATAATAATGAAAAACCTACTCATTAAGTTGATGGCGACTACTCCGACCAGAGCCGTGCGAACGAGTGGGAAATTCACCTTCCAATCGCCCTCAAGCAAAGTGGCTGACGCCGAAGTCACTCTACCTGGAAATATTTTGACAATAAGTCGAAATCGAAAAAGTTATTCAATTAAGCACAGTATCACGCTCAACCTTTAAGGCTAGACAGATTGAAAACATTTCTGAAGGGTTACCGTACCTTGCTATCTTTTTTTGGAGAAACCAACTAAAGGTAGGCAAGTTTTGTTATAAGCTTAGCTCGAGGACTCAAATGATAGTTTTATCCGCTGGTAGGGTTACGGTAGCGTTTCAAAAAGCACTTTTTAGAAAACGCTCTAGTCCAAAGGTACAGTAAGTTCGAGCCTCTCAAACCTGCCACAAGGAGACCAATTTTTGAGCCGAAGAAGGCCGGACGCCGCACGAGGCGAGAATACATGAGACGAAGAAATGGCGAAATTTTTAAAAGGAAATTGGAAAATTTTGTAGTCGCCACTTTATATGCTAATTGTCAGATGCAAACTGTAACCAAACAAATTAATTACACTCAGATACTCATTGTCAGCACTATTTGTGCTTCAATTAGTTATATTCGTATATTAAAACACACATCATTTACCAAGCTTTATTTTCACATACATCATTCAAGAGATCCCAAATATCATATACAAAAAGATTAGAGAAATCACAGAGCACACAAAACGGGAAAGTTTTAGAAAAAACTGATGATGGAATTTTACCGTTTATACACAGAAAGAAAGTGCCAAAAAATATGTGCACAAATGTTAGTTAGTGGAATACGCAATTTATTGAGATTTCTTTTTCGTTTTCTTCTCCTCAACGATGGTCGATTCTTGAGAAGTTTCCGGCTTGTTGGCCTTCTTGCCTTTCGGGCCAAGAAGCTTCTTGGCCTCCTCGGTTTTCGAACTCTCATCTCCTCCTATTGCCTCGTCTTCTTCTTCGGCTACTTCAACAGTTGGGAATCCCTCAATGTACTGGTAGCGACAAGCTGGAAAAGTTAATATATCTCTGAATTGTTGTGCTAAACTTTATTCTATTGCAACGACAACGACAATGTTGATGAAAAAAAGAAACTCACCGAGGACCACATAGATGCCAGTCACGACAATAATGATACCACCATAAACGAAAGCCTCGATGGCCGCTTTGCCCTAAAGTGTTTTTCTTTGCCATAGTAAAATGAAAACAGTGATAAAATGGATCTCTAGATACCAGCTAACTCACTCACCGCCAATGGATTGATCATCGACCAAATCACCTCCAAAATGTTTCCAATAGAGATTGTTAGCGTCCATATAGCCTAAAATTATAAAGCTTATCGTTTCAGGATCAAAACACAGTTCACCTGCATCATGCTCTTCATAAATGGCGGGCTTTGGTCGTAGACGAACTCGAGTCCAGTCACAGAAAGCCATACCTAAAACACAAGGGGATGATCTAAAGTATAACACAGCCTATTGCTGCGAGAAAAAAACTCACCTCTCCAAATGTAATGGTGAGAATTTGCGGCAACTGCCACATCACGTGTAACGCGAAAGGCGCCATCTAAATGAGCAAGTATTATTCAGCTGTAAATTTTCATCCCTAGTACCATTCTGGAATCGTTTACCCGAAGAACTAATTGAAGTACAAGCAAACACGACTAAACTCACCACTTGCACAATTTCAACTCCGCTTTTCTCCACGTAGAGCACATGAACGGGTCCCGCCAAATTCTCGACCGTAGCTCGATACTTACACTTGAAACCTGAAAGTAAAAACATCACCAACGAAGCTACACATAAACCAACCTTCCGTGCAATTCGGCCCCATGATAATCGTGTACTCGAGCGTGTCCCAAAAAGTATGCTTCAAGTCGATTATCGTTCCATTCTTAATTGTGCCCTTTAACAGGTGTCCCCTAAACAAAACAAAAGTTTTTCAATAGTTGATGTTGATTAAAAATGAGATCACAAAAACACACTTTACGTAATAAGTCCAATTCGAGGCAGCAATATCAAATGATGGAAAGAGGATGACCCTCGTTTCGTGGAGCTCTTGGGTTTGTGCAAAGTTGTACTGTAGCGAGTTCAAGCGACTAAATTAAAGAGTTATTGCAGATGTTTCTACCTGACTTTAAATTATACATTTCCTTTTACTGTGCTGTTAAGCAACAGTGCACCGATTCAATTATACATTTAATTTTACTGTGCTGTTAAGCAACAGTGCACCGATTCAAAAAAACTCACCCTGCTTCAAGTGCAAAGACATAAGCTTGAAGTGTCTTCGGTTCGTCACGTTCCAATGCCAACTCAATAGTGCTATTTTGGGCATCTGGATCCAACACATAACGACCGGGAAGCGTCTGTCTCCGTCTTTTGGTAATAAAAACTGAATTTAAATTAATAAATGAACGGTATCGCAAATTTTACCTTCTTCAGTTGTGTTTTTGTAGTTGTAAAGGGTGAGATTTGGTCCAGAGCCGATTCTCTGCACGAACACGTGGCCATCATCAGGTCGAATCGTGGCATTATAATCGATTGCAAGCTATAAAGAAGATTTTCCCGTAATCAAAAGAATAAAATCCACCTGAAGGTATCCGGAGATGAAAAACCCGAACGCTGCCATCACCAAACCGATGCCCAGTTTTCGCAGAAATGTCAAGCGAATGACCTACATGATGAAATGATGGAGAAATCAACAAAGCGCATACCTTTTCACAAAGCGGATACACAAAGTACTTGCAAACTGGCACATAGATGATGATGAAAACTGCGTTGAACATTTGCATTGTCTAAAGGAAAACATTTTACCATATTTAGCAAACTCTACCTCAGGGTTGACGTAGAAGTGACCGATTTTCCCATTCATATGCGTCGCTTGATCCACCCAGGTGGTGCTCTGTTGATCATAGAGAAACCAGAAGAAACACAATGGCCAGATCACCCACAAGATTGACAATAGACACTAAACTGATAGTTGAGACAGTACCTAACAATTGCATCACCTTGACTCCCCAAATTTGCATTTCCGAATAGTTAGGTGCGGCGCCGTCAAGCCATTGGCAACGTTTCCGCAAAACTTCCTGCAAAACTTTATAAATTAGTGAATCAGAATAAAAAACCTTCGTTTGCTCCATTCTTTTCTTGTCGGTTTTCTTTGGTTCGTCATTGTTGCCGGTTATTCCGATGCTTCTTTGTGCTGATTCTGCTCGTTCAGCTTTACCGCTGAATCTGCGAGGGTCTGCTAGAGACTGGAGATTAGACTAAACAACAATGGTTATCAGACAACAAAAGCTTTAGTACTTTGGTTTTTGATTCGAGTTTGGCCTTTGGTCCAGCTCCTACCATCATCCTTGGTCCAATCTCACGGTCCGAGTAGCTACTTGTCGAAGACACTCTAAGAGCTTCATCCGGATCATCGTCTTCTTCAAGCACGAGAGGCTTTTTGCTAAAAATAAACACATTTTATTCCTGAGCATCACAGATCACTCACCCGCAAATCTTTCGACTCAATCCCAACGTGATACAGCCGATGATGGTGAAGGCGAGGTTCTCGCGAGCCGGCGGCTTCCTCACATACCAACACGTGCCGCAAACAAACAAAATCAACGCAACCAACATCAGAATTCCGGGGACACCTGAACCAAAAGACACATGTAAACCGTTCAAAAGTTCTTACTTAGAAATACTAGTTTACTACAATTTTCCTATTTAATAGTTTAAATCTTTTTCAATCACACACCAAAAGCCAATGGATAGCACGTTGTTGAACCAGCGCAAGAAATATCGCGAAGCTGCGGCGTGAGAAACATCGACAGAACAGAACCTAAACAATAAAAGCTAATCGAATTTACACAGCTTAAGTAGTCCACAACGACACACCTGCATTGATCGCCATGTAGAAGTACGAGAAAAAAGCGCTGCGAGCTTCCGCCTTTTCGGGTGGAATCTATAAGAAGTCTTATAAAAGCGGTTGATTTTAAAAGGACCTGATCGGCACCAAAAGCAGCTACACACGGCTTGATACCACCAGTGCTAACGGCGATCGTCAAGAGGCCAACATAATCAAAGACTTGGCGAACAACTAAAAAAGAAAAGCTTTTTAAGCGACTATGTTTTTATCGTACCTAATCCAAAGAAGGGCAAAGCGCCAGCCGATAGAGACACATGACCCAACACGTAGAAGATCGAGCCCACCAGAATCACGTAGTATCTAAATGACAAAATTGATTGAGTCTACCAATTTCCAATTCGCGATGCTCTACACTTGTGTCGGTTACGTAATGGTTAATAGCCTAAGTTTAGCCGAAATAGTGTCACACATGTTGCGATACTGTTGTTAGTTTTTCGAACTGTTTAATAAAAACGATGCTGTCGTGAGGCTAGACCGTTGCGCAGCTTTCGGCGGCATCATTTCACCTACAACTTATGCTATTAACCATCACGGCACCCGTAAGATATCAAAGTAACACAAAATGATGCTGTCGGGCCGTAAAAAGCATTAAACACACTTTCCAAAGCACGAATCCGCCATCACGGCTCCCAAGAGCGGCGTCAAATATGCGACTCCGTTGAATGCATGTTGAATGGCACGCGAAATACTAAAACAAATTTGCAAAAAGGCAATCGAAATGTGACAAACTGTGAAGGCATGCCGTGTTCCCTCTTGAAGTAGATGTACAGCAGGGATCGCATCCCGTAGAAAGAGAAACGCTCGCAGAACTCATTCCCCAGAATGAACCACACTTGATAGGGGAAACTAAAAGAGAATGGATTAGCTCTGAAAAGTTTAAGACAAAGAAGTAAAGTTCTTAGGCTTTTAGCCAGCAACTGCTTGTTGCTAATTAAACTAGAACTCAACATCAACAACACTTGTTGGCCACCACACTTGGGAACAGCTTTGCACTAGCCGTTTTGGCGCTTTTCAACGGTTAATTGACCACTAAGAGTCAAATGATGACATTTTCAGGAAGCTTTCAACAATTTGAGCCAATGTTTTGACACCTTAATGCCCGACTGGCATTAACTTAAAGCTTTTAAATCAAAAAGAAAAGATGTTAGATCATTGATCAATATCTGCTTTACTTAAGCCTCCTTAAAACAAGAATTTAACAATTTAACGAAAGAGCAAAGCATGACAACGGCAAAACGATAAGTGCAAAACTAACCCCTTCTCCAAATCCAGTATTACACCTTGACAATCGATAAATTTTACAAAGCTTGACAAAAATGCTGTATTTAGGTATCAATTCTGACATCTATCGAACCATTTTCGAACAAAAACATGATGAAACTTTAAAGATCAGACTAAAGAAAAAAAAAAGTTCAGCTTTGTTTGTTGATTACTTAAACAACGCCAAACTGAACCAAATCAAGTCAAATTGACAATATTTTCATAGCCAAAGCCAACAACAAGGAATATTTTATAAGTTAACAAAACCCACGCCATAAGACTCTCCAAAATCCCCATTTTCGCGTTGAGTAAAGAAGAAAATGAAGAAAAGAGGGAAAATTAGAGAAACGGCCGGGTTTTATAGTAAAAAATTTAAATTTAAATTTTCTGTTAACTGACGGAGTTGTTGATTTTTTACATTTTCTTCATCGAATCTTGCCATTTCACAGTGTGTTTTTGAATTTTTTATTAAAATTTTACCTTCTACGTTTACGATACTGTTCATAGTTTGATTTCATACATGTGCAACGCCTGTTAGCTAAAAAATTTGCCACAAATTGAGTTTGTTGTGCTGTGAGCTGTGAAATGGGCTTTGTAATTTATCGATTACCATCACAATCACAATTGGGAGCTATATTAACGTTAAAATCAATAGTTTGTTTAAAAATTCACATCATTTTATAAAGATTCTATGCACAGAGCTCCTTTTGACAGCAAACTTGTCGCAAATTGAAGCCGTTGGTGGTGGTGTTTTGCGAGAAGATATCCTAAAATGAGATTGATTTTAGAAAACAAGCCATTCAAATGCCATTATGACAATGACATTCTTTTTACAAATTGTAAGCCTGTGGGTTGTGCTTTGTGCTCAAAAACTCGTAAACACACCCTTTCCGGCGCACTTGGTTCATCACTTTTCTCGCCGCAAGAAAATGAGGAATTGATTCACCAGAAAAAGCTTTACAAATTTTGTGAGCACAAAGCACAACCCAATCTCTTCATCTTACCGTGCAATCATCAAGCATCCTTTCATTGTCATCATCGGGTCCAAAAATGCTATCATCTCCACAACCACAGCCATACGCCTCAAATGTGTAGAAACGGCCACTGAATTGTAGGCTTTTGTTTTGCCACTTTTCAATCATTTCAACCACTTTTCACTTTTCAATCATCATTTCAAAGTGGCCGATTTTTCATTTAAAAATATGTTTTATACCTCAAAAAATCGTCCATCTTCTCTACTTTAATTTGATACTTAAATGCACAAAAACAAAGGTACTGGTGTCGAGATATGAGCATTTGTTTGAGAGTAAACTTAGACTACGCGACGCTCCTACATGAATTCTATTAGAGTTTTGAAGGTAATTTTCAAACCTTTGCTTCATTCGTCCACAATACTCACAGCCATTATTGCAGTCGGTGTCATCAAACTAAAAATGCCGTTTATAAAAATTTTAAGTTTCAATTTAAACAGGTAATAACAGCTTAGAGAAACATTAATTAGCGAAAATGTCGTCTTTTTGTCATTATTTTGCCTGCCATTATTTTTCCCTTTCTAAACTGTGTCCTCTTTCTCTTTCTACCGTAATCTTGCCTCTATTTTTTATCCAATCCATCTACTTTTTGATCTAATTCTGTGAGGGGGGTGGGACAAATGCGACCTTTTTTTTGCGCACCTGGAGATTTGCGCACCTTTTTTGCTGGAAAAGGCCTTAGGAAAGGTCGTAGAGCTTCGAAAATGTTTTCATACTGCAGAATCGTATGCGTAGATTCCGAATTTCGACAAATCAAAGCAAATCCGACCTCGCCGACACGTTAAATTTGAGCTAAAAGGCAAAAGCTACGCAACTTAACGCTTTTCCGCAGTTTTTGCCTTTTAGCCCAAATTTGAGGTGTCAGCGAGGTGTGATTTGTCGAAATTCGGAATCTACGCATACGATTCTGCAGTATGAAAACTCTACGACCTTTCCTAAGGCCTTTTCCAGCAAAAAAAAAGGTGCGCAAAAAAAAGGTCGCATTTGTCCCACCTCCTTCTGTGAGGGTTCACAAATGATATCGAAAGATACAAAAAGTCGATAAATTGGATAAAAAATAGAGCCAAGATTACGGCAGAAAGTAAAAAGGAACACGTTTTAGCATAGGGTTTTTGGCCTTTCAAACCCACATCCATTTGAATCTCTCCATTATCATCAACATTCGTTTTACAGCTTATCGCCAAACACACAGCAACCAAGGCAAAGAAAATAACAATTTGAGAAAAGTTCATATTTCACAATTTCTTATGAATCTTTTTAGACTTTGACCGTCTTTTATATGGTTTTCAAAAATTTCATTTTTTTTCCATCCCACCACTCAATTCCATTCATAAAATAGACTCCTTCCTGTTTACTTTTAAAGGGAAATTCTGAAAAGTACCGAAAGTAAATAAATATTTTGTGGACTTTCGGTGAAAATTTTTGAGAAAAGATTAATGGTCAAAGGTTGATGAATGAGAAAATTTGAGCCGATGAAGTTTCGAAGTGGTGACAAGGTGAATTTCCTGAAATTGGCCGATTGTTGTGAAATTGTGGAATGAAAATTTCAACTTTGTCAAGTAAAATAAGCTAAAAGGGTTAACTAATAGTTGATTGGTACTAGAAACATCTAAATCTGTTCACATTTACAAAATTATCGTAAAAACTCTAATAGAACGCCCCTTTTTTTTTTTTAACTTTTTTTTTTAAGGGGGTTTTTTTTTTTTTTTTTTTTTTTTAATTTTTATTGGGGGGGGGGGGTTTTTTTTTTTTTTCTTACAGTAGATTTTTTTTTTTCTAGCCTGTTGAAAATATATTGTTATATCTTAAAAATCGCTCATCTCTTTAATATATGAAAAATTGTGGTGGCTACGCGACGCTCCTATGGGGGACCGTTCGATTAGAGTTTTTACGGTATAAGTAAACAAAAAAGGGCGGCGAAAAATGAATGAATGTTTCCCCAAAAAGCGTCACTGCCTGATATCTTTTTGTTCGAACCACTGATTATGGGAAAAATTGATGAATGGATTGATCACGGTATAAATGATTGAGTCTAAATTCTGAGAAATATCAAATTCGTTTTTTTCTAGAGCATTTCACAGATCTTTTGAGAAGACTAATTAAAAAAATAGAGCTAATAAAGACCCCAATCATTCCATAAAACGAACTAAAAAGTGTAAACTAAAAAAGAATGCAGATGAAAAACATTTCAGATGAGATTTTCTAGAATCGGGTAAGTAAGTTCCTTTGTGAAAATTTTAGCTGTAAAAGTTTTTTCCTCTTGGCAAGTCACCAATCAACACAACTAAAAGACTCTTTTATTGGCTATCGTTCTTCAAATTTGATAAATGGAATAGAAGAAAAACGTGTTGAGTATTTCGAAACGAAACTTATTTCATAAGGATGACAAAGCTTTTTAGTTCGATCTTACAAATCTAACGTATTGTTATTACTGTGTGATACTGTTTTCAAGAATTCTTTTGTGTGCTGCTACGAAAATTTATCCAATCAACAACAATGATTAACTCAAAATGATTTCTGACTTAAAAATTCGGTGATTTTTTAAGCTTTTGGCGCCCATCCACGAGCCACGCAAATGATTCCCAGGTAGGATTGAAGTTTGACGAAAAGCTCCTGCGATCCGCCCTTATCTGGATGACATTCGAGGAGTCTCTTCTTATATGCATCTTTCACCTGAAAATATATTATATAAAATGTTTCTCATATTATCAAAATATAAATTCTAGGGCATCTCTCACCTGTTCATCGGTGGCATTACGTGAGACACCCAGAAAAGTGTAGGCTTTCTCTAGAGCCACGGTTTTCGGCAAATCGAAAATCTCCGTTGTCAGCAAATTCATCAGAGCTTGTCCGGCAAATGAGGCAACAAATCCACCGGCCAGTCCACCAATGACCGCCCCGACCGGTCCGGCACACAGCGCTCCAAAAGCCGCACCCGCAACCCCACCACCAATCCCAGCACCCAAGCAGGCAGCCGAGTCCAGTACATCTTTTGCACATCGTTTCCCACTGATAGTCCCGTTATGCCACTTGTAGATGTTGACCCCAATCTCGTAGGCAAGGAAAACAGCAGCTAATGTGTACTGTAATTTCCTTTTAGTGATTCTTTCACCGCTGAGCCCATATGTGGAACGAGAGCGCACACCCCGGGCACATTTGTCAAATTATCGAAAATACATCCGATAATGGCCTCTTGGGCGGCGTGTGGGATCTCCATCCAAAACGAGAGACCGATCGCTGCGGCGAGTGCCTGTTTGTTTTGTAAAATCTCCTTAGTTGTCAGCGCTTTCTCGGTGTCGAAGTGCTTGGCGATTTCCATTTGCATGTTCACGAATTTCTCGTCGACTTCTTTTTTCTCTTCTGGGGTGGCTTTCTTCAGTAAATCCTCGGCGTAGACCTTGAGCTCCTGAAAAGTAACCAATGAAAATTGTATCTATTGGGTTGGTGGAAAAGTCCTTTCGGATTTTTTGGGAGAGTACCTTAAATTTGTCCAATCTTGACGTTTTATAGCTCATCCTAAAGCTGAATTCAAGACGGATCGATTGGTAAAAACCGTTTTGAGATATCTCTTTTCTAAAGGTTTTTGCAGCTATTTTAGTAAAGGGCGGCAGAGCCAAAAAATGCCTGTTTTCACGTTTCGTTGGTTTTCCGTGCAGAAACCTAGGCTAAAAACATGTGTTTCATGATCAGCGTCAAAAATAACCCCTAGACACCATTTTCAGAATCTTAGCAAAAATTTTTTGAAAAATATTGTCACGGGTGGAAGTCGAACCAGCGACCCTCAGATCAATAGCCTTTCCGCCGCTTTTCGCGATTTTCCTTCGTTTTTCCCCTTCTTTTTTTTGTTTTATCATTTTTTTGATGTTGTTAGAAGGCTTTTTTCAGGAATTTCGTCTCAAGTTGAATCGGAGGAGCACCAGCGACACCTGTTTTTGTATGCATTCAACCGAAAACTCAATGCTGCACAGGCTCATCGAGAGATTACTGACGTTTATGGACCCGATTTCGTGACCGAACGAACTATCCAGAATTGGTTTCAACGATTTCGTGAAGGAAATTTCTCACTTCTCGATAATGCAAGAACAGGAAGACCATCGGAAATCGACGAAGACAAACTTGCTGATTTGGTTGAAGAAGATCCTCGACAAACGAGTCGGGAATTCGCTGAGCAAAAAAACTAGCTCTCTCTCAAATACACTTCAAGGTATGAGTTTTCAGACGGATGTCGCTCTCGAACTTTGGCTGGACCACTTTTTTTTATCGAAGCCCCAAGAATTTTATGAAAATGGAATTCATAAGCTTGTTGAGCGGTGGAAAGAAGTCTTGAATAAGAATGGCGACCATCTTGTTGATTAGTTTTTTCTTGTTTTCTGAAATTTTTGTTTGTTATTTGTTTTCTCTTTTTTTTGTTATTATGGTAAATTTTAGGGTACAACAAAAAATAGGGGAAAAACGAAGGAAAATCGCGAAAAGCGGCGGAAAGGTTATTGATCTGAGGGTCGCTGGTTCGACTTCCACCGGTGACAATATTTTTCAAAAATTTCTTGCTAAGATTCTGAAAATTTGGGTCTAGGGGTTATTTTTGACGCTGATCACGAAACACATGTTTTTAGCCTAGGTTTCTGCACGGAAAACCAACGAAACGTGAAAACAGCCATTTTTTGGCTCTGCCGCCCTTTACTAAAATAGCTGTAAAAACTTTTAGAAAAGAGATGAGATATCTCAAAACGGGTTTTACCAATCGATCCTTCTTGAATTCAGCTTTAGGATGAGCTATAAAACGTCAAGATTGGACAAATTTAAGGTACTCTCCCAAAAAATCCGAAAGGACTTTTCCACCAACCCAATTTGTGAGAGATACGGCAACCTAGAAAATTCAAACCGCATTCAAAACCTGACAATCTAATAGAATAACAATTGATTGTACAATTGTACAAATTTCTGCACTATTTTATAGTACTAATTTCATGTTTTAGTAGTACTTATAACGGACCTTTTTCTGCGTCAAGAGCGAGGCCATCATATTCCACACACCGGACCGAGTCCTCCCTTGACACCGCTCTTCTTCGAATTGCAAAAAGGCAAAGACTTTCATCAGATTGGCGCTCTCGCCTTGAAACAATTCGCATAGTTGTTTCACCACATTATCGTATTTGTCATCACTCATAGTCAACGAAAATTTTCTAAAGTTTTTTAGTTAAAGGTGAAGAAAAACTCTATTATTTCAAAGGAGAATTCAAAACACTGGCTAAAAGTGTTGCAAAATAAGTCTTATATGGAAAAGCTTCGAGAATTATTGCTTATCAGGGAAAATTTGTGACACAATGAATTGGATAATTGCTCAACTCAGCCATCAAGAAAAGCATTGATAAGTCTTTTTTTGAAAAAAAAGGGTATTCGCGTTTTTCCTGATGTAAGTTTAGTAAATCCAAGCCAAGACAAAGAATAAATCAAACACTGTTTTTTCTTAAATCAATTTTTTGTTTTCAAACGCCTATTTTTGTTTCTATTGGGTTGGTGAATTGAAAACCGCGGGCTATTGTCATATGTCACAGTTTGAGCACTTTCTTCAAAAGTAACCCATTTTGGTGTCAATGGAAAAGTTGTAGAGAATCAAAAATCAAGCTTATATCCAAATTTTCAGAACGATTCAAAAACTGGTTTTCAAGAAATGTCAAATTTACGAATTTCCACAAAACTTGCATTTTAAGCGAAACTACTAAGTGTATCTTTTTGGAAATTTGGCTATAAGCCTAATTTTTGATTCTCTACAACTTTTCTATTGACACCAGAATGGGTTTCTTTTGAAGAAAGTGCTCAAACTGGACAAACTGGGACATCTCCAGTCCTCGGTTTTTGAGTCTCACACACAAACCAAAATCCTACTACGAAAGAGGAATCCGCAAATTGCCTGTAAAATGGGCAGAAGTCGTCAATAATAATGGAAATTATTTGGAACGAATTTATGGTTTTATGTTGAATAAATTTTAGTTCAAAGTCCGGCAGTTTTCAATTCATCAACCCAATAACACCTATCGGAAATTCCAGAGACTGAATTTCCATAAAAGGGTCATAAAAACACCAAAAAGATGCTAAAAATTATGCAACTAAACGAGAATATTTAAGCTGAACTTTTTCGCGAATGAGATGAATTCGCTTGAATTGTCCAACTTGTGGCTCACATCAAATGTCTTTTTTTTTCGTTCAACCCAGTTTTTCTTGTTGCTAAAATGAAATATTGAGATAAGAAACTTTATAGTTTTGCCACTTTTCTGGAATGGAAAAAAAAAAAGAAATTTTTGAAAACCTTATAAAAGACGGTCAAAGTCTAAAAAGATTCATAAGAAATTGTGAAATATGAACTTTTCTCAAATTCTAATTTTCTTTGCCTTGGTTGCTGTGTGTTTGGCGATAAGCTGTAAAACGAATGTTGATGATAATGGAGAGATTCAAATGGATGTGGGTTTGAAAGACCAAAAACCCTATGCTAAAACGTGTTCCTTTTTACTTGCTACCGTAATCTTGGCTCTATTTTTTATCCAATTTATCGACTTTTTGTATCTTTCGATATCATTTGTGAACCCTCACAGAAGGAGGTGGGACAAATGCGACCTTTTTCGCACCTTTTTTTGCTGGAAAAGGCCTAGGAAAGGTCGTAGAGCTTCAACAATGTTTTCATACAAAACTGCGGAAAAGCGTTAAGTTGCGTAGTTTTTGCCTTTTAGCCAAATTTAACGTGTCGGCGAGGTCGGATTTGCTTTGATTTGTCGAAATTCGGAATCTACGCATACGATTCTGCAGTATGAAAACATTTTCGAAGCTCTACGACCTTCCTAAGGCCTTTCCAGCAAAAAGCGCAAATCCCAGGTGCGCAAAAAAGGATTTGTCCCCCCCTCACAGAATCAGACCAAAAAGTAGATGGATTGGATAAAAAATAGAGACAAGATTACGGTAGAAAGAGAAAGAGGACACAGTTTAGAAAGGGAGAAATAATGGCAGGCAAAATAATGAAAAAACGACGACATTTTCGCTAATTAATGTTTCTCTAAGCTGTTATTACCTGTTTAAATTGAAACATTAAATTTTTATAAACGGCATTTTTAGTTTGATGACATCGACTGCAACAATGGCTGTGAGTATTGTGGACGAATGAAGCAAAGGTTTGAAAATTACCTTCAAAACTAATAGAATTCCTATAGGAGCGTCGCATAATCTAAGATTACTCTCAAACAAATGCTAATATCTCGACACCAGTACGTTTATTTCTGCGCGCTTGGGTATCAAATTAAAGTAGAGAAGATGGGCGGTTTTTTGAGGTATAAAACATATTTTTAGAATTAATCAGCGCTTAAAACAAAATGATTGAAAAATAATGAAAAATCGGCCACTTTGAAGTGATGATTGAAAAGTGAAAAGTGGTTGAAATGATTGAAAAGTGGCAAAACAAAAGCCTACAATTCAGTGGCCGTTTCTACACATTTGAGGCGTATGGCTGTGGTTGTGGAGATGATAGCATTTTTGGACCCGATGATGACAATGAAAGGATGTTGATGATTGCACGGTAAGATGAAGAGATTGGGTTATGCTTTGTGCTCACAAAATTTGTAAAGCTTTTTCTGGTGAATCAATTCCTCATTTTCTTGCGGCGAGAAAAGTGATGAACCAAGTGCGCCGGAAAGGGTGTGTTTACGAGTTTTTGAGCACAAAGCACAACCCACAGGCTTACAATTTGTAAAAAGAATGTCATTGTCATAATGGCATTTGAATGGCTTGTTTTCTAAAATCAATCTCATTTTAGGATATCTTCTCGCAAAACACCACCACCAACGGCTTCAATTTGCGACAAGTTTGCTGTCAAAAGGAGCTCTGTGCATAGAATCTTTATAAAATGATGTGAATTTTTAAACAAACTATTGATTTTAACGTTAATATAGCTCCCAATTGTGATTGTGATGGTAATCGATAAATTACAAAGCCCATTTCACAGCCCACAGCACAACAAACTCAATTTGTGGCAAATTTTTTAGCTAACGGGCGTTGCACATGTATGAAATCAAACTATGAACAGTATCGTAAACGTAGAAGGTAAAATTTTAATAAAAATTTCAAAAACACAGTGTGAAATGGCAAGATTCGATGAAGAAAATGTAAAAAACCAACAACTCCGCCAGTTAACAGAAAATTTAAATTTATTACAAAGTGAACCTGAAAATTACAAATTGTGCCATTTCTTATCATTCTCTGCCCTGCCTTTACTTGCATAGGATTTTCATGTTTTCTCATTTTCTTTCCTCTCAACAATGAACGCCTTTTTAATCCTGATGTGTACGTCTCAAAATTTCTGGTCCTAAGTTTGTTCGAGAAATTTTGGGGAAAAAGTTACGGTGATTTTTAGGGACACTTATAAATAGCACTTTCAAACGTTTATAGAATTTTCAGAAGAAGAGATTTTAAGGTTTTTGTATGTCTTGTGGTAGATAATCCGAATTCGCATTGAAAAATGAACAATGTTATCCATTAAACGTCTATTCAACTAGAGAACACCCAACTTCTTCTCGCAAATGTATCGATAGAAGGGATAATAGCTATTGTCCGGCCAGTTGTTCCAATAGTCAGATTGGGCACAATGGGGATCGTTGAGAATCTAAAGAAATTGTTGATGAAATCTTTCCGTTAGACTATGTATTTGAAACTAGAAAAACAAAATTCGGGAGTCGAGATCGAAATTTTTCCGCGAGAACGGAATTTCTCAGCGCTCGTCGAGCCAATTCAGATGGTTTATGTATCAAAAAATTTTAGCAGATTTTGAGCTACTTGATAGAGATAGAAAGTTTTTGAAAAATCTCACAATTTCATAGAGAAATCGATTTCCCAAAAAGTCTCGATAAAAGTCTAGCAATTGATTCACTGAAAACTTTTATTGAGTCTTTTTAGTTATTAGTCTTATTGAGTCTCCGTTTCTCATGAAATTCTGAGATTTTTAAAAATCTTTATATCAAGTAGCTCAAAATCTGGAGAATTTTTTGGTACATAAATCATCTAAATTGGCTCAACGAGCGCTGAGAAAAACGAAAAACAAAAAAAAGAATACGGAAATTTCCTTTTCATAGTCCCCTTTCCTTTTTAATAGTCTTATTCTCTTTTTATCAGTCCATTTCTTATTTTGCTTTTGAATTTGATTAAGGGCACTTTTAAGGTTAAAAGCTAAGCGTATTTCTTTCGAAGAACTAAATGTTCGATCCAGGAAAAGGAGAATACCGTAAATGTTGTATTAGAGCGATCATTTCTCATTTTCTGTAAGGCATCATTTTTAAAGTTACAGCCGACTGCTTAGTCCGACTGCTTTTACTGCTTAGTTTTCGTAAATTCATTGCCATGAATTTGATTTGCACAAAATGAACAATTTACACAAAAATGTACTTGGTGTATAGTCTTTTAGACATGTTTTAGACATGAGCTTTTAGACCTACGTTCTTTTTCAAAGCTTTTAGTCACGCTCTTTTAGATTGAAAAAGCACCTACAGTGGCGGACAATTAAATAGAACCGATGCTCCATTTGCACAAAGACCACGAATTTTCCATTATTTTCACACCCATTCAAAAAGACATTAACAGCTATTTTTTTCGATGTTATCTTAGCTTTCGATTGGCACCGCTCTTAGCTGAAAGTTCTTTCTCTGTAACTTGGTAGTTTAGGTTTTCTTCAGCCTACCCCATTATAGCGGCGACAATTAACATAACAGCTAAGATAACATCAAAAAAAAAATAGCTGTTGATGTCTTTTTGAATGGGTGTGAAAATAATGGAAAATTCGTGGTCTTTGTGCAAATGGAGCATCGGTTCTATTTAATTGTCCGCCACTGTACCTATCTGTGTTATTTAGTTGTTTTAGTTTTTCTCATTTTAATCCTTTTGCTACAATGTTTAATATTTTTCTTTAGGTGATGGCCGAAGACATGCGCGAGACGATCATTGAGCTAATAGCTGAGCAAACGGTGAACGAATCGAGAGACGATTTGATTGAATTTCGGGATCGTCGTGATTTCGAACAAGGATTGGACAAAAGCCTCGATGAAGAGGCACGTGATTGCGAAATCAAAGCGGACAACACAGGAAAAGGAAAGGAAAGAATTCGATGCAAAAACGAAACTGGAGATCCTTGAATACACCAAATCGAACGCAAAGAATGCTTGTCTGGATCAAGAAATGACCTTTTGGGAGAATTGAACATAAACGTCGATACAAACGTTGAAGAAATCGACGCTACAAGCGATGAGCGATCTCAGGAGCAAGAAAAAACGGCTCGATGGCGGCAGAAGGCACTTGCTGGACGCAAAAGTTGGCCAATCAATTGCCGAATGGGTTCGATCTCAACGAGATGAAAAGAGCGGCTGAGCTGCAGAATTCTTTTGAATAAAGCGAAGAGGCGTTTTTAAATGCAGGCGCAGAAAAGCAAGAAGGCAGGGAAGGAGGGGGAAAATTGAACACAAACGTCAACACAAACGTTAAAGAAATCGACGCTACAAGCGATGATTAGAATCTTTCCGACTTTGATGCTCATCTTGATCTTGATGGCTACCAAGGAGGTATTGAAAAATAGAGCGACCAGTCACGCAATACAACATTTACGGTATTTCTAAAATAATTACTTGGCCGATTTTTAAGTGCTACTTGAAATTCACAGTGGAATTTTGGGGTTCATTTACGGGAGCTCACAAATTCTTAATATGTGCGCACTCACCGTGTAGACCGAATTGCAACCTTTCCCTTTGTAGTAATCGACGGGACTCGAGTCATACCATGCATATTGTCCACCACACGTCAAACCGACAATCGCTTGCTCATATTGACAGGTGTTCGCCGGAAGATTCGTCGCGATTTGTTCTAAATAGATTGTCGAATTTGATGCTTGATGCTTCCAAAAAAAACATCAAGAGCTAGGTTTCCAAGAGTAAAGTCGAAAAACGACTTAAAAATCAAAAATGAAATAGATCAAAATCAAAAAACGGTTTAAAAATAGATAATCTGACTTTTCAAAAAAGTGTACTCGTCATCCGAGTGAATCGACGCCAAATGGGCATTCATTTTCTGGCAAGCAGACTCGGCTTGTCCCACCGAGTACCTGCTCGATTTGTCGGTGACTTGCTGATTCTAGAAATTCGCGTCATGTGTTAATTCAGAAAAATTTACATACGAAGAAATAGTAGCAGTTTCCATCGTAGTACTCCCAACCATCAGTGCAATCTAAAAATGGTATTGCTTTTGATTTGATATCTGATGATTGCTTGTGGGTTTCTAGTTGCTAGCTTCTAGTTGCTAGCTTCTAGTTTCTAGCTTCTAGTTGCTAGCTTCTAGTTGCTAGCTTCTAGTTGCTAGCTTCTAGTTGCTAGTTTCTAGTTTCTAGTTTCTAGTTGCTAGTTTCTAGTTGCTAGTTTCTAGTTTTACAAAGTAATTTCTTGTAGTTAATCGAAATGAAACTTGAAAAACTTTTATTTAAGTTTTGATGGGAATACTTTGATTAGGAAGAGAGCAGACGAAAGTGTGCGATTCAGTGCAAACGACCGACATCCACGAATAGGTCGTTGAACTCAAAACGGCACACGTTTTATTGGCAAGTGGATGACCTAAAGTTGAAACTATTATAAGGTAATTTTGGGTTCTTTTCCGTTATACATCCGCAAAATTTACAGCCTTCCATGAAAATGAACAAGGAAAACCACAGAAAATTCATTCTTTTGCTATTTCCTGACGGCACGGTGTTTTGCTTACCGACTACTGAAGCTGATGCAATCTCGTTTTGACCCTGTCATTCCGGATGACCCTGCCAATCACACGCAGACGATTGAGCGTCTATGGGGATCTGCCAAATGGAGAAACAAGAAGCATCGCGGCACGGACTCCGATTGTTGGCGAGGATACAACACTCAACAGATGGAGGAGGCCGGCTTTGCCCACGCTCATGTCAATAAGTACAACAAGTACAACTTCCTGAATCCGGATGATCTTGCCAATCACACGCAGACGATCGAGCGTCTATGGGGAAAATGGAGAAACAAGAAACGTCGCGGCTTGGCACGTCATTTTCTATCGAGCTACCTTACTGAATTCATGGTCCGACAAGTGGAAAAGGACGATTTCTACGAATGGGTGTTGCAACACATTGCTATGGCATGGATTCTTCATTGATCTTATTTTTGATTTTGATTAAATTGATCGATTTTTGATTATTAAATGATCAGGGGTTATTTTTGCGGATGTATAACGGAAAAGTACCAAATTTTCTATCAAAGATATTTAGTTAGCTATGTTTTTCGTAAAGCCCCTACCCGCTGCCCAATTCGTGTAGGTCAATGGCCGTCCGTCAGCATAGGTCCAAGTGCCGTTCGAATTCTTGATCACTCCGATATACGATTGACTGGCTCCGGCAATAGCTAAAATTTCCATAAAATAATCAAGAAATGATCAAGTTTACCTGTTTGTGCTTGAGAAGCGGCGAGAACGTTCTCGAAAACACTCCGAATCGAGATGATCTCTCCGCCAAGTTGTTGACATAGGAGTTTCGATGTTGAATAAGTGGCGGCTAATGAAAAGCTTTGGTATGATCATTTTTAATGAAATATTTTGATTTAGATAAGACTTAAGGCTAAAGGGTTCAGGTTTGAAACAAGCAAAGATCAATCGGTAAGGGATTCTCTATTTTTATCGATGACTTCTCATCTTCTGAGCAAAATATGAGCAAATCTCGAATCGCATTTATGGCACAAAGCCATTCAATGATCAATGATGATTCAATGATTTATAGAAGCAATAATTTTTAGTGTTTTCTTTAGTCAAAAATAGGTTTGAGATTTTGAAGCGTTTTGCTTACTCAAATCTGAACTTTGAGTAAGCAAAGAAGGGAAAGAAAGCTTTTTCGAAGACCTGGGCCCGATTCCACGTTCTCGACTAGCATCTAGCATCTAGTTGATTTGCTAGACGAGATTGAGAAGCCGACTAGCAACGAAAATCTAGCATCTATCAAAATTTCGCTAGCCTTAGCAAAGCCTGGAGTCGAGCCCAGATATTTCGGGAGAAATAGCCGACTAGATGAATAAACAATATAAAGATAAATAAACAGACCAGCATCGATTGGATAAACGCATTCGGCTTGATCACCGTACTCGGCCGCATTCTGTGGGCAAGTGCCGAGAACAAAGGAAATCAACCCAAAAAGAACAAAGATGGATTTAGCCATGATGTTGCTGGGGACAACTGGGTTCATTCGGGAAAATGAATCCTTTATAAGTTCCCCTTTCTTGATTGGTGATAAGCGGCGAAAAGTAAAGGAATTCGGAGGCCATTTTTTGTGATTTGCTCTGCAGTGCAGATCAAAGGTCTTTTCCGCCTTTTTCTTCTTCCGGAAATTGAGAACTTTTCCAGGATTTGAGATAAAGAATTTGTCATTATTGAGTTTAGATTTGCCTTTGTATAAGCTATAAAAGAGTTTACTTCATCTCCGGAAGTAGATCAGCTAACAGAATCAGAATGATGAGATTTTTAGATTTTAAATGAGCCTTTTCACCGGATTTACTGATTTTTATTGATCTTTCATCTTCAGCGCAGATCCCAGATAGCATCGTCGAATTCAAACGGTTTCTTGGAGGCAAAATAGGCATGAAGCTTATTTATGAATTGAGGAGCATGATTATCAAAATGTACATCTCCCAAGAAGTGTTTCAACGTCCGAAATAAAAATAATTTAAGGAGTAAGGTGCGTAAGGCAAAAGTTTCCAACCTAGCTTCTCAATTTTGTGGTTTTGTGGAGTATGGTTTGCCAGGTTTCGATCTGGGGACAAATCTTTGAAAGATGCAGAGGGCCGTGGAGCGGCATCCCAACTGGATGATTCCAAATTACTCGAACTCATTATCAACGACCATCGGGTATCATTGCGTGAATTGGGAGAAGAGTTAGGAGTTGATCATGCTACAGTGCTAAGGCACCTTCATACCCTTGGATTTAAATCGAAACTTGAGACTTGGGTGCCCCATGACCTCACTGACCCCCAGAAGTGGCAGCGCCTCTCCATCAGTGCCGCTCATTTCTCACGATACGAAAGGAAATCCTTTCTTCCTTGAATTGTCACAGGAGATGAGAAATGGGTTTTATCTGTGAACTTTCGAAGGAAGCGGCAATGGGTGGGGCCAGGCGAGAAACCCGAAAATGACCCCAAGCCCGATTTGCACCAGAAGAAGTTTATGCTCTGCGTTTTCTGGGATATGGAGGGAGTGGTGTACTGGGAGTTGCTGGATAGCAAGACGACCCTTAATGCAATTAAATACAGTGAACAGTTGGGAAAGGTGAATAAATCCCTGAAGAAGAATAGGCCCTCCAAGTCAAAGATCGTTCTCATCCACGACAACGCGTGCCCTCATGTTGCAAAACTGACTCGCTCTAAAATAAATAGCCTTGTTTGGGAACTTTTGGCGCATTCCCCATACAGTGCGGACCTCACCCCTTTTGGTTACTATTTATTCCGGATCATGAGTAATGAGCTTGCGGAAGAACACTTCGATTCGGAAGAAGCAGTCTCGAAAAGTTTTTCGATTCAAAACCAAAATCCTACCACGAAAGAGGAATCCGCAAATTGCCTGTAAAATGGGCGAAAGTCGTCAATAATAATGGAAATTATTTGGAATGAATTCATGGTTTTATGTTGAATAAATTTACTTCAAAGTCCGGCAGTTTTCAATTCACCAACCCAATACTTTTGATCATAGCTTTTCATAGTCTTATCTAAGTATGATTTTTTTTTGTGTCAGTCGATAGGAAATGTTCTTCCGCGTCGAATGACATCAAAAAGTATACAAATTAAATAAGATTATGAAAAGTTATAGCCAAAATACTTTGCACACTTATGGACGTGTTTGGGGGAAAAATCTCCAAGTACTTAATTGAATAAAACGGCCTTTTACACGATCGGTTTGATGTAAAACAACGAACTCACCTTTAATATCGCGATGGATTTTACTTTCAGAATGAAGGCCGGCAAGTCCGGCAGTTTTCAATTCATCAACCCAATACTACTCACCTAGACGTTCTCCTGCTCGGACTCTTGCTTCTTCTTCTCATCGAATGCGGATTTCCCGGCTCTTGTGGTTCCCAATTCGACAAATGCACAACCAAAGTTTGAAAGTTTTTCGATTCAAAACCAAAATCCTACTACGAAAGAGGAATCTGCAAATTGCCTGTAAAATGGGCGAAAGTCGTCAATAATAATGGAAATTATTTGGAATGAATTTATGGTTTTATGTTGAATAAATTTACTTCAAAGTCCGGCAGCTTTCAATTCACCTACCCAATAATTTAAAAAGCTGACAAAAGATTTAAGAAATGTTTTTCATTCATCAACACTCACATGTATTCCGTGACAAGTGTCCTCGCAAGTCGGCGCACAATCCGTATAAACCTGGTTTTTTTGGCAAACTGAAATACCGTAAAAACTCTAATAGAACGGCCGGCTGTTCCATTAGAGAGGGCCCTTCTAATGGAGAGGGCCGTTCTATTAGATTCCCAACTTGAAAGTTGAGGACACTTATTCATTGCACTTTTTTAGAAATCTCTAGTGCACCAATTAATCTACCGTTTTCACCAATAAAAAGGCTCATTTCTTCTCTAAAAAAGGCTTCTAACAGATTTAGAAAAGCTTCGTTTTTGTAGGTTTCTTGGGGGCAAGAAGTTGAGGAGCCAAAAATGATGAACACTAGATGAAGCGATTTGAGCACTTTCTTCCACATAAACCTTCTGAAATTAATAGAAAAAGGTAGAGCATGAAAAGTTAAGCATCTAAGGCGAATTCTCAGCTCGATTTGTCTAATTGCTTTAGTTGTATGTTTTTTTGAAGAATTTTCAGAAAAAACTTGAATTTCTGCTCAAATTCGTTTCAAAAGTTGCCGGAATTTGCTTAAGCGTGTCTTAAATTATATAATATATAAGTCTAATTCATTTAGCGATTTAGAGAAGTCTAATTCAATCAGCTTAAAAATTCTAATAGAACGACCGGCCGTTCTATTAGAGAGGGCCCTTCTAATGGAGACTATTAGACCCTTCTATTAGAAACTCTAATAGAACGCTCTATTAGATTCCCAACTTGAAAGTTGAGGACACTTATTCATTGCACTTTTTAGAAATAACTATTGCACCAATTAATCTACCGTTTTCACCAATAAAAAGGCTCATTTCTTCTCTAAAATAGGCTTCTAACAGATTTAGAAAAAGCTTTACTTCAAAACAGAAATTCTCGTAAAAATTTCGATGCATTAACGTGTGAAAAATGGAAATTGCCACGTCGAATCGCTTATCCAATAATCTTTGATTTCGAAAAATTTGCACAAAAGCTCGTAAACCGTAGAAATTGTTGTAAACATTCGATTTTCCCGTAAAAATCCTCCCGCATCATCATGCAAATATTTTGACCGTGAATTGTTATGGTTGTCAAAAAATCGACGCGAGGTACAGACAAAATTCGCAGACGCCAAAAATAAAGCTAAATCAATAGAATTCCAAATTTTTTTCAATTTTTGACCCATTCTGACACATTTTATACTATTTACAGCCGATTTTTTCCCAAATTTCCGTTTATTTTGAAATCTTTTCTATTTTATCAGCTTTTTCAGGGGCCATTTTCGCTATAAAAGGTGCAATTGTTTACAGTTTTTCAGCTTTTTGCTCAGTTTCAATTTTTTCATTATACCCCCCTTTGCCCAGTCTTGTTTATCATAGTTATTCGAAATTTTTTGAATAACAGTTTGCAAAATGTACCTAGTCAGCTGGTTTTGATCAATAAAGTTCTATAAAAGTTATAAAGTTTTACTTTTCTTGATCAGTTACCATAGCTTTTTTTATCTGAAATTATCGAATTTTGCTATATCTTTAAATTTTAGCTATAAAAGAGCTATAAAGCTTTAAAAAAAATAAAGATATAAAGATATAAAGCTATAAAGCTATAAAGATCTAAAGATATAAAAATCTAAAGATATAAAGATATAAAGCTGCAAGCTTTAAAGATATAAAGCTATAAAGCTACAAGCCATAGAGCTATAAAGCTATAAAGATATAAAGATCTAAAGATATAAAGATCTAAAGATATAAAGATATAAAGCTATAAAGCTATAAAGCTATAAAGCTATAAAGCTATAAAGCTATAAAGCTATAAAGCTATAAAGCTATAAAGCTATAGAGTTAAAGCTTCAAAAATTGTTGAGTTTCAAGTTAAATAACTTTATGAAGTTTAAAAGGATTTTAATATAATAAATATTTAGTTTAGAGTAGTTTATGATCAGCCATACTTCCCCATGACTCATTCCCCAAAAAAACGATCAAATACTTGTCGAAAAGTGACACATTTGTGGAGGGACTGGATAAACAGAAAGGACGCCTTGTTGGATAATAGTTGACAAAGAGAAAACTTTTGAAAAACATTCAAACCAAAAAAAAAGGCCCAGCAATTGTCGTTTTGTTGTCTAACTTTCACTTCTTTTGTCTTAAGACACTTGCCCAAGCAGATTAGAAATATAAAATTCATTTTAACAAAGTGAAATTCTTGAGTTTCAAAGAAATGTAATAGCTAGGGCTTATGAAAAGAGCAATTGATTGTCGTTTCTCTTTAGTAAAGCAGTGATTTCATTTCATTTCATTTCATAAATTGATTTCATCGATTGATTTCATCGATTGATTTCATAGATTGATTTCATAAATTGATTTCATAGATTGAACTTCTAGAAAATTCTGTAAAAGCATGCACTGTTCCGCTCCAAAAGCCGACCCATCGGTTTTCCAATTCCTTTCTCTTTAATAAAGCAGTGATTTCATTCCATTTCATTTCATAGATTGAACTTCTAGAACTATAACTTCTATAAAAGCTTTTCGAAAGTCTCCGAGAAGGTATTTTGTAAAAATGGTTGTAAAAAAAATCATTTCTACCTCATTTCTACCTCATTTTCTACTAATCTTAATCTTAATCATTTCCAATTTTGTTTTTGCTGTCTAACTAATCAAATCAAATCATTTCCTATCCCTGTAACCATGCTTTTTTGGTCTCAAGTTACACAAATTACCCACAAAAGCCATCAAAAACCTCAGAAATATCAATTTTCACTTATAGTCGAACAAAAATTATCCAATTTTCCCATTCTAACTCATTTTTCTTTTATTGATAAGAGCAATTGCTTCTCCTTTCCCTTAATGATTTCATTTCATTTCATAAATTAAACTTCTTCTAACAAATTTCTATAAAAGCTTTTCCAAAATAGATCAATAGGATCCATTTTAGCGTACAGCGAAGCTCGAAAAACGTATTTTATAGTAAAGACTGTAAAAAATATTTCTTTCTACCTCATTTTCTACTAATCTTAAGCTTAACTGTGCGCTAAAATGGATCCCATCTCTGAAAAATATGGTTACAATTTTAAATATTGGGTTGTCCAGTTATGAATGCGCGTTTTTACTATTTTATAAATTTCTCAAGATATCGAACAGAAGTATATGAGTGTTGTATATCATTCGAAAGCTGAAGATCTCCTCTACATTTTGGAATAAAAAAGTTTTTGAATTCATTCAACTTTTTGGGAAATTGACTGCACAAAGGGAGAGGTCGTTTTCGAAAAAAAATCCATTCCAGCTTAGCTATTCCTCAAATTTTATGGTGTAAAATTACCGCCCAGAAAAGAAAACAAAAGTAAAGATGCTCTGAAATTGTTATATTTTTAAAAAAAAGTTGTATTGATATATCTATTGGCCAAACATCAAACGGTTAACTCAATTTGAGCGGAGCCAAAACTTGATCCAATGGCACCCTTCCATTTTTTGGCCACCTCTTCTTCTGTACAGTCAATTTGTCCAAAAGCTGGACAAATTCAAAAACTTTTTATATCAAAATGTAGAGGAGCTCTTCAGCTTTCGAATAATACTCATATATATCTTTTTCTTGATTTCGATACCTTGAGAAATTTACAAAATAGTAAAAAACGCGCATTCATAACTGGACAACCCAATATTTCAAAGTTTTATCAAATTTTTAACCAAATCCATCAAGTATTTTCATTTTAGATTTGCAGAAAATTCTAAAGACAAATCTTTGAGGTACAGTAGCTGTACGCTAGCTCTAGAAAGGGGATCCTTTTCGTGACTCATCCTCTATCAAAATTGACATCATTCGCTCGGTCTCTTTTCACAAATTGGCCGATTTTTCTTTTTCGCCGTTTTCAGCAAACCCCACAGTTTATAGAGCACAATCGACTGAAACAACTCTTTTTTTTTTTCGTTTTCCATTTTCCCCCACAAAGTCTAGCCCCGCCTCTTTTCCCGTTTTTCATATTTTGACCGATCTCTCAATCTCTTTACCGTACTCTTTCTTTTTTCTCCTTTTTATGCCAATTTCTTTTCAGAGAGTGCTATATAAACGGTGGAATTTTGGAATTTTTCAAGCGACACCCATTTTGGCTGAAATTTTCAATTTCATTTCTAAGATGAGGAGCCTTGTGGTGAGTTTAAACTGTCTCTTTTAATCTATTTTCTAAACCGTGCCCCCTTTCTCTTTCTACCGTAAACTTAGCTCTACTTTATCAATCCAGTTTCTAGCCTTTTGCTTTTTCTAGAATTCAAATTAACCATTAAAATAAAACTGAATAATAGGTTGATGCATAAGTCTTTTCGTTTTTTTCGTACTTCTGTTAAAAAGTAACAAATTCACCAATTAATCTATAGTTTGCTCTATAAAAAAAGTGTTTTTTTGTCCAATTTCCATCTTTTTAAATGAATTTCGGTTCACTTTGAAGCAAATTCGAGAGTGAAAAACGCCTTTTTCGTAAAAATCTATAAAAAACTCTACGGAAAAATTGGCTGAATGAATTTCTCTGAAATTTTGGCGAAATATCAAACGCTTTTTTTCTCTATCTTTTATCTATTGACACGAAGATAGGTTTTCTTTAGCTAAGGTGTCTAAACCGCATCATCGAGTTAGCCCTTTTTGACTACCCGACTTCATACTCTCAAGAAAATCCAGGCATTAAATATTTTTAAACCCGTTTTAATGTTATTTTGCAGAAAAATAATTGCTTTTTCTAATGAAATCAACCGTAGTTTAATTGGTGCATTTGTTGGCTTGAAATGGCAGACGAAAAGGAACGAAAAGACTTATGCATCAACCTAATACATTGTTTTACAGATTTTACAGATTAATTAGATTTCGACAAGGTAAAGTTGGATAAATTCTTTAAAAACTGAATACATTGTTTTACAGTTTTTAAAGAATTTATCCAACTTTACCTTATCGAAATCTAATTTTTCAGGTTTAATTTAATGTTTAATTTAATGTTTAATTTAATGTTTAATTTGAAATAGATCAAAAAAGAAATACGATTTTTTGAAAACAAACGATCAATGATTTAGTTTCATTGGATAAATGAATTACCCTAAAGTCGCGAGTATAAGTTCTGTTTGGTTTTCGCATGCAAATTGACGGCTGTCTCCGGTGCGGTGTGTCGAGGGTTCGAACCCCGCTGCAGCATAAATTTTTTGCTTTTTAAGAACAATAATAGAAGTAAATTTATTGAGGGCTATAGCAATTTTATGCTGTTATTTGTTGCTCCGGGCGTGGCTCGGCGCGTCCGCCCTGCTCCTCTCCGGTGCTCAGTCTTATGGATCCCTCCCTGGCCGCTTCATCCGGCCAAAGTCCACGACGACGGTCGAAAGAGATGCTTTCCAGCGTCTTCTTCAACACTATCGTCTGGATGTATCCATGCACATAACAAATAGCAATGGTGATACGCTGTCACCCTGTAGTATCCCGCGCTCCAAGAACAATAATAAAAGTTTATATAACAATAAAAATGTATAAAAACCCAAGAAAAAGCAATTCAAAGCAATTAAAGCGAATGTAAATTAAGGCAGAACTATACTCGAGACTTTAGGGTAATGTTTAATTTAATGTTTAATTTAAAATAGATCAAAAAGAAAAGGATTTCTTCAATTCAAACGATTAATGATTTAGTTTCATTGGATAAATCATTTAAGTTGAAACTTCAAATTTTCAATTTTTCCAAATGTCTTCAAGCAATCTCAAAAATGATTAACAAAGTCAAAAATGAATGTTATTCAGAAAAATATTGAAATTTTGCAATACGTCGTAATTTCTTTTTTAGATCTCGACGTTTCTCCTATCGGCCTTTGTGAGCGGTCAGGTGACTCCAGGTGGGCTTTATTTTCTTTGAAAAATGCATCAAATTTACAAGTTTTCCAAGATTTTATGAATAAAAAGAGACAAAGAAACTCTTTTATCTCAAAATCCTTTCGTTTTATCAAATTAGAACAACAATAGACTAAAAATAGACTAAAGATAGACTAAAAATTATCGATAAACTAGGGATGACTTTGCAGGACACAAGTCATTTTGAATTCAAATTTAAATCACTAAATCACTAAACATTTGAACAAAACTTGATTGCTTTTGCTTGAAACAAAACCCGCAATCTTTACGCAACACACAAGACCCAGTGGCATTTCTCTCGTACTCGGCGTTGCATTGACAAGCTGCTGGACCGCACGATGCAATGCATGCCTAGAAATGAACTTAGTAAGGCATAAGACCCCTGACGACAATGGGATACGTTGACACGTATCCCATTGTCGTTGTCGTGTAGCTCATTGTAGCGTTCGCCCGGTAAGCGAGAGGTAAGCGAGAGGTCGTGGGTGCGAATCCCAGCACCTCAGCTCCAAGCCATAAAGCCGTACTCGGTGTTGCATTGACAAGCTGCTGGACCGCACTTGTTGCATTGACAAGCTGCAATGCATGCCTAGACTTAATAAGGCATAAGACCCACTAATTAAATCACTAAATCAGCTTTGTTCGGCCACTTTTTCACCGTCGAAACCCTGTTTTTGGCCTTTTTTCGTATGCTGATTTCAGAATTTCAACATATCTGAATCTAAAATTTCTTGCGAGTGAAAAGGATTACAAAACTAGGGCTGTGCTTTGGTCAAAGTCAAAACCAAAGCCAAAGCCGATGGCCTTGACCTCGAAAAGCGAGACTATTTGCTTAGAAATGCTTTAGAGATTTGTACTTTATGCTTTTCAAAGGCGCAAACCAGCTTTTTTTTGGTCTCAATTCATACAAATTGTCCCAAAAAGGCATCAAAAACCTCAAAAATCTCAGAAATCTCAATTTCCACTTGTAGTCAAACAAAAATTTACTCAATTTTCCCCACTCTCACTCATTTTTCCTTTACATTGTCTTCGTAAACGAAAAATTTTTCCCGATTTTCAAAGAACGAATTAATTTCCTTGAGATTTCGCATAAAAAAAGAACAAATTACCCTGAGATTTCTTTTTGATTAAAATTTTTCGTGATTTTCTGAAAATCATTTCAATTTTCCTCTTTTCACTCGGGTTACACTTCTCGTTCTCAAAGGAAAAAAAAGGTCTTTTTTTTCGAGAAAAACCCAATTTGCTGACATAAAACACACGGAAATGGAGTGGGGGTATTTTTGGACGATTTTTGACCGAAAGTAAGCTGTTTGTTTTTGAGGGAAAATGGGCTTTTTTGATAGAATGAAATTTGCGCATAGAATATGGATATATACACTACTGGACAATGAAATATCATATTTGAAAAAAGATCGTCACTTTCGCGCGTCTGTAACTCCCTTGTCTTTACCGTATTTCTAAATATTAATATTATTATTGTGTAGCCCTTGAAAAGAGCTTTCAGAAAATGTATAACACTAATAGTTTAAACTCAAAGACAAGGGAGTTACAGATGCGCGAAAGTGACGATCTTTTTTCAAATATAATATTTCATTGTCCAGTACTGTATATAGAGAGAGACTTTATTCATGACCTGAGATAAAGTGCGCTAGATTCAAGATTAATACACATGAATTCCTGCACATAACACGTAAAAGGGCCGTTAAAAAGCAGCACGATAAAATATATGTAATATATGGGTAGCACAGATAACGTCAAGGATCCACTAGAGCTTCAAGATCAACATCATCGACAGATAATTTATTTACAGATAATTTCAAAATATCGACTGGATATGGAAACGAAAAAGTTATCCGAAATAAAGCGGGATTAGCTTTTGATCAAATAGATAGAGAAAAAAGGCGCATATTCATTGAGTCCTGTGATTCGACGATAATATCAAGCAAATTTGAAACATAGCTTTTCCAATCTATCACTTCAAAAAGGCAGGATTTTGAGTTTTTTTTTTTTGAAACAGACACATCTTACTATGTGGGCTTCTGTTGGTTAAAAGTTTGCATTTAAAAATTAACCAATTAACCAAGAATTAGCAAGACATTGGTTAAAGGGCTGATAGATTAGATTAATAGATTTGTAAATAAGTTATCGTAAACACTCTAATAGAAACCCTCTATAGGAACCCTCTGTAGTCTAAGTTTACACTCAAACAAACGCTCATATCTCGACACCAGTACGTTTGTTTCTGCGCGCTTGGGTATCAAATTAAAGTAGAGAAAGATGGGTGATATTTTGGGATATAACACAGATTTTTAGCATTAGCCAGTGTTTAGAAAAAAATGATGGAAAAGTCACAAAAAAGAGCCGATGTTTTATCATAAGAATTAGAGCACCGGCGCCTATTAACTTTTGTATGAGACCTCAATATTCCCTGAAGTTGAAACTTAAGACTTTTAATCAAAGATTTTGAAAAAATACAATTAAAAGTATTATTTTCAGTGATCGACCCTGCACCATGTCCAGCGAATTCGTCTTTCAAGACTTGCAGCTCAATGTGCGAATCGAAATGCGGGGCTCTCATGGAGGGGGTAAATACTTTAAAAGCTTTAAAAGTTTAAAAGCTGTTTACCGTCATTCACGCATGATTTTTCAATTTTTTTGAAGAAATTTGAGTCATTCCGTCAGCATTTTAATTGGAAAGTCATTGGAAAGCAAATTTAATAAGCGTTTCAAAAAAATGCATTAGGAAGGGTTTTCTTGAATCTATTTCTTTCCAGATGTGCATCGAATCATGTGGTCCGCCGAAATGCCAATGTAACTCTGGATATCAACGAGACACCAATGGAGCGTGTGTGTTGCCGGAAAACTGCCAACGTGAGTATTTTAGTTTTTCAAGTTTCAAGTTTTCTCTAATTAAATGAGATAAGTCCAAATCAATTCGGACTAATCTTTTTCCGCTTTTAAAAGTTTCCGTTAATATTCCGTTAACAAAATCCAGTGGTTTTCCAGTGGATTTTGCTCTTAGTTACTTTATAAGGTAAAATCCACCGGAAAACCAGTGGATTTTAGTCTTTGTTTCTTTGTAGGGCCAAATCTACCGGAAAACCAGGGAATTTTGCCCTTAGTTTCTTTAGTTTCAAGTTATTCGGCTTCCATAAGTAATAGATTTTTAATCGCCAAACTAAATTCACTAGGTCTCCCCATATCCATGACTAATTGGATTGCAAATTGGCTTACCGAAAGGACATTTCGCGTCCGCTTAGGCTCTACTTTTTCGAAGGACTTTCCCATTAGTAGCGGAGTGCCCCAAGGGAGCGTTCTTGGTCCTCTTCTTTTCCTTATTTATATTAATGACATTAACAGTTCGATCTCTCTAGGCACAAAAGTCCGACTCTACGCCGATGATCTTAAAATTTATAGGGTACTTCCGTCCCAGATCCCCTCCCTGATTTTACCCTTCTCCAGAAGGATCTTGATTCGATCCTTCTGTGGAGTAAATCCTGGAAACTTAACATTGCGCCGGACAAATGCAAACACGTTACATTTGGTTCATTACATATCCCTTTAAATTTGGGGGACCTACAATTACCACAAGGATTGGCCGATGATCCTGTAAAAGACCTTGGTATACTGTTAGTTCCCTCTCTAAAATTTGATCCTCACATAAACTACATTTCCAAAAAAGCTTCTAGAATTTCTAACATAATACTTCGCGCCATTTGTTTCCCTAAAATCGCGACTTATCGCAGGGCTTTTATAACCTATTGCCGGCCTTTGCTCGAGTATGCCACCATCGTATGGTCACCTTCCATTAAGAAACTTATCACCTTGGTTGAAAATGTACAACGGCGTTTCACTAAAAAAGCATACACTCGTTGTTTCCCTTCTTCTCTTATTCCAAATTATGAGACTAGACTTATAGTTTTTGATTTAAAACCCCTTTTATATCGCCGTATTTACTTTGATCTGATTTTCTGCTATAAAATCCTTTTCCACCCTAAGGCGCATCCGGAATTTCAAAGTCTCTTGAAAATTGTGGAAAGTCCTAGAAGAACCCGTAGTCATCCTTATCAAATTTCGCTCGGTTCTCATCCCCACCACCTTTCCCTTTATCATTCTTTCGCGAACCGTATTAGTAGGGTTTGGAATAAGCTCCCGCCTGGTATCTTCTCGTCTGTAGGAAAATTCAAAGTATCTGTAAACGAATTAGATCTAATTGCCATGTCAAATCTGCCTTATATTTAATCTTTTTGTACCTGTTTTTCCTGACTATCGTCTTACTGTATCTCTAGGTTTCTTTCTTTTTTGTGAAAGTATTGTAGCAATTATATGCGGTTATGATTATCTGATTCGCTTCTATTCGGCCTCCTGAATAAAGCATATATATATAAAAGCTTGAAAAATTGTAACAAAAAAAGTTTAGCTCAAATTTGCCCGGGCAATTCGACTTGGACTACTTGCAGCTCGTATTGTGAGCCGCAATGCGGTGTAGAACTGAAACGGGTGAGGGAAAAGTTTTTAAGGAAAATTACTGCAAATTCTCATTGATTTTCAAGGAGAAATATTCTAAATTCCCATTCATCACTACAGCAAAAACTGGAATAGAAAATATTCAATTAAAAGAGTCAACAATTCAATTCAAGAACCTGAAAGATATTCAGTTGTGAATTCAGCAAGTAAAACTGGGTTTTACAGTAACTTTAAGCTATGCAGCTTTGCTTTTGAAATAGCCAAAAAAGAAAAGTAACTGTGATGAATTAACGCTTTTAGTTGAGTTGAAAAAGCATGTTTCAAAATAAACACTTAGATTGATTAAACTTTTCAGCTAATCTGTGACCAAAAGAATTAAAATTTTCACAAGCTTCAGATAATCGGAAAACAATAAAGAAGCTATTTTTAAAGTCAGCTGGACACACTGGCTTTTTATGGCTTGGAGCTGAGGTGCTGGGATTCGAACCCGCGACCTCTCGCTTACCTCTCGCTTACCGGGTGAACGCTACAATGAGCTACACGACAACGACAATGGGATACGTGTCAACGTATCCCATTGTCGTCAGGGGTCTTATGCCTTACTAAGTTCATTTCTAGGCATGCATTGCATCGTGCGGTCCAGCAGCTTGTCAATGCAACACCGAGTACGAGAGAAATGCCACTGGGTCTTGTGTGTTGCGTAAAGATTGCGGGAAAAGCAATCAAGGTTTGTTCAAATATTTTCTAAAGAATTTCTTAATTGACAAAATAAATTGCAAATGAAATTGAATTCCTCCATCTGATTAATTCAAAAATTTTCCATCTAATCCGATTTTTTTTGAAACTAGCACTTTTGAATCTGAAATTTTGCTGAAACCTGGTTAGAAAAAGCTTTTTGAAACGGATATTCAATTTTTTTGAGTTTCTAAAGTTTAAATCATTTCTAATTCTAAAGATAACTAACAAAATCTAAAGTTTAGAAGACTTTTCTTTAGAAACAAACCAATTCTAAAGTTTAAAAGACTTTTCTAAAGCTTTTTCTTTTGCTCTTTTCTTTCTTTCCTTCTTCTTTATTTATTCCAACCTTTTCTCCCACTTTGAAACATTTGAATTTGAAAATTAAAGCTAGAAAGTTTCAATTTATCGATCTTTATCGATTTTAATGTGATTTGATACTTTTTTTTTATGAATTTTTGCAATTTCAGACCATCTAGTTCAATTCTAATCTAAAAATTCTGTTCCAGACTTGTGCCAGAATTTCCTGGCCTGGCTTGGAGGAAGAGCTTTAGTTATCATTATTTAAAGATCTAATTAATCCCCATTTTATCAATTATCAATAACTTTTAACATTTGATATTTGATAAAAGAAAAGAATCAAACTTTTCGTAAAAATTTGCCAAAATATGATCTTTTTTCGACATTATTTAGCCAGTTATAATCCTGATACTGTTTCTTTTGAAACTCATTCTTTTCTTTTTAATCTCTATAGACTGTGATCTCGAGTGCGGTGAGGGACACGGCTGTGAACTCGTCGATTTGCCGTGTTTTGACGAGGAGCCCTGTCCGACAACAAAAGTTTGCATCGAACACACAGAAGCACAGGATTTTCAAGAAAATGACCCTGTTTTTACTAGTGGACTTGAAACTTATCAATCTTTATCGTAGAAAAGTTCTCGTTTCAATTTTTTTCTATATCTACATAGACTCGAAAATGTTTCAAACATTTTTCTATCTACCGTATTCTCTCTAATAGTAGTGCACCCCAGCGAGCCGAGAAAGAGCCCAGAAAGTGACTATTTTACGACTTTCCAAGCTTTCGCAGAAGTTCAACACTCAAATCCCCCACTAGATCTCATCGTCAGCTACATTTTCCGACCCCACATCGATAGATTCTGATCAGCGGTTCTCGAGATTTCGAGGAATTTAGGCGACGCTCATGGTGCACTACTATTAGAGAAAGCTCCTTTAAAGCTCCTCTATAGAAAAAAAAAAGAAAAAAAAAGTCAAATTGTCACAAAGTTCTTGTTAATTGGCGTATTGCTTCGAAATTGGTGATGAAAAAGGAAGAAAACGAAAAATTGTTTGTACTCAGTTATAAGTACCGTATTTTCTCTAATAGTAGTGCACCCCGTCGAGCCGAGTTGATGGCTATTTTACGGTTTCGAAGCTTTCACAGAAGCTCAACACTCAAATCCCCCACTAGATCTCATCGTCAGCTACATTTTCCGACCCCACATCGATAGATTCTGATCAGCGGTTCTCGAGATTTCGAGGAATTTAGGCGACGCTCATGGTGCACTACTATTAGAGAAAGCTCCTTTAAAGCTCCTCTATAGTTCTTATTTAGTTCCTTAAAAGCTCCTTTAAAGCTCTTTTAAAGCTCCTTTAAAGCTCTTTTAAAGCTCCTTTAAAGCTCTTTTAAAGCTCCTTTAAAGCTCTTTTAAAGCTCCTTTAAAGCTCTTTTAAAGCTCCTTTAAAGCTCTTTTAAAGCTCCTTTAAAGCTCCTTTAAAGATCCTTTAAAGCTGCTTTAAAGCTGAATTAGGCTTACCGCTGAAAATTTTACGATTAAAGTCCAAAAAAATTAAATTAAAGATTTAGCACTTTATTTTAATTATCTTGAAACTAAACATTTCAAACTGAGTGATTGTTTTGTTTCATTGATTAATTTGAATAATAAGCTCTTAATAAGTATTAAATTTCAATTGTTACTAGGTTTCTGAGCAGTTAGAGGAGCTAGTGGAGTTAATGTAAACAATTATTTATTCTTTCTGTCTACTACATGTTTCTTACGCTCATTTAATTACAATATGCCATAAATTTAAATTTAATTCCTTTAGATTGAACTTTTATTTAATTCCCTTCCCTTATATATTTGAATTTAACCTTAATTTTTAAACTTTTATTTTAATTTTTAATTTAATTTCTAATCTTTTCTGTACGTTTATGTTTTCCGAGTGATAAGCGGCTCCTTTTTTTTGTATTATTCGTTCCTAGCTATAAACGGATATAGACTAGAGTTTGGGTTAAGCTAAAGAGAGTGTATCCCTTTTGATATCCCGCCATCTCTAACACCCCGACAACTCAACTCAACTCCTCCAACGTATTAGAGGGGAGTCCCTGTGAAATGACCGACCTGAACTGCAGTTGCATAGACCCGGAAGATATGTATTTTTATTTACAGTAATACAATAAGACTAATAGATTACAAATGAGTGTAAGGGGAAGGGGGGACTCCAAATGAGAGTCTCACTTGTCCTCCTTGGCACAAGTCCTCCTTGTCCTCCTTTGGCTCCCAAGGACCGCGCCTTCCCGGCAATAAAAGGGACAAGCACAGGGGGAGAACATATTTGCATAAGAATAGACAAATCATTCACAATAATAACAATAGTAACTAAAAAATTAGTTTAGCTCGGAGCTGACAATATTAAGAAATTGCTTTTAGCGAAAAGCCGGATTTTTGCTAGTCATTTTTCTCATTTTCAAACGTCAAGCCTTCTTTGAACACTAAGTTTTTTTAAAATTGATATCTTTGACCAAGCATTTGACTATTTTAAATCTATTTTTTAATAAATCTATTTTTCGTTTAGTTTAGTTTAGACAAAACTCTGAAAAATCTACCACTTGATTCCCCGGATACTTGGCATTTCCCATTTCCATTTTTATCGACAACACACTCTTGTCCAACCATGCAACTGACGGCCGCACAACCGGTTGGCTCTAAAACGAAAAACCTTTACATTTGCTGATGCTTTGGAGCTTTGCTTGCAATTGTGCGATCGAGTATGTTCCTCTTGATTGCTACCTTTTCTAAAAGGTTTCCTTTTCTCCATTTGGCTTGAGCATTTGACTATCTAAAGCTATTTTTTAATAAATCTATTTTTTATTTTTAAATCTTATAAATTTCAGTGTGCCATCAAAAAATTTCGTTTAACGATCGTTTTTATTTTCTCTTTGAAATTTCCGTGTTTCATTTTTTCGTGAATCTATTCTGAGCCTGGGTGGCTAGTGGGGTCGTATCAGGTGCCAAAAAATTACCGTATTTTCTGTAATAGTAGTGCGCACTACTATTTTTTCAACCCCCCTCCTGCCTGCACTACTATTACAGATTGCACTACTATTGTAGAGCGCACTACTATTACAGAAAATACGATAAATACCTTATTTCAAAAGCTATCAACTCTTTCAAAAGCTTTTAAGTGTTACATTGAAAAGATGAACTTTTTAGAAATATAAATATAAATACAAATATTCAATTTCTAGGCAATTGCCCTGTCGGCCAAACGTGGGCTCCATGCGGTGCCGGTTGTGAGCCAAAATGTGGACTACCATGGCCAAGGGTGAGTGCTCAAAAGTTCAAATGTGGTGGTATTCAACGACATTCAACTTGCAACTTGCAATGATATGCAACACCAAAAACTATTTCAAGTCGTTATCCGTGCAAACACGATCGTGAAATCCTTCTTCATCGGCACCACTGGTGCAGTCATTCTAAACCGAAATTTCGAATTAGTCATCCACATTTCCCAACCTGTCCATCGCATTTCCACGAGTTCGGGATGCAAAGCGTGAATTTCCCATCAAATTCGGAACACTTGAGCTGATCCTCTTTGCCCTTGATTTCTTAATATCAAAATTTTGTAGGTTTGCCCAGCGATTTGCATGACTGAGGGAGCGTGTGTCTGCTCGAATAACACTTTCAGAGACACGAATGGGAAATGCGTTCCAAGAGCCCAATGCACAAATACAGGTTTCAAATTTGTGAAAAGCAAATCACTTTCCGAAACCGTAGTTTGTTTTGCTTCAATAATGCTATTAAAATTCAGACACAAGGCTCAATGGAGATGGAAACAGAATATTTTGCTAATCTTTGTCAATTCTCCATAAAAAAATCCATTTCAGGTCCTCAAAAGTGCACAGCGAAATGCTCGGCCGGTCAGAAATGCGTCCTGCGAGAGGTGAGTGTTTCAAAGGAAGCCGTGTCAAAGCGGGATTTTCTGATTGTGGGACATTTGATACGCCTTTGACATTGGCAATCCAGCTTTAAGCTCAAATAACTTGGTGTTGGGCTGTCCAATTGAAGTAGCTTTTGTATTAATCGATAGAGAAAGTCTTGGCGCATCGAATGATACCAAGAATATTTAAATTGGACAGCTAAACACTATCACATTTAAGCTCAAAGTTAGATTGCCAATGGCAAAGGAGCGGGAATCAAATGTCCGATAACCGGATTTTCATAGGCAAGAATATAAAGTTAAGATGACCAAAAACGGGCTTACATTTTATTTTTCGAAATTCAGAATAAAGGTGCAAAGCAATTCTTGAACAAAATCACAGCTCATCGAATTTCTTTAGGTTGTCTGTGTCCGTGCTCCGTGTCCACCTATTCCCACGTGTGTCAACGAGACAGGTAACGAAATTGGATTTGTTTGTTTGTTTTTTTTTCTGAATTTGCCTTTGTAAAATTGAAATGAATAGAGTACCAATAATGCGTTTTCTGAAATTCACCTATTTTGGAAAACCATCGCAATCTACCCACCAGTTTCCTTTTAATCAGCCTAATTTTTGTATTATTGACTAAGCCTTGAGATTCCCTCATCGAATTTGACCAAAATTGGGCTAATCCAATGAAAACTGGCTGGGATTACGGTAGTTTTCGAAAATAGAGTTTGGCCGACAAATTGCCGGGCAATTGCCTAGAAATTGAATATTTTTATTTATATTTATCTTTCTAACAAGCTCATCTTTTCAATGTAACACTTAAAACTCTTGAAAGAGTTGATAGCTTTTGAAATAAGGTATTTACCGTATTTTCTGTAATAGTAGTGCGCTCTACAAAAGTAGTGCAGTCTGTAATAGTCGTGCAGGCAGGAAAAAGGTTGAAAAAATAGTAGTGCGCACTACGATTACAGAAAATACGGTAATTTTTGGCACCTGATACGACCCCACTGGCCACTCAGGCTCAGGCTAGATTCACGAAAAAATGAAACACGAAAATTTCAAAGAGAAAATAAAAACGATTGTTAAACGAAATTTTTTGATGGCACACTGAAATTTATAAGATTTAAAAATAAAAAATAGATTTATTAAAAAATAGCTTTAAATAGTCAAATGCTCAAGCCAAATGGAGAAAGGAAACCTTTTAGAAAAGGTAGCAATCAAGAGGAACATACTCGATCGCACAATTGCAAGCAAAGCTCCAAAGCATCAGCAAATGTAAAGGATTTTCGTTTCAGAGCCAACCGGTTGTGCGGCCGTCAGTTGCATGGTTGGACAAGAGTGTGTTGTCGATAAAAATGGAAATGGGAAATGCCAAGTATCCGGGGAATCAAGTGGTAGATTTTCCAGAGTTTTTTCTAAACTCGCACATTGATAATTGAAAATCTACCCATTTTTCAGAACAATTGCATTGTTTTTCGGCAACTTAAAATGTTCAATTTTTGAAACTCAACTTTTTTATTGAGTCAATAAAGGAAAAAAGCTAGAAAATAGAATTTAAAGCAGAAACAATCAATTAGAAAACCAATCAAGAAATCAATCTTTTAGGAAACTGCTCGAAAAACGAATTTTTCAACTCGTGCACCGGATGTGAGACGTATTGTGGACAACAGGGACCAGTGGTGAGTGCGAAATTTGCGGAATTTGTGCCCATCTAGCCCAAATAGGCTGTAAATCCTTTTTTTGTTTATAAAATAACTTTAGATGTGCACAAAAATCTGCATCACCCCAGGGAAATGCCGTTGCAAGGAGGGTTTCTTCAGAAATCGCCTTTCCGGGAAATGCGTCACACAAAATGAGTGCGATTCGCAAAGTGAGATTACGGAGTTTCAAAATAGACGTCTCTATTTAGAGGAGCTTTCAGTTAATCGAGTTTTGTGGTGAAATAGTGGTGAAATAGTGGTGAAACTTGTTATTAGCTTGCTGAATGAGTCTTGATCACTTTTTTTGTAGCACACAAGTTAGCTAGATTACCAAATAGTTTAAAAAAAGGCGATTTAGGCACTTTGGTCCACAGAAATCTATGTAATCTATGTTGGTGCAAATAGAAAAAAGAAAGAGCACAAAAAGTTAGGTAGATTACCAAATTTTCAGAACAATCTATTCACGCAGGTTCTTTATAGGACTTTTTATCGAATTCTTGCGAAAAACGAGCTTTTGTTACTCGAATTTTGCTTGGAAAGAGACCAAAATCGGCTTGAAATGATAGAAAAGTGAATGCTAAACATCTATTTGGAAAAAACCGTAGATCAATTGATGACTTAGTCATTTCTAAGTATATTTACGAAAAAGTGGTCAAGCCTTGTTTACCAAGGTAATAGTTAGAAAATTTGATTCAAAAATGATTTGAAATTTGAATTTGATTCAGCTCCACCAACCCTCACGTGTGCCACTGTGTTATGCATCACGAATACGACGTGTATCGAGACACCAAATGGTCCATCGTGTGTCCCGATCAACAATGGTAAGAGCTCCAATTATTCAATCAGTTTCCAATCATTATCCACAAATTACCCTAAATTGTTCAGGCTTTAGAAAACCGTATTGTGGAATAAACCGTAGGTCAACTGAAAAAGAGTTGAAATTAAAATTGATCAATTGATTCTTTTGAAAAAAGAAAGTTTAAAAAAGTATGACTATCGTTTTGATTCGACGAATTTGCAGCATTAAAAAGAGTTTTAAAAGTTTGGCTTCCTTTTTAATTCGATAAATTAACTGTATTCTACTATTAGCAACCATTTACTAATTAAGATTAAATAAAAACAGCACTCCAATGAAAATTGCACTTTTCTTTTACTGAAAACGATGATTTTTAATGAAACTCTAACGTTATTGAGTTTAGCTTTATGAAACTGAGAGAGTTGATAGGGAAAGATTGATAGAGAATGCTAGAGAACGACAGAGATTGATAGAGATTGATAGAGAACGATAGAAAACGATAGAGAATGATAGAGAATGATAGAGAATGATAGAGAATGATAGAGAATGATAGAAAATGATAGAGAATGATAGAGAATGATAGAAAATGATAGAGAATGCTAGAGAATGATAGAGAGTGCTAGAGATTGATAGAAAATGATAGAGAATGCTAGAGAATGCTAGATAATGCTACATGATACTAGAGAATGATAGAGAATGATAGAGACTAATCATTCCTATTAGTTTTGACGAAAACTAGACGCAAAACGTGAAACTTAGTAGATATTTATGTACAGATAACAAATTCCCAGTTGTTTACAGCATTCGCAAAATTTTGAACATTTTATTTGCAATCAAAACACATTTACAACCACCCATTGCTTCTGTCAGTTTCCAGTAGAGTGTGTTCCTCGCGAGTAAGTAATTACTCGAGTCAAATTTGCATGAGTATCTTTTACTCGATTAATCACACTCTAGTATTTACGGTAGTTTCTGTCAGTTCGCAGCTTCTGCTGTCAGTTCGCAGCTTCTTCTGTCAGTTCGCAACTTCTGCTGTCAGTTCGCAGCTTCTGCTGTCAGTTCGCAGCTTCTGCTGTCAGTTCGCAGCTTCTGCTGTCAGTTCGCAGCTTCTGCTGTCAGTTCGCAGCTAGCTTCTGAATAACTTGAAACACAGAAATTTATACAAGACAAATTTTTCTAGTTATTTTTCATTGAATCTATTGAATGGTTTTTGTAATATTCCTAATTTTTGGCGTTTTTCTTTCAGGTACTCAACCAGTTTGTAACCTATTTTGCCCGTGCCACAAACGGTGCAAAATCACCAGGCGTGGACCACGATGTGTCCGATGGGGTAAAGCAAAAAGGGAAATGTATAGAATCGCTTTCTGATTTTCTTTGTTTTTTAGAATAGAAAGACAGAAATCCTTGTTTTGAAGCCGAAAATAATCCAATTTCACAAGTTTCCAATTTCAAACTCATTATTTCAAAATTATTAAATACAAAACTAGGATCTTCTCCTTTAACCATTTTTTTTAGCTCTTTTCGGAATGTTACTTTGAAATTAGACTCTTCTAAAAATATAAATACAAATAAAATATTAAAAATAGAATGGAGCCAAAGCCTCAACAAGTCCTCAAGTTTATTTAGGAATTCATATTGGTGAACTTGGGACTTTGGTCGGCTGGGGAGGATCTTGAAAATAAGGATTTAAAATTGAGAAAGTTTAAAAACGCTAGAATATTATACTATTTTAATTTTTTAAAACTACTGTTTCTCTAAACTAAACACGGTATGGTCAAACAAAATAAAACTGACGAGCCTACTCTGAGGCTGAACAGCTTGAAACTCAAGACTTGTTTCGAGTATTGAGATCTTTTATTAGAAACCCAAATTCATTAAAAATTCATTAACACGATACGGCCGTACGTGGATTTAGCATTTTTTTGAGGCCAGTTTAACTGAAAATTTACACCAGCTGGTTCTCGGGGTCAACGAATTCGAATCCGTGTTTGATTTTTAAAAAAAGCTGCTCTATTTTCTGGATATTTCATTGGGTTTACTTACCCAAGTGCAATCCCAAATCCAGGCCCGTTTGCCGATTAAAAAAACGTGAAAATTTTCATGTTTACGTAGTCGTGCGGCTTTTGGCACACGGCCTCGAGGGATATAAGGCAGAACCAGAAATCTTTTACACTCTTTTTTTGCGCAATTTGGTTTAATTACCCAAGTTTTAGAGAGTTTTGTGATGATCGTATTGGCTCAAAAATTAAAGTTACTCAAAAAATTGATTCAGATTCAGATTCTCTATCCCAGAATGCTTTTGGTTACAAATTTAGTAGATCTACAACTAGATCGCTGTCATCCGAAACGCTGTCAAACCAAAAATGACTTTTTTTTGTGAATGTTCTAGCCAAAAATGACAGTTCTAACTAATTAGTTCTAATCTACAGTAGACTAAGAATATAAAACAAAACCCAAACTTTGGTTTTGCTCCTTTTTTCACCAATTTCTCCAATTTGGTTTAATTACCCGAGTTTTAGAGAGTTTTCGTTTTTTTGGCCGTTTCAGACTATAACTGTCGTCTGAAACGGCAGCCAAGCCAAAAATCACCTTTACGTTAATGTTTTAACGTTACTAATTTACTCAAAAAAAGGTCTTTCAGATAAACCAAGAATCACTTGTGCCAATGTGCGTTGTGCAGGACCGTGTGTCGACACTCCGACTGGACCACATTGCCAACCGAGTAAGTAGCCCTGTAAACACAAGGAAATATTGAATTTGAACACCAAAGCAAGCTAACACACGAAGCTAACACACGAAGCTAACACACGAAGCTAACACACGAAGCTAACACACGAAGCTAACACACGAAGCTAACACACGAAGCTAACACACGAAGCTAACACACGAAGCTAACACACGAAGCTAACACACGAAGCTAACACACCAAGCTAACACATCAAGCTAACACATCAAGCTAACACAAAGAAATATTGAATTTGAACATCAAAGCAAGCTAACACAAAGAAATATTGAATTTTATCATCAAAATAATTTCCCCATTACATTCTTTATTTTCTGATCATTTGTTCTCATTCTAGGACCCACCGACTCGACGCCGGTCGCCTGCAATTTGAACTGTATCAATGGTTTCGAGTGTGTCCTCTCACAGGTTGGTTTCACTTGAAAAACAATAATAGAAACAAAACTAGAAACAAAAATAGAAACAAAAACCAAAGACACTAACAAGCTTTTTATTCACAACTTTTTAGCCTCCACTTTGCGGCGCCAACTGCCAACAGACGCCCACTTGTATCCCCAAAAATAGTGGGTTTCAAAATCTTGGATTATCTAAATCAAAATCTCTTTTTAATAGCACTAACGAGAAATTTAATGAATTAAACCCAAGTCTTATTTACAAATTTACTACTAAATTTGAATAACTAAACTGAGTTTAAATTGGAAATTTTCTCTTTGAACCGTCACTTTCAACCCTTTGAACTTTTCCGCCTTCACCGCTTTCTCAAAATACAAAAGTTTTTCGAAATTTTCGGGAGTGGGACAAATGCGACCTTTTTTTGCGCACCCGGACATTTGCGCACCTTTTTTTCCGCACTTAGCCCATTAGCGCACCTTTTTTCGCGTTTGAAAAAAGCTCTAAAAAGCTAATATTAACCAATTTCTATTCCAAAAGTTGTTTTTCTAGGTAATTTGAGGGTGTCGAATTCAAATTTTGACATAACAGAGCGTGTGGAACCAATTTGAAAGACAATTTGAAAGACAAAACGGCTAGATCAAGTTACAGAAAATTGACCTAGCCGTTTTTTCTCTTTGTATAACTCCGTCGGTTTATTTCCAGAAGCTTCTGTTATGTCAAAATTTGAATTCGACATCCTAAAATTACCTAGAAAAACAACTTTTGGAATAGAAATTGGTTATTAGCTATATTAGCTTTTTAGAGCTTTTTTAAAACGCGAAAAAAGGTGCGCTAATGGGCAAGGTGCGGAAAAAAAGGTGGGCAAATGTCCGGGTGCGCAAAAAAAAGGTCGCATTTGTCCCACTCCCAAATTTTCTAATACTAAAAGTTATGCATATTTTCCCTAACATATTCTGAGAAAAAGAACCCGAAAAACTCATTTTCGAAGTACCCTTTATTGACCTTTAAACTCGCCGACAAATTCCCTTTTCTCAATGTTACTCAAAAACGGATTAAAGATCTTTCAATTCTGATTTGACAAGCCAAATTGTCGATAGCCAATTGCCGTAGTCGATTACATTTTCATGCATTTAAAATGTTAACCAAAAGCTCTGTAATTAATTTTTAACACTTTCTAATCAATTTCAAAAATTAGCTTCATAAAAAATTTCAGATTTGTTTGTGGATTTTCGAAAATTCGAAAATCTGCCAAATTTTGCTTTAAATGTGTATATTGCAAAAAGCTGGTTTCAAAAGCATTAACAATCAGCATTGAGATCATTATTTAATTCACTCCTGTTGTCTAAATTAGAAAACAAAAGCAAAAGCAGCAAACAAATTTTCCAGTCACTTCGTGCAAGATGATGAAATGCACCAAGGAAACCCATTGTGCGATGGTTCAGGTGAAAAAGAGTTTCCTTTAAATTCAATATTCATTTATAGCATTGAAAATGCTTTCAAATACATCAGACAGACAGAAATTGTTAGAAAACTTGAGCATATTCTGGCATTCCTGCAATTTTCGTAGAATTGCGCACCTGAGTAGACAAGCAATGAACTTGACAAGCACTGAACTTAACTTGACAAGCACTGAACTTAACTTGACAAGCACTGAACTTAACTTGACAAGCACTGAACTTAACTTGACAAGCACTGAACTTAACTTGACAAGCACTGAACTTAACTTGACAAACACTGAACTTAACTTGACAAACACTGAACTTAACTTGCCAAGCAACATTATAGAGAAGAAACTTTCATTCATTAGAGTTTACGATTTTTGTAAAGAATAAAAAGGTTATATTAGTTTATAATATGTAGAAAGCTTTAGTGAAAAAGTGAAAAATTGAAAGCAGACAAGCAGCAGAAGAGTTTTCTTCTCCGAATTGCATCAAAAATTTCGAGATGAGACAATAGACATTTGCGAATAAAAGTCAATGAGGGTACGGGGGTGTGAAATCAGTTCTGCGCAGAACTCTGCGCAAAGTCTAGCTTTTCGATCAACTCCACTTTTTTTGAAACATAGTTTTTCAGGTCCAATGTTTCGCTCCACCATGTTACCCGGTTCCCGAATGTGTCCCAAATGAGGATAAACCTTGTATGTGAAAAATGTTGAAGCTATTTTATTCGGGTGATGGCAATGAAACCAGCGCTCAAATACCTTTCAAAAATTAAAAGGATTGCAAGCCTCAGCCAATAAGTGTTGTATACTGCTCGAAAGCTCTGAATCTCCTCTACAACACAATGCAAAATGATTTTGAATTGGATTGATTATTGGGGACTTGGGTGTTAAAAAGTAAGGGCAGGTCGAGTCTCAACTTGGGTACCTGTGCCTGGTGGCAACTATCCGCTTCCACGGATCTTTCCGCTTGAAATTTTTCCAATATATTAAGGATATATATTAAGGATAGACATTATTCAATATTTGTACTAAAACTCAAACGATCAGCTTAGATTCCATCGAGACAAAGTTGAAAGTAGCTGTTTTTGGCTTTAAATGGGCCTTTTTGGAAAAACAGATTTATCTCTAGAAGACGAACAAACAAAAACAGTTCTTTTCTTTTGAAATAATTTTTATTGGCGGTATTTTCTAACGGAAAACCCGGGAATGCCGATTCCCAGAAACACATTTTTCAGAAAATAGCCATTTTTGACCTTTGAACTTAAAAGTCACCCAAGTCTCCAAGAAGCAATTCAATTCAAAATCTTTTTCGCATTATTTTGTAGAGGAGATTCAGCGCTTTCGAACGGTATACAACACTTATTGGCTGAGGCTTGCAATCCTTTTAATTTTTGAAAGACATTTGGCGCTGTTTTCATTCCCATCGCCAAACCCGCAAGCCAGGAAAAAATTGCTATTTGACAAAAAAAACGAAGCTGATCAATTTGAAACAAATCTTTTTGAGCTTTTGACTTTTAAAATTTGCAATATCTAGAGAATACAAATAGAGATTAGCACACTAAAAACGATACCGTATTTTCTCTAATAGGACCTATCACAACCTACATGGAGGGGGGTTGGTAAATCGAATATTTAACCAGGTCTTCATTTATTTTTTTATTAAGTATTTAGTGCACCCAGAGCGTCGCCTAAATTCCTCGCAATCTCGAGAACCGCTTATCAGAACCTATCGATGTGGGGTCGGAAAATGTAGCTGACGACGAGATCTAGTGGGGGATTTGAGTGTTGAGCTTCTGTGAAAGCTTTGAAAGCCGTAAAATAGCCACCAACTCGGCTCGCCGGGGTGCACTACTATTAGAGAAAATACGGTACTTATAACTGAGAATAGAACAAAAATTTTTCAGATTTTCTTACACTTTTTCAATCACCAATTTCGAAGCAATACTGCCAATTAACAAGAAAACTTTAGTGACAATTTGAAACAAATTTTATTTTATTCTTTTTCAAAAACTAACAACTAATCAATTCTAAACAAAAATACCATTATAAAATCATTTTTTAAAACAAATTGAAGCCTTTCCTCTTTTAGTGGGCCCTTGTGCGGTGACCGATTGTCGATCCGGATATGTTTGCATTGAGGAAACGGTAGGATTTGAAAAAATTGATTTAAAATTTAAAAAGCCTATTCAAAACATTGAAAATAGTTTGAATATAATAGATTTTAAAAATTCAATCATTACAAAGACTAATCCCAATAAACGAAATGGTTTCAGGTGAATTGTGTAAAAGCTCCATGCCCAGGACAAGGCGTTCACGCGAAATGTGTGCCAACTGGTGAGTTTTAAACAAATTTCATTTTAAACTTCGACTACCGTATTCTCTCTAATAGTAGTTCACCCTGAGCGTCGCCTAAATTCCTTGCAATCTCGAGAACCGCTTATCAGAACCTATCGATGTGGGGTCGGAAAATGTAGCTGACGATGAGATCTTGTGGGGGATTTGAGTGTTGAGCTTCTGCAAAAACTTTGAAAGCCGTAAAATAGTGACCAACTCGGCTTGCACCACTGTTAGAGAGAATACGGTCATATTTGAACATTATTAATTGAAAACTAACAAAAACTTAGCTCTTCTCAGTAAGCAGTAAGCAGCTCGTTGTTTTTCAAAAACTCCAAAGCTAGTCAAACTAGGCTAAGTGTGACTCTCAACTTTGAGAGCTTGTTTTAGAAATTTGTGAGCTCCTATCGGTTAGATAATGGGCACCGCTACAGGAGACCCAGTCAAAATTTACCTGTAGCATTTTTATGGTAATCGGTGATCTTTTGACTGAGCTACACCCTCCAAAGTGAGTATGAGTACCGTATTCTCTCTAATAGTAGTCCACCCTGAGGCTTGCCTAAATTCCTTGAAATCTCGAGAACCGCTTATCAGAACCTATCGATGCGGGGTCGGAAAATGTAGCTGACGATGAGATCTAGTGGGGGATTTGAGTGTTGAGCTTCTGCAAAAGCTTGGAAACCGTAAAATAGTCACCAACTCGGCTCAGCGGCGTGCACCACTATTAGAGAAAATACGGGAGACGGTTTCCCGTCATCTTTACTTATTTTTGTGTTTCAATTGAGCCAAAATTGAGTTCAAACTAAACTACGGGGTGCACTACTAAGAGAATACGGGAATTTGAAAAATTTTGGGTTTTCTCTGCGTTTCACACATACTTAAGTAAGAAATAAACGGGAAAACGATCGAAACAAATTCCCAAATAGCACACAAAAAACAAAAATTCATTTTCAGCCTGAACACATCACTCTTAAACTTCTTCAACTTTCATATCTTACAATTTTTTACAACTTTTCATTCTATTCTTTTTCTTTTCTACACTAATCTAGACTCAAACGAAGCAATGACAAAAAAAATAAGCTAAATGGTCTTTAAATTTTCAATTTTCAAACTAATCTTACTTTCAAACTGTAATCTTTTTAGTTCAATCTATTTTATTTTTTGTTGTGTTGTACTTCTTGAAAACACTTTTGTTTTTGTGTTTGTATAAAGATTGGCACATTTTCTTTCCTCATTATTAAGCACAAAATATTGAGTTTAAAAAAACGCATAATGTCATGTGGAAGCTGAAGGAGATAAGTTGTCAAAACCCCTCAAAAGACTCTAAAAAAAGAATTGTAGAGTGCCGTTTTATATAGTTGGACTGGGACCAAAATTTAACATTAACCAAAAAGCAATGCAAATTTGGATAAGAGAAACGATTTTCTAGACGAAATTTCTCATAATATAGCTCCAAAATGCGGTCTTTTCTTTCAAAAAGGTGAACTTGGCCGCCCTTACCCCGGTGGTTCCATGGTGTAGCGGTTAGCACTCAGGACTTTGAATCCTGCGACCCGAGTTCGAATCTCGGTGGAACCTAGCTCTTTTGCTTTTTTTGGAAAATTTTGTTTTAAATGGTTTAAAAGGTTTATTGGTTTAAATGCCTGAAATGAGGTTTTTAAAATGATGAAAAATATGATTGTAGTGATTATTGTTGGTTTAGATATAATCTTTATTACAGCGATAATAGTTGGTTCAGTGGTTTGAGATTGGGAGAGTAGAGACACTCCAGGGTACACGGTCGGCAGCTCGTTCACATTGCTTTTGTACGGAACTCGGGCGTTCGTCTCGTCTTTCACACAACGGATAGCGTTGTGAGTTGAACGGATAGCGACGCATATAAATAGAAATCTCGCACAATAGGCGTTCGTCCCCATAGGTGTCTAACTGGCCATTTCCATACGTGGCAATCTCGATCACGAGATCGTCACGACAATGATTAAGTTTCCATAAAAGTTTCATGGTTGAATGAATGAATGAAAAAAAATGAAATTCTCTTGCTCACTTGGGAAAAAAAAAGAAATAAAAAAAAAAGTTCGCTTTATTAAGCCTTTAGGGGAGTGGTAAATAAGTTGAAATAAAGAAATCTTCTTAGATTGTTGGTTTTAGAATTGATGGATTGGGTAATGAGCTTAATCTGAGCTTAAACTTATTGCGTTTTGCGTTTAAAACCCTTTTAGATTAGATCTTTGGTTAAATTGACCAAAGAAAAGGCAGTGATTCTCAGTACGATTTAATGCAGTTAAAATAAATTTGTAAATTGACTGATTAAATTGATTTGACTCATTTTTGATAATGAGTACTGTTAAAGTGCTTGTTAACAGTACTATTAAAGGTAATGACGCTAAAAAATTTGTCAACAATTTGCCAACATGGACCCTGTATCTCATTAATAAGTCTTTTAAACAAGAAATATCCAAAAAGTTGAAACATTCAAAATTCAGAGAGCTTCTCTTTGACTTTAAAACTCGTTTGTTTTTTTTTGTGACTCTCTACAGATCAAGATGAAAGTTTTTATCTTTTTATTCATCAATTTAAAGCTTAGTTTTCTTATATTCGTCTGATTTGAAACGCTCATTTGAAACAAAAAATGGAGTTGAATTTGGAGTTAAGAGATGCGTGAAAAATAGCAATTATTGAGCTTTTTAGCAATTTTATCGGAAAATTAGCGATTGCTGAGCTTTTCTTGGCAATTGTAATTGAGCTTTTTAGTAATTGTAACGGAGAATTAGCGATTGCTTGGCAATTGTAACAATTGTATCGGAAAATAGTGATTGCTGAGCTTTTTTGACTTTATTTAGTAGAATTCTAGTTCTAGTTTTCAGTTCTAGCGCGTTCTAGTTCAGTTCAGTTCAGTTCATTTCTGAAACAAGCGCACAATCTCATAGTAGTCGATCAAATATGGGTCGACGATGAGAAATTGACGAATCTCATCAAAAAGACATTTCCATTCTTCCGCTGATACCTAGAAAATTTGATTTGTAATTGATTTTGAAATTGATTTTGAAATTGATTTGATTTTGAAACATGACTTTTTTAAAACTCGAAAACTCACCCGAAAAACGGAAACCATTAGGCACTCTTGCACTAAATCAGCACTCCAAAAGTCGTTTGCCACCTGCAAAAAGAATTCGCTTTTAAAAGAAGCTTTTAAAAGCTTTCTTTAACTAATAAGAAGTTAAATAATTAGGAATTGCTTCCGATTTTTCTCTACGATTGTTTCATTCTCCTCTCACCTTTCATTGTCCTCTTGTTATGTGTATGAATTGATGTGTATCAATCTTGATCTAGCACACTTTATCTCAGGTCCTGAATAAAGTATCTATATTCTCATTTTCTAATCGATGCATCAAAAAGTCAATGGCAACTCTTTTTGCGGAGTTTTCTATAAAGTTGATTTCTATCATTCTTTGAGAAAAATATTTCTTTAGCTTTTTAAAAATAGCTCTCCTGCTTCCTTAGTCACAATCTTACAGTAATTTAGATTTTCAATTTAGATTAGATTAGATTCAATTCAATTTAGATTCTCCAACATTTTCAGCTTCCCCTGCAAAAAAAATTTCAATGTTTCAAATTACGCAACTCTAGTTACTGATCTTTTTCCTCAATTCTATACCGAAAAGAATTTAGATACCGAACGTTTTTTTTTTGCTTTTTTCAAATCAAAATACGATCATCAATCTCTCATCATTTTTTATGCCCTTTTTATCCACTGACTTCATATAAGAGATCCATTCGAGTGACACACTTGGCTGGTGAAGGGAAACGGAAAGATAAGTGGAACAGCTGAAAATATTGGGAATTTTTAGGCTAATCAACTTTTAAAACCATTATCATACAATATTTGGGTTATTTCAAAACGAATATACCGCAAAAACTCTAATAAAAGAGCCGACTCTTCTATTTTTCAAATGTTCCTCTAAAATTCTTATTTGTGTCTTAACTACAGTGTCCTTAAATTTTCAAGAGCAATTCAAGAGTTTTTGTTGGATTTTCAGCCGGTTTTCGACGTCATTAAAGCTTTTTTTTAGTCTATAACTATTATTTATAACCTTCAGAAGGGTTTAAAAGTTTAAAAGAACCTTCAGAAGGTTTAAAAAAGTTAAGAATTTTGCTATCCAAGAGTTAACAAATACGAAAAAATTAAAAATTTTTTGTTTAGAGCTCTTCTATTGGAATAAATACGATAATTCTTTTAATGGAAAGGGCTTTTCAATTGGATCACATATGGTAACTCTGAAGTAATGCTGAAAGAGCTTAAAATCTCGTGCAAAAACCTACCACTACCAAACTTTTGCTCACTACAGCTTAATAATTTTGAAACAAGCTTTTTCAAAAAAGATAACTCTGTGTTAAAAGTGATTAATGATCACATTGTAGCATACAGATAGCTCCCTCACAACTATTATCACTATTAATCACTATCACAACTATAATTAGATTTATTTATGACATGTTGATAATCTTGAAACAAATTTTTTTCACCAAAGGTTTTTTGTTTTCCACTTTCTTTTTAAAAAATAAAATTTTTTTCTTGAAATAGGTAATTTTCAATTTTAAATTTGTCAAAAAACTTCTCAAAGAACTCACTTTTGCATAAATTTTTCGTAGACACATCTCCGCCGTTGGGTGTATCGATGCGGTGATTGTGTTAAACGAGCTGCCCCATTCGAATCGTGTTAAACTGAATGCATTCTGAAAGATAAACGATATTTCTTTAGTTTAAGAGAACTTTTGAATGAGTTTTCACGTTTTGAGGAGGCACAACTTTGTTTAGAGATAGTTAATGTTAGCTTCTGTTATAGAGGACCCTTCAGGCTTTTAAATGATATAAAATTGAATTTGATTGGGCCATGGAATTCTAGGAGAATCAAGAGATAATCTATTGATAATCAAGAGATAATTCCTAGGATTCTATGGCCCAATCAAATCTCTTGATAATCAAGAGATTACCTCTTGCTTCTCCTAGGATTCCATGACCCAATCTCTTGATAATTGGGCCATGGAATCCTAGGAATTATCTCTTGATTATCAATAGATTATCTCTTGATTATCAATAGATTATCTCTTGATCCTCCTAGGATTCCATGGCCCAATCAAATCTTTTGATAATCAAGAGATAATCTCTTGCTTTTCCTAGGATTCCCTGTCCCAATTATCAAAAGGTTGGGCCATGGAATAGTAGGAGAAGCAAGAGATTATCTCTTGATTATCAAGAGATTTGATTGGGCCATGGAATCCTAGGAATTATCTCTTGATTATCAAGAGATTATCGCTTGATTCACTTAGGATTCCATGGCCCAATCAAATTCAATTTTATCTCAATCGCTCAGAGCGGATTGTTTGTTTTTTTCTAAATATTTTTATTTCTAACTATTTCGAAATATCGTATTTTTCTAAATACTAACAAATTTGATGGAAAATCCGCGAATGATCAAGGAAAAGGGAAGCACTTTGTACCCAACAGGTCTGCCAGTAGGCGAGCGATTACGCGGCCGCACAAAGAACATCTGGCCAGTCATTTACTAGGGATTTCTCTTGTTTTTTAGATGGCTTCAAATAAAGATATTCAGCTGTAATTTTGTACCCGGGGGTTTTCGGGGTCGGGGAATCGATTGGAACTATTCATTTCATTGAGCTATCAACTGAAACTCGAGTTTTCCCATTTGAAACACTCACCCTTGCACAGTGATCCACGTTTCTCATGATGGTTTCCCCTTGTGCAAGCACCGCTTTTGATGTGCCAAGTTTCAAAATTTTTCGGAAATCTAAAAGGAATTGAATTTTATTATTTAGAAAACTGTTAGATTACCTGTCAAAATTTGTCCTAACTTTTGCTTGAAACATATCCTCCGCAAAATGTTTTCCGTTATCTGAAAGCTGTTTTTTTTAGCCAATCAAAAATTTTGTAAATGAAATTCAATCTTACAAATCTTCTCTACTCTAAATTCTATTCTTTTAATTATTGCCAAGCCAGTAAAGATTGAAAGTGAACTTTTAAACAGCTTTAAAAAGCGTTTTATTGGATTGGTGAATTGAAAACTGCCGGCTATTGTCACATGTGACAGTCTGAGCACTTTCTTCAAAAGAAACCCATTTTGGTGTCAATGGAAAAGTTGTAGAGAATCAAAAATCAAGCTTATATCCAAATTTTCAGGATGATTCAAAAACTGGTTTTCAAGAAATGCCAAATTTACGAATTTTCACAAAACTTGCATTTTAAGCGAAACTAGTAAGTGTATCTTTTTGGAAATTTGGCTATAAGCCTAATTTTTGATTCTCTACAACTTTTCCATTGACACCAAAATGGGTTTCTTTTGAAGAAAGTGCTCAAATGCTCAAACTGGGACATCTCCAGTCCTCCATTTTTGAGTCTCACACTTGTCTCACGCACAAACCAAAATCCTACCAAGAAAGAGGAATCCGCAAATTGCCTGTAAAATGGGCAGAAGCCATCAATAATAATGGAAATTATTTGGAATAAATTCATGGTTTTATGTTGAATAGATTTTAGTTCAAAGTCCGGCAGCTTTCAATTCACGAACCCAATATTTCCGAAAACTTTAATCAGTCCAAAAACTCACCAATTCCAAGTGTTTCGCCGTGTAAAACGGCGAGACAGTAGTGCGAATTTTCGAAATGAACGCATTTCGGGCAAAAGTTTCCCTTTTAGAGACACTTTTCCCGTTTGCTAAGCAAATAAATATAATTGCACAAATCGTTGAATAAAGCTTCATGTTTATAGAAATCGCAAAATTTGCAAACTCCTCGTCTCACTAGCCAAAAATCTCGCTTATCTCAAAATCTCCCATATAAGTTCCTCTAAAGTCTATCTTTTGCCCGTTTTTTTTGTCCATTTTTCACTTGAGTTCGTTTTTTCTGAGTTTTTAGATTCGACGGGATTAGTTCTGACTTTTTTTTTGCCTAATAGTTTTTTTGAAAAACTCCTTTTTCTTTTCCATAAAAATATCCTTCCGTGATCTCTTTGAGCAATTTTTGAACGCACCAAATTCTCCTTTTTCCTTTTTGCTTTTTGCTCGTAAAAGCCGATCGTTTTTGGTTTTGAAATGGAGAGGAAATGACCATTTTATTGTGCAAATTACTCTATTTGAGTAGACGGTGCCAATTTTAAATCCCCCAATCAGTTTCGATCGGGAATTTTCAAACAAAGATTGAGAAATTTGACGGTTCAAGATCTTCAATCAATGATAATTTTGAAATTACAAAACTCTTTGCATCTTAGGCATTTGCACGGGTAAAATGATGACTTCAAAGTTATCTGTTGTAAAATTATCGAAAATTGATCGGCTTTTGTAAGCGCTAGTTTCAATCTCTTCCACTTAAAGACTCAAAAAATGTCCATATATGACAATATGACTCCATCTGCTTTCTATCGTAATCCCACCTCTGTCCGACAACTCATTTTGTGACATCGCCAGCGTGGGGAAGGTCCGATTCTGAGCTTCATCCATTGAGATGTCCATTGATGTCCATTGCGACAATTCCGTGCAATAGGAAGAAGTAAGGAATCGCTTCTTCCTCGTAAGAGAAGTAAGCAACCACTTCTAATTCGTAAGGGAAGTAAGCAATCGCTTCTTCTTCCTCGTAAGAGAAGTAACATTCTGAATTCAGAAATGGGGAATAAGAAATAAGAAAAGCAAACTACGATACAAGCTCTTCAGCTTTTTAAATGCAAATTTTTCTCGATACAAATTTGGCGGCTAAATTGAGATTAAAGCCCAAAAAACGGAAATGAAAGCAGCTCAACGCTTTCTTTCCTAAAGGGCTGAAAAATATCGAGTTTCAACTTTTTTGAGAACAAGACTAAAGTGTCCTTATCAATAGACCTCTTTCTACTCCACCATCACAGTGTAAAAAGCTAAAACTAAAGCTGTTGTTGTTTATTTTCTGTACTTTCCGGTTATATCTCCAAATGCGTTTTTGTGTATCTTATTTTGATTACTTTAAGAGATATATGACTAGTTTAAAGATGATATATGTTTCTAGATAGTTTCAGATCAAAAGGGTTATGGTTATGGGTCTAACAAGTTAGATGTAATCTTATTTTTTTTTACAAGTACCGCATTTATCCTTTACTTTTCACTAAGTTAATGAAGTAAAACTGAAATTTGTGAGCGAAACTGAAACTGAAATAAGAATTTCTCGAATCACTTCTTAAATGCTGGCCGTAAACAGCTTCGTAAACAGCTTGCGTCTAGGAAAACAACTGTAATCGGCTTGTGAACGGGAACTCGAACTTGTCCTCTTGTAGCATTGAACCATTAATTCAATTCATTAATTCAATGGTTCAACGCTACAGTAGGACAACTTCGAGTTCCCGTTCACAAGCCGATTACAGTTGTTTTCCTAGACGCACAACAGCATTGAACCTTGAAACAAGCATCAAGCTGATCATTTACTTTCAGCTTTTTGTAAAAAAATCGTAGAAAGTTCGTTTTAATTTACTTTTTACTCACTTTCTACTCACTATTAGTGCTTTAAATGGGCTTCTGTTATCAAAAGAATGATCAAAACCACTTTGACCGGTCGGGTTTAGCTAGATTTGGCTAGAATTTCTAGAAAATCACGTCAAATTTAATGCAAAACTCTTCGCCTTGTTAAATCAATGAGAAATTTGGCAAATTTTTGTCAAAAACCATACCTAGAAACTGATTGATTGCGTTTTTTTTGCATTTTTCACTTCCTTGATCCTGGAAAGAATCTCTCGTTTTTTTTCTTTTTTGCCAAAAATGTTTGAAAATGATAATCGGTAGATTGATGTGAAATTGCTTAATGAATCTTTTTCATTAAAACAAGAAAAATTTATTTAGTTTGGGGTGCGACCCGCTTTAACCTTATCAACGGGGAATGATTCTGCTTAACGAATAGCACAAAAGGTTAAAAGGGTTTCCCCAAAAGCGCTTACAACGTAACAAGAACACGTAGTATCCAACATAAGATTAATACTCTTAAGAAGAGTACAGATCGGATTGATACTACGTCGATGGTGACACAAATGTTAGTAAAACCAGTCTCTCTACAATGTTAAACCAGTTATCTAAACAGGATTTAAAACCTGAAGAGTAGCATAAAGTAAAGTGAATTTATAACGTTACTGTTTATTAGTACAGAACCGAAATGCAACAATACCCATTACAAAAACAGCATGCGCATCAAAAATGAAACAACAAAGTTCCCCCAAGAAAGAAGGCAAAAACCCGCAGACCAAAAAAAGAAATGATTTCGGGAAGGGAGAAAAAAGGACGAAAAATGCGACGCGAATAATTGCAAAATAGCAACGCAAATAGGAAGGAAACGGACGCGACCATTTAAAAAGCTAGCAAAGTTGATCATTTCATAATAGCCGTCGTAGCCAACCGGATAGGAGTCTCTTGTCTCCTAGTCGGGGGGTTTTTTGTGCAAAAACCAAACCTAGAAACTGATTGATTGCGTTCTAAGGGTCCTAAGAAAGAATGTTTTCTTTTTCCCATTATTATCGGTTTCTTTTCTTAACAACATTTAGGCAATAGGGGGTAATTAGGGGTAAAAATCTCTTCCTTTTTGTTGTAATTCATTATTTGTATCGAATAAATATAAAGTTTATTGAAAATTCGGAAAAATCTTACTGATTTGCAACTTCTGAAAAGTAAAACTTTCAAAGGGATCAAAGTTAATTCGTAAATGATTTCAAAAAGAAAATTTTAGAACCAGAATTGACATGCGCCAATGTGGATTGCTTGTCGGGGATGATCTGTCAGATGGCTGAGGTAAAATATTTCAAATTTTTTGGCCGATACCGGAAACCGATAAATAAATTAGCATCCAAACAATTATAGCTAAATATTCCAATTGAATAACCGATCAGCCTCTTTCTTTTGTCTTACAAATAGCTTTACTAGGAGACCAGTAATAACATGAAATTAGTCAGTTAGTCAACCCTAGTTAGCCAACTATTAGGGGGGTGCAAAAGAAACTTCCGATTTGACGGAAAAAAAAGATGGCCCGATAGTGACATGACACAATGGAATATTTTTGCAAGATCTCGAGAGATGAGGATCGGCCTGAATAAGTCCCTCAGCGGCTTCTCACACCTGGCCCGAACCGGCCGTCACCCAAAGCCTTGTCCCCTTCCGGAATCGTTGAACCAAGCTGACACTGCCTGAGACAAACTGCCACTCCGAAAGAGCACAGAGAGAACGATGCGATTCGGCAGCAGACTTGCCTCTACAAATTTGGTCCTCTTCCTTTGGTCCTTGCGAGAAACGATGCGGCAGCAGACTTCCAATTTTGAAGTAAACAGTAGCTGCTCGTAGCACAAACTTTGCCGACCATGACTAAATAAAAATATAAGGAAAACACAAAATTCAAATGTCGATAAAGCCATATGCGAAAAACAAAAAAAGCCGTTGCCGCTCGTTTCTGATAAATGGAGCCGTCCCATCGGCAGTTTTTGCACCACCCTAATATAAAACCGATATCGAGCTTCTTTTGATAAGCATTGATTTGATTGCCTTTTGATTGCCAGAGCTTATCTAGATTCTTGTAAAAAGTGTTGATGTGCCAGGTGATGACAAAAATGCCGACAGCCAGTCAACATCACTTCAAACTTGAAGCTTTTTCATCATTATATAATTCCAATTTATTCAAGGGGTAGAAATAAATCCGTAATCACTAAGCTATCCTCTGAATTTTCCCCTAATTTTACACAACTTATAACCGTAAAAATTGGTAATAATTGATTTCTAGGTGAATTGTACTACCGATCCATGCATCCCCACTCCGCAATGTTTCGAGCCAAACACAACGACAAGTGGGCGGGGAATTTTCTTGTTTCAAATTGATTTCAAATTGATTCGTCTTTAGCTTTCAAACTTTTATTTAGTAGCCAAAGCCAACTTAAAAATCCTAATATTTGATTGACAACTTGAAAGTGGGTACACTTTTTCCTTTTTTCCATAAAACATATTTAATACGCTGATTGAATTAGACTTCTCTAAATCGCTAAATGAATTAGACTTATATATTATCTAATTTAAGACACGCTTGAGCAAATTTCGGCAACTTTTGAAACGAATTTGAGCAGAAATTCAAGTTTTTTCTGGAAATTCTTTAAAAAAACATACAACTAAAGCAATTAGACAAATCGAGCCGAGAAATCGCCTTAGATGCTTAACTTTTCATGCTTTGCCTTTTTCTATTAACGTCAGAAGGTTTATGTGAAAGAAAGTGCTCAAATCGCTTCATCTAGTGTTCATCATTTTTGGCTCCTCAACTTCTTGCCCCCAAGAAACCTACAAAAACGAAGCTTTTCTAAATCTATTAAAAGCCTTTTTTAGAGAATAAATGAGCCTCTTTATTGGTAAAAACTGTAGATTAATTGGTGGACTAGTGATTTCTAAAAAGTCCAATGAATAAGTGTCCCCAACTTTCAAGTTGCCAATGCCATTCTAATAGAACGGCCCTCTCCATTAGAAGGGTCCCTCTCTAATAGAACAGCCGACCGTTCTATTAGAATTTTTACGGTATTTCAGTTTGCCAAAAAAACGAGGTTTATACGGATTGTGCGCCGACTTGCGAGGATACTTGTCATGGAATAAATGTAAGTGTTGAAATTTTGAAAACGAAAAACATTTCTCAAACTTTCTGTCACCTGTTTAAATGAAATATATTGCAAACTTCTCGTCATTATCAGCTAGCTTTTCGATTTGATTTGCCTCAAGTTGAAACCTAGCTTTTGTTATAAGTGAAAATTCAGAAAATGAGATAAATAAATATTTGTAATTTATTATAATAACAAAGTTACAAAATTTTACGTAAAAATTTCAGGATTGCGGAATGACTGCCGAGGTTTGCAAGCCCGGATGTAAATGTGCAACGGGACGCCGTCGAAACGCCAGAGGGAGATGCACATTGAAGAGAAATTGCTACTTGTGTAAGTTATGGGATAAAAAATAAAGTTATTAAGGTGATGGGAATAAAACCAGCGCTCAAATATCTTTAAAAATTAAAAGGATTGCATGTCTCAGCCAATAAGTGTTGTAAACTGTTCGAAAGCCCTGAATCTCCTCTACAAAATAATGCAAAAAAGATTTTGAATTGGATTGATTATTGGGGACTTGGGTGTTAAAAAGCAAGCGCAGGTCGAGTCCCAACTTGGGTACCTGCGCCTGCTGGCAACTATCCGCTTCCACGGATCTTTCCGCTTGAAATTTTTCCAATATATTAAGAATATATATTAAGGATATACATTATTCAATATTTATACTAAAACTCAAACGACCAGCTTAGATTCTATCGAGACATGAGAATCCAAAGCTGAAAGTAGCTGTTTTTGGCTTAAAATGGGCCTTTTTGGAAAAACAGATTTATCTCTAGAAGACAAACAAACAAAAGCAGTTCCTTTCTTTTGAAATAATTTTTATTAGTGGTATTTTCTAACGGAAAACCCGGGAATACCGATTACCAGAAACACATTTTCCAGAAAATAGCCATTTTTGACCTTTGAATCTAAAAAGTCACCCAAGTCTTCAAAAATCAATCCAATGCAAAATCTTCTTGCATTGTTTTGTAGACGAGATTTAGGGCTTTCGAACAGTATACAACACTTATTGCCTGAGACTTGCAATCCTTTTAATTTTTAAAGATATTTGAGCGCTGGTTTTATTCCCATCACCCTAATAAATTACAATTAAAACTATTAAAATATTACATTAGCTTATCTTTGCAGCTTTTATGCATTAGGAGATTAGCGAGAGAAAACTTAGCTGTACTAATTTAAAATAGACTTTCTGAGACTCCTCTACATTGAAACATTCAGATTTTTACGTTAACGTTGGTTAAAGATTTGGTACTTTCCCTATAACGGGCTTCTCTGCACCTTATTTAAACACAGTAAATTTGTTTTCTATGCTTGTTTTTACTTCCTTTTTTCAATTTGGCTTCTATAAGAACAGTTTATTTCACTAAAACTCAAAAACTGTCAGGTTGCCAGAGGTCTTTAACGTCAAAGACCTCTGGCAACCTGACAACCTGAAAAGTTCAAGATTTCCATAGAAAAAGTAACTGAATACTACTATCCTGGATAGTAGTATCCAGTTACTTTTTCTATGGAAATAGTATCCAGAATACTACAACTAAATTGCAAAAAAAAAGAAGTAAAAACAAGCATATAAAACAAAGTTATTGAGTCTAAATAAGGTGCAGCGAAAAAATTCCCCCGGTCGATAAATTTTCCCTCCCCCCCAGTTAAAAGGAAAGTACCAAAGATTTTTGTTTTAAGTTAACTATACGTAAAGGCTTAAGCTTTAAGCTTAAGAACGAATTTCAGATCCCGGTTGCGACGCGAATGAGAAGTACCAAAAGTGTGCAACTTGCGAGAAAAAGTGCGGGCAAACCGAGGAGGTGAGTGTTTCAAAGTTGACACCGTGGAAGGGACAGGGGATCGTTTAATTACTTGCATTCTTGTTCGATAAACTCGAATCCCAATTCAGTTTTGAAGTTAAATTCTTGAAAATAGACAAAATATTCCGCCTACTGTAGTGAGGCTGGGCTTTACAGTACTTTGCAGTGAGGCTGGGCTTTACAGTACTTTACAATGAGACTGGGCTTTACAGTACAGTTAGAAACATTGCCAAATCGAATTTTCTAGCATAAAACGTTGAACTTTTACAATCCAATACAATTCTTTCATTTCCAGGCTTGCTCTGTGGATTGTCGATACGGGTGTGGTTGTGTGGAGGGATTCGCAAGAAGCGCCAACAATAACACTTGTGTCCCCGAAAACCAATGCTGATTCTTTTGGCAGCTAACTTATTTTGAAATTCATTTTTAGTGACGACAAAATTCAGTAAACATGACAGGATAAATTTTCTTTTTGTTAATCTTTCATCCGATCTTTTATACAACAAAGAACACTTAAAAAGCACCAAAAGGAGCACCTTGTAAACAAGAAATTATAAACGTTACGATGCGTAATCGCAGCAGAAGCACAAGTTTTAGTAGATAACGCAAACTTTATAGCATTGTTGAACCTAGTTTTTCCCACGAGCAGGAGAATTTGAAACGATAACATTTTTTTGTACATTTGAAGCCTGTAATAAAGGGAACTCGAAAATGATTCTTAGCAAATTTACTCAATTATAGGATAGCTTTCATAGGATAGCTTTCAACAGTTTATGGGAGGTCTTTTTTTCGATTTATTTTTATAATCTATAGTACCGAGCTAGCTAGCAAAAGTTGAATTATGGTTTTACATGCGGAAAGTTTGGAGCTCAATTCGACCAGCGATTCTTCACGAATTAATGCCTAAGCGACTCAATGAAGTGATTTTGGTAGGTGGTGGACCAATTGAATATGGATTTTTAATGTTTTTAATGTAATGTTGCAAGACTTTTGTACCCAGTTTTTAGGCTATTTTTATTTTTAGTGGTTTTTCCATTTACTTTTTTGTTTTTCGCTGAACTTCAAATTTGTTTTTGTAAATAAATTGTACATATATTAATTTAATCAAAGACAAAAGAAACCCTCCGAACGGAAGGCATTTTATATAAGAAATCTTCATACATTCTTTTGAAAAAGTGATGTTGCAAGACTTTTGCTCGGTACTATATCTAACGCTTAAACATAGCACGTGCACAAATCAGCAAGTAAACCAAAAAAAAGTGGAGTGCAACTTAAAAGAATTACACGTACCTTATTAGGGAACGGCCAGAAGCGAATGCGAAGCAACGCTATATGACTTACGCAAGTCGGACACAAAACCCTTATCCACTACACCACAAGCTCACATTTCGACACGCTGAAAGAAGCCTTATATGGGGACTGATTTATATGGGGAATGACTGGACTGAATTAGAGGTCATCACCTCTAATTTTACCTCTAATTTGTTTGCCAAATTCCTCGTGTTTCCCAATCATTTTGCAAAAAAAAGATAGCAGCATCGAAATTAGCGTAAAATTCTGCGTCGTATGGTATATGGCTCATGTGATTTGGCCACCTCAGCCTTGTGAGCATGAAGGCCTTGTGAGCATGAAGCATATTTTACTAGTTGCCAAGATTTAGTGAGTAAAAGAACCATCTGAGCGGCGGAGGTAGTAGTGTTCTAATGATTGCATTGAATAAAGTCGGAAAATCATTGTTTCTCCCCACTTCTAATCACAAGCCAAAAACTTTGAAACAACTTTTTTGATGGCGACTTTTTCACCGATGTTTTCCTTGCTGGGTAAACATGAAGCGAACAAAACAATAGCTCGCATCATTTCCTCAATTTCCTTCACAAGTGACTAACTCTTTAGCAAATTCATTTATTTTTTGAAACATCGACTTCCTGCGTTAGGCTAAAATGAGAAAAAAAAACGAGAATTTCTTTTCCTTCTCATGTTATCAAATGAGATTTTCACCAGCAAGGTCATCGGGATCGTTTTTCGCCTAAAATGGATAAAAACTGAAAAATAGGAAAAAAAAACGGGGGCGTTTAGAAAAACGTGGAAAAGAATTCAGCAAAAAGTATCAAAAAAAAAGGTTTGTATGTACTGTCTGTCTGTCTGTAAAGTTTAATGAAAAAAGAGAAACTGGGAATTTTATTTCTTTGATTTTTACCGTCTTGGTGTCTCTTTTTTGTCCTGAAATTTTTTAGACTGATCCTGAGATCTCACTTGAGAGCCGAGGGTATAAATGGGCGATGGATCTAGGGTAGATTCAGTCTTGCGATCTTTCAAATCTTATAACTTTTTTTTTTACTACTAAAATCTAGTGCTTTGTTTTTTTTTGCCTGGAAATTTCTCTTCTTGACATCTACAAAAAGAGATTTCTAGTGGTTATTTAGATAAATTGAGTTTTTGTGAGGATCAGGGTTAGCAAAAAAAAGTCAAAAACCAAGACCAGCCAAGTCAAAACCAATAGTTTTCAATTGGCGGTGGCCTGAAATTTCAATCTTACTTCAATTAATTTGACTTTGGCTTTGGCTTGGCCTGGAAATTTGTCTTTTTGACATTTACAAAAAGAAAGTTTCAACTTTAGGTGGTCAAAATGAATTCAGAACCCGTAATGCTTTTGTTTTCAATGATTCTCTGATAGTAAGAGTTGAGCTTGAGCTTGAGCTGATAAAAACCTTTAGGTAACACTAGAATTTTTCTAATTTTAAAACTCTTTAAGCTTTAACAAGCTTTTTAAAACTCTTTAAGCTTTAAAAACCTTTTTAAAACTCTTTGAGCTCTTTTTCTTTCGTCTGACGTCTGACCAGCTCAAATTTAAAATTCTTTCTTAAAATTCATCCAGTGTATTTCATTTTAAACTCAACACACAATTCTTAAGTTGACGGTGGATTGATCTTCTTTTTTGTTTTAAACCATTATCGGCTTTTTCAGTATTTACATTGAATATCGTTTCCAGAAATGCTTCGCTACTTTGCTCTTTTTGCCTTATTGGTGGCTATGATCGCTGCGGCTCCCGGAGGATATGGAGGAGGAATGAATTGTTGGTTTCAAAAAAAAAGGAAACAGAACTATGATAAGAAAAACAAATACCATTTTAGTTGATGAATAGTTTGTTAGTCCTTTAGCTAAAAACCAAATTGTAAAGTCAAGGAAAAACAATTTTCTGATCAACTTTGTAAATTCTAGACTCTCAAACAAAAATCTTAAAAATTTCCTTATTAAACTCTCAAATGAATCCATTTTCAGCCTACGGTTCCATGGGATATCAAGGAGGAATGGGTGGTGAGTTTTTCTTTTATTGAAAAACTAAGTTTCAACATTTAGAACGTCTTCAATGAGGCTTTTAAGTTAATCTTTGCATTAGTTCGAAATCATTTCAAAATTTTAGCTTTTAAATTCAATTACCAAATCCTACAGTTAGAATTAGAATTAGAATTTAAAGTAATTAAAGAAATAGATAACAATAAGTTCAATGATTTCTAGGAATGAACCCCGGCATGGGAATGGGCCCGATGGGAATGAACGGACAAATGGGAATGGGCGGCGAGATGAACCCCAGCTTCGGATAAATTTGAGATAGTAGAATTTTTTCAATTCCATTTTTTTACCCTTTAAACAATTGATAATTGATCTCTGCAAATGAATAAACAACTTTAAATTTTGAATTGAGAAATCGAAAAGCAAAAAATCATTGAAAGTGAAAGAGTTGAATGTGCACTTAACACGTTGACTACATTATCACCTGATGCTGTCTGACACATATTCGTTCGCCTGGGACATTGTCACCTGATGTCAGGTGACAGTACCAAAATTGATTTTTTGTGCATATTTATGTTTGCTGATGATGGATATTAAATAAGCAAGTAGGGTAGTATCTAAGCAAGTAGGGTATTCGACTTGGTCCCGGAAAATGCCGATTTAACCGTTGATTATTAAAATTTTAACTTTTTAGGTGACAATTTCAGGTGACATTTTTTGTCGAAAAAAAACAACGTTGTCCCATGCGATTGTTTGTGCAAAAACGTCATTGTCGTCAACGTGTTAAAATGCGTTTCCTAAAATATTTATTATACATCACGATGCCAGTAGAAAGATTTAATTTTATGCCAAAAATCTCGTAGTGATGACCTTGGTGGTTCAGAAATTTCATGCATAAGAAAGTCATGAAATCGAGAAAAAGTGAAAAAATATTAAAAATATTCATTTTTGGCATCACAACGACCACCAGGAGCTACCAGAAGTTTTTTGGAAAATTAAAGGCAACTGGCTTTTTTGAAAACTCTGTATAACTGTACCATTTAAAATCAAAAACTCAAAACTGAGCGAAAGCATAGGGGCTCGAACTCGGGTCTAAGGGGCACAACGGGGCCCTTAGACGAGCACGCTCCTGACCGCGGCACGGTGACAATCACCGTGCGTCCCAGAGAAATCGGCTGCTAGGCTTAACGTGTTCCCATTCTCTTTCTACCGTAATCTTTCTATTTTTGTATCCAATCTATCGACTTTTTGTCTGATTCTTTGCAGGTTCACAAAAGATATCGAAAGATAGAAAAAAAATGAATAGATTGGATAAAAACAGAGACAAGATTACGGTGAAAAGAGAAAGGGGACACGTTTTAGCAAAAGGTTTGCTTTAGACGATTAAAAAGAGAGAAATGCTTTAAACTCACAGCACGAATTGCATTTCAAAAATTTCTCACAATCTCTCTTCTAAAATCTTCTAAATGTACCCATTTCTCTTTCTACCGTAATCTTTCTATTTTTTTTATCCAATCTATCCACTTTTTGTCTGTTTCTTTGAAGGTTCACAAAGGATATCGAAAGATACAAAAAGTGGATGGATTTAAGAAAATACAGGGTGCGTCATAATTATTGCAACAAGAGCTCAAAGACCGTTTGTGATGTCAAGAATGTGATGTCATGGGCGTGTAAAGCCAATAACAATCAAAATTGGACCTTCATGCAAGATGGAGCTCCCGCTCACACGAAGAAGACGGTTCAGGACTGGTGTGTGGCCAACTTTCCCTCAGTGATCACCAAGGATGAATGGCCTCCAAACTCACCGGATCTCAATGTGATGGACTTTTCCATTTGGGCAATCTTAGAGGCTAATGTCTGCTCTCGAAAACACACAAGCTTGGATTCTTTGAAGAAGTCTTTGACCAAAGGATGGAAGGCGACTCCTCAAGATGACATTCGGGCCGCAGTGGAGGCATATCCGAACCGATTAAGGGCTGTTATCAAGGCAAAAGGCGGTCATATCGAATGATCTCTTGTTTCCTTATTTGTTACTGTTAAATAAAGCTATTTCTGTTTAAAAATCTTCTTCCAGTAAAACTTCTTGGTGTGCAATGCCTTGAGTATCTTGTTGCAATAATTATGACGCACCCTGTAGAGATAAGATTACGGTAGAAAGAGAAAGATTTTAAAAAGCGTAGCCGTAAAGAGAAATTTACCGACGTAATTTTGACTTTATCAGTAATTTGCACTCAATTTCTCAAAATTTACATTTAACGGTCAAATAAATAGAAATCAAAAAGTTACTTTTTATTCTTTTCCTTCACTTCTCGTCGGCTTTTGCTTCACACATGGGGTTTAAAAATTTATTTTTTTTAGATTACTTGTTTTTTAAAACTTTCTAGCTTCATTTTTGTTAGTTTGCTTTATTCAATCAACTGTTATACCAGCTTTTTAATTCTAGATTTTTAGTTAGAATACATTATTTGATTATTTAATTCACTATTAGTTAATGAATTCTGGGTATTTATAAAGTTAGGGAGCACGGTTTTTTTCTCATTCTTTTACTTCTTCTAGGGTAATTGATGGCGGTGATCACGAAAATCACATTTTTAAAGTTGTATTTATGATCAAAAACGCAAGTTTTCGATTTTTGAAAAATGTCCAAGAATAAGCTGTTTCGTCGAGTTTTAAATGCAAATTTAAACCCTTTCAACAAGAAATAAATTTTTTGCTTTTTTATGCTTTCTTAGCTATTAGCCGCATAAATGCTCACCCCTAAATGCTAGGTAAGAATCTAGCATTTCCACCAAACACCACGTGGGGGTTGCTAGTGCGCTTAGCTTTGTAGCCCTAAATAGAGTTCTTGGGTTGGGGGTTCAGTTAAACAAACTTAACTTTCACTTACAAGGATAAAGTTGCTAAACTTGTGCCCAAAAATGGATTGGTGCCAAACTCTTGCCGTCATTGAAATTCGGAGTAGCGGTCATTTGAACGTGTGTTTATTCCGTGTTTAGCTTTAAGTATTTTTTTAAAAACCGATACCATTGTGATTCGACGTTTTGAGTGTGTGACCCGGTCACAGGATTGACAAAGTTAATATTATGGTTGACAGTCGGACGAAGATGAGCTTGTGGTTTTGAGCCATTGTCTTTGTTGCCCGGGTAGTCGACCTCGATTGTATTTACTTTTTGACATATAAATTTTGTCGATACCTGGTCCACCAGGTAAAAATTGAGTTCTTAAATTTTCTTTACTTAGCTCAAGCTTAGGCTGTTTTTAATCATATACCTTATTCGCCGCTAATGTGTTCGTTTTCAGGTAGAGACTTGTGATTTGGTTATACGTTCGCCACATATCAACGTGGATAGTAGAGCCGGATCGAATATGGTCTTGGATGATCGGTAGTAGAGTATTTGCATCTCTTTGGTTTACCAGCTTAACAAAGCCAATACCAGATCCCCTTTCAACACACCAAAAATCCATTATCTTTGTTGCCCGGGTAGTCGACTTCGATTGTATTTACTTTTTGACATATAAATCTTGTCTATACCTGGTCCACCAATCATTTGCGGCTGAGCCAAAAACTTTTAATGGAAAACGTCTCGGACCCACTGGCCCCACTGTCCAATTGATACCTCACTAAGTTCAATTTCTCGTGCTTGATCTTTTACGTTTCCGTATTTCCGGAGGTAGATCCTGCGTCTTTTATTAGAATAATTACGATAAAACTCGACGAAACACCTTATTCTTGGACATTTTTCAAAAATCCAAAATTTGCCTGTTTGATCATAAATATGACTTAAAATGTGACTTTCGTGACCAGTGCCATCGATGGCACTGATCACGAAACTCTATAAAAAGCAAAAAAATGAAAAAACGGGCCCTCCTCAACTTTATTAGTATCGAATTCTGCTAATCTATTTTTGTTTAGTGACAAAGAAGCAAAATATCCGAAGCGTCAAAAGCCGACCAATCAACGAGAGGAGGCACGAAAAGTTGCGACTCCCACCGCTCCCGCAACTCCGAAAAGAGCCGCCCGGCCAGCTGCCAATGCTAGAGAAGAGGTACTTTTTGCGTTTTAAGTTGAGTTTGTAAGTTAAAAGGTTTCAAGTCTTAAATTGAGTTCTTAAATTTTCTTTGCTTAGCTCAAGCTTAGGCTGTTTTTAATCATATACCTTATTTGCCGCTAATGTGTTCGTTTTCAGGTAGAGAAATGGTGCAAGACGTGTCTGGACAAAGGTGTGACTGGATTGCGAGACGAGTTTGCTCGCGAGATCAAACGCTACGTGCCAGCCGACATGCAATTTGAAGCATTCAAGGTCAACCATCCAGCCGGTCGGAATCGGTTTGTTTATTATTCGCTTGCCATTGACATTTTTGCTTTTAGTTATCAAGATGTGCCTTGCCAGGACAAAGGCCGAATCATTCTGAAGCCTCCCGCCCCATGTGACTACATCCATGCAAACTATGTGGCGACGCCGATGAGTGACAAGCGCTTCATTTGCACCCAAGGACCCCTCGACAACACCCTGATCGACTTTTGGCACATGATCATTCAGGTTTGTTTATCGTTTTGTGGTTCTTTTCCAATATCGGGGGTGGTAATTTTTTTTCAAATTTTCGTTCTCATTTTTGCTTATTCTCATTTCCCGTTTGTTTTTTCAATTTCTTATTGTCGAAAACATCATTTTTTTTCTTTTTAGGGCGAGATGCGTTTCATTTTAATGTTGGATTTTTAATTTCTAACTAATGTTTTAATTTTAGAATATAATATTATAATTTAATATTAGATTTAAAAAGCATTGACTTATTAAATTCGATCGAAACCTTAGATTTGGAAAAAAATTTACCACCGCCGATATTGGAAAAGGAGCGTTTTGTTTATACTTTAGTTTGACTTATTGCTTTAGGAAGAAACTGACTCGATCATCATGCTTTGCAACGTGATCGAGAAAGGATTGCTGAAATGTGCGCAGTACTGGCCAAACGATGTGAACACCAGTGTCAAGCCGTCCGACAACATCGAAGTGGTCAACGTCGAGCAACGTATGATGATGGCCGATGATCAGAGCATTCGTCTTTGCGTGCTCAAGATGAAATGGGACTTTGGCACGCCGCAGGAGCGCGAGGTGTGTGAGCGTTTTAATATTTACTGCTAATTCTCTATGCTTACTATTAGTTAGATTAGTTTAGTGGAATTTAACAATCATCTTTATTCTTTTTTGTTTAGGTTCGTCACTACCAATGGATTGATTGGCCCGATCGCGGCGTTCCAGTTATTAAAGGACACACTCCCACCGAGCTGCTTTCGCGTGTTCGCGGAACCAAGAAGCCAATTGTTGTTCACTGCTCAGCTGGAATTGGCCGTACGGGTACGTGGTTTTGATCCATCAATTTTTCAATGACAAGTTGACATTGTGGGTTGGCATTTCTCAATTGTTTTGTTTAGGAACGATCGTTGCCATCGAGTACACCCTGGAGCGTCTTCTGATCGGATTGCCGACTCTTGACATGGATAAGTTGCTCAAAGAAGTCCGCGATCAGCGCCCCTACACTATTCAAAATGATGCCGTATGCTTCTAAATTTTTCCCCAATTTCATACTTTTAGCAATACCTTTACATTCATCGTGTGCTGCTCAATTACTTTATCGTCAAATACAAACATGAGGTGGGAATGCTTTTGATGGTTGTATTACATTTAATTTTTAAGGGTTTACGTGCCAAGGACGTGATGGAGAAGTATGACCGCTTTGTGGTCGATTACGAGAAAGCGACCGCTTGAAAGAAGAATTGATTTGTGAAGAGAGACGTCAATTCGAAAATATTTTTTATCAAAAAATGTCTGTAGAAATTTTTGTGATTTACTGGTAAAGGATGTCTTTGAATAAACAGTCAATGGTCTTTTAGCGTAAATGAAAATGATTCGCTCATAACTATGCAGGTTAATACCCAGGTAATAAGTTTGGATGTCATGTTCTTTTGATGATTAAGTTATGAAAAGTAATTTTGCCCTCTGAAAATTAAAAAAATACATTGAACTTTCGCCTACGGCATAACTAACACTTAGAATTTTTCAATTGCTTGTCTAACTTGTCTTCCACGTTACACAAGTAATGTAACTTGTAGTTTTTGCTGCAAATCAGACGATCTGACAATAGGCAACTTTATCTTCATTGAAACCATTTATTCGCAAAAAAAATATTCAGACGAAGTTCAATATGGCTTCGCCATATTGAAAGGCAAAATATGGCAAAGTGCTACTTTTTTCTTTCTGTGCGTGTTATTTTGTGTGGATACACAAGAAAAGGCTAATGCGTTTTTTAAAATGCATTAGCTATTATTTCAGCAAACCACCGTTATTCATCTACCAATTTTCATTCGATCAACCGAATTTTGGGTATTATTCGATGAGGAATCACAAGGCTCGGTCAATGATACAAAAATTAGGCTAATCGAATGGAAAATGGCGGGCAGATTACGTTAATTTTCTAAAATTGGTGCGTTTTGAGTTTTTCTAAAAATGTTTTTAGAAAACTTATTGGCTGAGAAGAACGACTATACTCAAGGTGGGGTATGTTTGATGCGGTTGTCCAGGTTTCAGAATCCAGCTCTTGTCCTTGCATTTTTTTCCTGTTGAACACACTGTATAAACTCAAATAACTTCGGTATCAATCAACTGGATATTCTTGAATCATTTGGGAAACTTTTTCTGGGATATGGAGCCTCTTTCGGTAGACTTGTTAACTTTATATTGCAACTCGTGTGAAGCCTTTGCAGCTCGCGTTTCAAAACAAAACTACACTCAAACATTGATCCAATCGGACGAGAGTTTTCCCCCTAAAAGCCGCTTTTAACGAGCCTTTTCTCCTCGATCGCGAAAACTTCAGCCAAATTTCAATCTGTTATTTTCCTTGTCTATTGATTCCTACCTAAAACAGTTGATCTAAATTTTCACAATGTCACGGTATTCATTGCTACTTCTTAGCCTCATTGGTAATACTTGGTAAAATTTGAATCCAAGAATTTTTCAGTGACTTTGGCTTTGTCAGAAAATCCACCACCGACTGGTGAAACAAAAACGGATGAAAGTAAGAGAAGCTAGACAAAACAAACGTTATGGTTGGCTCGCTAAAAACCAGGAATCAAAAAATGCTGTGTTTCAAATTGAATTCTATCAGAGCTTAAAGGAAATTCCATATAATGTTCCATATAATGGTCCATATAATGGTCCATATAACGATCTTTCTTTAAAATTCGTTTTCACTTGCTTAAACTGAATAGTTTTTATTTTCTCAGTACTGGGGTAAAAAAAGAAGAACGATACTTTTATCTTGAAATTTTTAACTCTCTGATTTCAACTTTATTGGCATCTGAGCTAAAAGGAAAAATCGATTTACGATTTTGCGTGGTTTCCATTCAAACAATTCTTACTTCAAGCAAAAGATATTCAGCTATTCAGCCAATGCTGTTTATTTTCACATACTGTAGGCAATAAACTGATCTATTACAGTATCTTTAATGACATTACCTTTACATTTTTCCAGAAACATCACAATCTCCTAAACCAAGCAACGATCAACCTAAAGTCACAACGGGAAAAGAGGTTTGTTTTTTCGAAAACAGAACACATACAGTATCCTTTCAGTGTCTAATAATCTGTATTATGCTATAATTAAGATCTTTATTTGATTACTCATATCCTAAACCTTTTCAGTTGAACGCCGAGCCAAAAGTTGATGTCATCGAAGAGAAAGCCGATGATGGGACAGACGTGAAAAAAGTGGAGATCACCTCGAAAAGTTGGTTTCAAATTAGCTTTTAATTGTACTTTTAAATGCAAGTTTTGTGAAAATTCGTAAATTTGGCATTTCTTGAAAACCAGTTTTTGAATCGTTCTGAAAATTTGGATATAAGCTTTGATTTTTGATTCTCTACCACTTTTCCATTGACACCAAAATGGGTTTCTTTTGAAGAAAGTGCTCAAACTGTCACATATGACAATAGCCGGCAGTTTTCAATTCACCAACCCAATAGAAATTTTTTTGGTGGCGGCATCATTTTTAAATAACGTTTCGCAAAAAAAAAATTGTAAAGATTTATGCACCAAGCCCAATATCGCAATAATTTAATCAAATTTCAGATCTTGGCACTCACACAATCACCGTTGGCGAGAACTCGATCAAAATCCAATCGAAAACCGTTTTTAAGAAATAAATCTATCTGATTTTGTTGATTTTGCAGAGCTGAACACTGAAAATATCAAATTCATCAAATGTTATGCTCAAAAAACAAGGAAATGGCATCATATTCGTCGCGAATGGGAAAAGAAAAACGGAAAAAAAGGAAAAAAGGAAAAAGGACGACCTGTTTTCGTTTTGATTGAAGAAATATTGGAGGCATACAAAAGTGCGAAAAGGTTGGCAAGGAGGAGACGGGTTCTTCCCTCTTCCATCCATACATTACATCCTTTTCTCTTTCGAAACAACAACTCGGGTTTTCCTTTTTCTATATTCATTGGCAACAGATCATGTTTATTTAACTCTTGCTATTACTTATGTAACTGTAAAATGTGTGTTTCAAATTTAGTGACTTTTTATAGTCAAAGGTATGTAGTGTATTCATGTAGAATGCTTGTGATTGCTTATAACTGCTTATAACTTATAAAAAGACTCTTTTTTCTACTAAAAAAGTGCAAATTATTTTTCTTTCCATAAAATGAGCTTCAAAGGATCCTAAAAATAGGAAAAAGAAAGCGAATTTCGTCGAAAACAAAAAAAGTATGCAGTGCGCAGTGGTGATTCATAAACTGACGGGATTGATTTGATTGATTCATTTTTATTTATTATCGATATCTCGCTCTCGAATTTTCAACTCTAAAACTGTGATATGAACTAGATGCTCTTGGTTAGTGGATATTCTGAAATTCCCTCAAAAACTATCCTACTCCAGTTGCCCTTTAAACTTAAAGACGATTGGAGAAATTTCTGAGATGACTTTTAGAAACTTCTTTCGAATAGAAACAATGATACATAAGCTTTTGAAAGTGTTAACGTTTTCTAAAAGACACCAATTTTATGAGCACGTAATCCACCCGGCAGTTTTCATATGATCAGTCCAATTTTGGTATCTTTGATGAAGGGATCACAAGGCTCAAGTCAATGATACAAAGATTGGGCTAGTCAAAAGAAAAACTGGAGGTTTAAGTCTTACGATAGCTTTTCCTAACACATTCGCGACGATACGACCCGTGGGACATACCTGCATTTGTAGCAAGGATTTGTAAAAGTTGAAACACTCATATTTTTGATGAATCTTTAAGAAGAATCGCAGATCATCCAATTAATTCGTTATCCAATGGTCTAATAGACAGAAAATTGAAACTGAATTTGAATGATCTTTGTTCCTTTGCTTAGCCCTTTGTTTCCCCTTATTCCTTTGTTTAGTATACTTTTACTTTTTCAGTATTATACATTGCGTTATTGCGTTATTGTTATTGCGCGTTGAAATGCCTCAAAAAACGTATTTCTAAATATTAATGCAAAGAAATTTTTTCTTACTTTTCAACACATGTTTTCTGATCTTTCTATCTCTTTTAATGAATTCATTTATTGTCTATACTTTAAACATTATCTAAAAATAGATTTACGCTGTCGGCTTGGTGGGATCTCAAAGGGATGATACAGGGTGCGCCATACACTACTGGACAATGAAATATCGTATTTGAAAAAAAGTTCGTCACTTTCGCGCGTCTGTAACTCCCTTGTCTTTACCGTATTTCTAAATATTAATATTACCATTGTGTAGCCCTTGAAAAGAGCTTTCAGAAAATGGAGGCTCTTTTATTAGAGTTTTTATTGCTAAAGCATGCAGCATTATTACAAAACTTGAAATAACAATAAAATCCTAAGCTAGTATCCATCTATTTTGTATAAGAAGAGAATTTAGCCAACAAGACCCCACAGCACCCCCCCCCCGGGGCGGGGGGCCCCCCCCCCTCTCCCCCCCCCCCCCCAAAAATTTCCCCTGGGCTGTTATTTGTTGTTTTTTTGGTTGATTTTGGTATTGTTTTTTTTTAACTCCTTGCTCTTTCAAAATGTCTAGTTTCAATTTCAGGTGTAATGCCGCGCCCTATTTATTTAGACGACCTATTTAGTTTTGTTTTACGATTATCTTGCTTCAAAAATACAAAAGTTCAAATTCAATATTGAAGTAAGGATTAAGATAGTAAAAAAGAAACATATCCAATCTTTTCTTTTTTCATTCTCATTCCCATTTCCTTTCCCTCGATTCGTCCTTCAAAATTTGGTTCAAAACCGCTCCATTTCTCTCTCTCTCTCTTTTTCCTTCCTTTTCTCCACCTCGATCTCCATTTTGCGAGAGCTAAATCATGGGTTATTGATTGGTTTTTTTGGTTTTTTTCGATACAAAAAGATACCTGTACTCTTTCTATTGACACTTTTAAATCAGAGAACTTTTTGCTGAATGATTTGCACAAAATTTTACAAATCTTTCAAATCTTTTAAATCTTTCAACTCTTTCAAAGCTTTCATCTCTTTCAAAGCTTTCAACTCTTTCAAAGCTTTCAAATCTTTTCAAATCTTTTCAAATCGATTTTCAGATTCATGGCCACTCTTGTACCCCAAGATCCCTATGTTCGTCTCTCAAATATGACCCTCGTCCCGCACATTCGACTCACTGACCCGGATGGGGATAGCTGTGATGAAGTAAGTGAAGTTATCGTTTAAATTCGAACTTTTGAAAACATAAACCTAAAAAGCAGCTGAGGAGATTGATTTCAAATTTAGAAATGATAAATAAACAGTGATGAACAATATAAACATTGATAAATAAAGCTCAATAAAAAGACAAGAGCTTTGCGAGGCTATGCGAGAGCTATGCGAGAGCTTTGCGAGAGCTTTGCGAGAGCTTTGCGAGAGCTATGCAACAGCTTTGCGAGAGCTTTGCGAGAGCTATGCGAGATTTAATGTTTCAAAGTTGATCGGCTAGATCAGAGCAAAACTATGGCTAATGATTGTGTTCTGGGGCTGGAAATATCTCAATATATTCTAATTTCAAGAACTTTTTGTCGCAAATCTTTTGAGGTATAAACTCTAATCTCAACTTTTATTGAATTCAAACCATTTGCTTTTTCTCAATTTCGTTTTTGCGACTCAAGCTTTGTCAATAAAATAATGATGTTTCAATTTCAAGTGAATAGAGATTCAATTTTTCAAGTTAATCAGTCAGCAATCGGCGATTTTAACCAATTGTTTGATAGCGATTGAGTGAAATGGATTTCGAATGGTATTTTTTAGATAAAAATTTTTTGAAAAGCAAATCTTTCGGGGTACAAACGCTAGTCTCAACGTTTTGCCGAATTCAATTCATTCGATTCTTTTTCTTTTCTTTTCTTCTCAACCCTTCACCCCTTTCCTTTCTTTTATTTCTTTTATTTCTTTTTTCCCTTCTCGATTCTTTTCCCACCGATCGGTTTGTACAGCCAACTTGACGTCATTTTCACTCGTCTCTTTTTCTTTTCTCTTTTCTCTTTCTTTTCCTTCCTTTTCTTTTCCTTCCTTTCCTTTTGTCCTCCAATCTCGAATCTCTGATCTATTTGTTAGTGGCTATTTTTAGCCTCTTCTAATAAATTTTCAAGTAGTTTGTTTTACTAGAATCTTCTTGAAACAACAATTCTACGGTTTTGACAAAAAATAAAGGCATAGAAAAATTCGAATTCTTAGATTCTTGCTCAGCACTCTGCTCTAATTGATATCTTTCAAGTAAAGTAAAATCGGTGTAGTATTTTAAAGCCTACCACAATTTTATTAGTGCGTAAGATCTCTTGAAACTAAAGAAGCTTCCAAAATAAGCTAAATGTTCGAATAAATCCCTGCGAATTACCAATTAGCGATTCGTTTACGATATAATGTTTCAAGTTTAACGTAAACCAGGATTAATGTAGCGTTTCAATCAAACTTCAAAGCAACATCTTTACCTTAATAAACCTTAATACTTGTTTTTTTCAAGTCTTCTTGATGCGCAACTTCATTTAAAACTAAAAGCCCATGTCAAGCTAGGGAAAATTCCAACAAATCAGGCTTTAAACAATTTGCAATTCAAAAGATAATGTTTCAATTTAATTAAAATCAACCCGACATTGTAAAGCCGAAAATTTAATTCTGATAACATTTAGATAAATTTAAAGGAGTAAACGATTCGGGTTTTGGCTCAGTTTAAAGGAAACTTTTCGATTTCGATAAAACTTTTCGATAAAGGAAACTTTTCGATTTCAAAACTTTCAAAGAGTTGCCTAGATTTCAAAATTTTGGCCTTTATTTTTCAACTTTTCAACCGAATTCATGAAAAAACCTGAACCAATTATGGCTTCTGAAAAAATGACTGAAATTATGGAAAAACCTTTGTAGTAGAGCAAGGATCGGAAAAATTGCTTTTGAAATTCCTCTGATTTTGTCTTGTTTCAAAATCCTATGCCTACCGTAAATAATCTAATAGAACGCCATGACGGGCGTACAATCGCGTAGTCTAACTTTGAACGTCTCATTCTCCGCGCTGCTTTATGCTACAGTTTGTGTTTGAGTGTTAAATGATAGTTCTTGAAATCTAGTATTTTTTTGGTATCAAAAGTGTAGCTGGGAAAATCTAGGAGCTGAGAGAGAGCTGACTTTCTAAAAAAAAGTTCAACTACGCGACTGTACGAGAAGGTGACGTTCTATTAGAGTATTTACGGAGGTTGGAAAATGGGCTTCCCGTTTAAAATGCCGAAATGCGACGGTTGAAAAGCACGCAAAGAAAATCGGGAAAAGAAAGGAAAAAAGGAACGTTTTTCGAGTAAGAGAAAAGAGAAAGGGTAAACTAGAGATCAAATGTTTCAAAGAGAGCATAGAGAGTCGGGGAAAAGAACCCGACAATCGATGGGTGCACAGACATTGTGTCCTGTGTTGAAGCCTTTCACTCCATCCATTTTTCCGTCCATCTCCGATAGATTCGTCGCGTCGCGCTCTGCCTTTTCCTCTCCTTCTGATTCTCTTTTTTTTGTCAACTATCAACCATTTCTTTCGATTGAAGCTTTTTGTGGCCAATCTTTTCTACTTATTCTTTGATTTTAAAAGAATTCACCATTTACACTCACCATTTACAGCTTTCTTTTAGCTATTTCTTTCTCGTAACTAGTGTACTTTGTAGCTTTAGTGAAGCAGTTGGATTTATTGAATTTCAAAATTTAACGGCAGCTCAGTTGAGTTTTGATTTTCTTCTTTTCTATGCTATAATTGATTCTTCTTTTGTATGCTATAATTGCATTCTTCTTTTGCATGCTATAATTGATCAAATCATATCTCTTTTATACATTTGCACTTAAAGCTCGATGATACTAAAACGTGAAAAATCTGTTATCCCAGAAAAAAATTCTCAAACTTTCCATAGCTTACATATTATTTCGTTTTTTGAACTTCAAGCTTCAAGAACTTCAAGATTAAATGTAAATCTAGATTTCCAGGGTTATTCGAGTTTATTTTGAACAAATAGAAGCTAAAAACTAAACAAAACCTGACCACCAACATCAATTTAAACTTTTTTTGGCTTAAATTCTTAGATATTGACGAAAATCTAGTTCCTAGAGCAACTGCTAATTGCAAATTTTGAAACCAAAGAATTTTCTGAGCATATGGAAACTTTAGCTTTGAAACCAGCCACTTTTAACACAACGACATCATTTTGGGCGTACAGTCGCGTAGTCGTTCACTTTTTTTTATTGATAATTTGGTGAAAATTCAAAGATAAACGAAACTATTATAGTCAATCGATAGTCATGAATCTCCTCTTGAAAACTAGTACAAAATTTACAAAGAACTTTCTGCGAAATAAGTAACAAAACCTTTAAAAACGAGTTGACACAAGAAATGATCGTTTCTAGTACGGCTCATGTGGGCCAGATCGTCGTAAATGTGTTAACACTTTACATTACTATTCATTGAAGCTTGGCTAACGATGACTAACGTTTGGCTAAACGGAATTATTTTTGAATTCATTGAAATTCATTGAAACTTATCCAATGTAATGTACAATTTTGTCAGACAGTTGCCGATCGTTCCCCCTACCAACAAAGGACTGGCCCACTCGCGAAACAAGTGAGTTTGGCTTTGGAATGAAGATCTAAAATAAAGCAACTCAATTTACATTTACTAAGCAAGTAAGCAAAAAGATTTCAATGCCGATCTTTTTATAACCCATTATACCGAAATCAACTAAACTGACTGCCAATTTTTTGTCAAGTTCTTTAGCAATTTGAAACTAGCACTTTTTCACTGACAGAAAGAATAGAATTTCCTTTTTAGTGATTTCAATGTTTCAAAAAAGAAACTGTACTGTACAAAACTGTACAATTTGCAATTTTAATTTTATATTTAACAATTACTTCTTTCTTTTCCAGAAATCTCTTTCTTGTGAAGTTCTTCACGCGGCGGCGCTTGCCTCCACCGAGATGGTCGAGCAAAATGGTGAGTTTTTGAGTAATACAAACCTCTAAGATATCTAAAATTAATATTTCAAATATCTCCAAGACCCATTGAAATCTAATAAATCTAGGATATTTTAATATAACTAAACTAAGCACCAAAATCAATTGGTTTCATTAGAATAGCGTCGAGATTCGAAGAAATATTCTTCATTCCTTGACTAATGCAAAAGCCAAAAAATTGTCGTTATAGTGCTGCTAAAGGAGTCATTTTTAGGATATTAAATAATTAAATAAGATAGATATTAAGGATAAGATATTAAATAATACAAAGTTTAAAATATTTGGCTTTAAGCTGGTAAAAGAAAGCGAAAAAGTCTACGTTTCAGAGTTAGTGTGGTAAACGAGGGGAATTTAGACGCAATGATACGTTTGTGGTCTGCGATTAGAGTTCATACAACTCTTGTTCTTTCAAATTGAATATCTTCTAGCTGAATGTCTTCTAGCTGAATGTCTAGTTTCAGCTAAATATCTTCTAGTTTCGTAGAGAATTTCAAACAAAAGGGACAGCTAGTAAAAAAATCTACGCAGCAAAAAGGGGCAGGCTTTGTAGCTTTCATAGCCACCGCATTTGTTTGAATTTTTCCAGAAAATTAAAAGAGATTCAACTAGATTTTAAGGGGAAACTTTGACGGAACTCAATAAGATTATATTATAAGAACAACTCAATAAGATTATATAAAATTATATGCAAATTTAGGAGGACCCTCGACATCCTCCAGCAGCTATGTGAACATCCCGCGGACGACGCTACCCACCTTGAGAAATATACTTGGTGAGTTCAATGGGTTAAACAAGTTCAATGGGTTAAACAAGTTCAATGGAATCCTGTAAACATTTTGCAGTCATTTTTGCATTTAAACAAGCCTGTACGAATGCAAAAATGATTATTGCCTTTAAAGCACTAGAAAAGAGTCACAAGAGTGTTGAAGTTTCGAAGTTAGAGTCGGCTAGGAATTTTGGAAATAATCCATCGACTTTTCTAGTGCTATGACAACCATTTTTGCATTGGTATAGGCTTGTTTAAATGCAAAAATGACTGCAAAGTAGAGAATCTAGCGTTAATTAAAGATAATTAAAGATAATTGAAGATTGATGATAAAAAAATTCCCACAATCTTCAGAAACTTGCCAGGTTATTATTTCAAAAATTCCCCCGGTAACTACCCAAACTTTGAAACTAGCACTCTTGTGGCTCTTTTTTAGTGCTGTAATAATCATTCCGCATTCTGTACAGGCTAGTTTGGCTGCAAAATGGCTACAAAATGGTTACAAAAATCACTGCCAAATGTTCACAGTAGCTCTTGCACTAATTTCGATCAAAATTTCAGTGGCTCAATCATGGGAGAGCGACATTCCATCAGCTTCATCGGGTCCCTCCCCAATCTCCTCTCTGTCCACCCCACGACCCAGCCATGAGAGCGATTGTGATGCAACGGATAACGAAGGTTTTGAAACAAGAAATAATCATTTTATTAGGAATATCGAAAATCCAACTCTTTCACTGAACCATATTACATATTACACGACATTTACAAATGTCGTTACTATTCCAGCTAGTTCTTAACCGATTCACCACAGAAGGGGCTCATCTTTTAACGTTAATATCGCTCATTTGTCTATTATATAAGTGTAAAAAAATTAAAGAAATCTATGGTGAAATGAGAAAGTTAAGGCATCACTTTACAGTCTCGAGAATTTCATATGCAACAACCTAGCAAAGGCCAGCGCAAATTCGCCAATCAACTAGCTAATAGATCCTAGGCTTAATTCTACGGAAAAAAATCTTTGAAAAATCTCTTGCCATTGACTACAACTGTGATATTATTTGACTATTCTTTACTTTCACCCAATTCACTTTGAAACTCCAAGTTTTATTCCAAAAAGATTTTTCCAAAGCATTGCTCTAAAATTTGAAGATAAAGGCGATAACAACTATTGTAAAAACTCTAATAGGACGGCAAATATCCTCTCCTCTAAATATCGACTTTTTGCGACATTTTTTTCACGAGAATGGATAGAATTGAGCATAAATATGCCAAAATTATCATTGACAATAAAATTGGTTCAACAGTTTTCCAAAAAATTTTAACACATCATAGATCAGAGAGATTTTTTTCAGAAAATTTCTCCAGAGACTCCGGATAAGAAAAGATTTTCACTCTAAAACGTTTTCTACATACTTTTTATGCTACAACAGTTGACAAGAAAAAAGAAATTTTTAATTCTTAGCCTTTTCAAATATTCTATTTTTCTCTCTTCCAGGCCCACCCGAGATTCGCTTCCGCGAGCAAATCGAGAGCTCCCAAGCCGGTCCATCTGATGTTGAGAGCTTAAAACTATCAAAATAAAAACATTATCTAGGTCTACGACGTGCTTAGCGAGTACAAGGCCGAGAACCGCGACGAGCTCGACTTGAGGCACGGCTCTGTCGTTCGGCTCATCACAAGGAAAACGTATGAATAGTTATTTTAAAAGCCTTATTCTAAAAACTAAAGCTCATTATTTTTCTGAGGGTTTTCGGGGTCGGTGAATCGATTAGAGCTATTCATTTTATTAAACCATCAACTGAAACTCGAGTTTTGTCATAAGCTGAGATTTTTTTGTACAACTTATATACTTAGCTTAGAAAGAAGAAATTCAACTGGAAATTTGTACCTTGGGGTTTTCGGAGTCGGCAAATCGATTAGAGCTATTCATTTTATTAAATCATCAACTGAAACTCGAGTTTTCTCATTTGAAACCTGTCAAAATTGCTTCCAACTTTTGCTTGAAACATATCCTGTTGTCTGTGATCGTGAAAATTTTCTTTTTAATTAATGGCATCAAATTGTAGCCTTTAGAGGGGAAAATGCTGGGGGAAAATGCTGACTAATGAGGGGGAAAAGCGCGCATTGTAGCATCAACCAGTGTCGAGAAAAACTCGTTCAAAGCTAGGCGACGCAACACTCCGCACCGTCATTATGGGGGTGGGGTACGATCATAGTATTTACGGTAAGTAATGTGTCTTCTAAAAGGTATCAACTTTAGAAAAACTATTGTAATCAAATAATCCATAGTATCGTAATCAAGTAATCCGTAAAAGAACACCAATCCTTAAGTAAGCAATCAGTTTTCACTCGATTAGCCCAATTTTAGTATCATTCGACAAGGAATTATACCAAAATGATATCAAAATATCAAATTGCCGTAAATACTGTAATAGTACCCCACCCCCATAATGACGGTGCGGAGTGTTGCGTAGTCTAGCTTTGAACGCGTTTTTCTCGACACTGGTTTATGCTGCAATGCGTGCTTAGGTATCAAAAAATAGCCCTGAATTTCAGCTATTTTTTGATACCAAAGACGCATTTTTTGAAAGTACGGGCGCTTTGAAAAAAATGAAATACTAAAAAACTTTTGCGACTACGCGACTTTACGAAGGGGGTGGGGTACTATTACAGTATTTACGGTAATATTTATAGCCTAATTCGTTTGGCTCGTTTTCTGAAATGAAACTTATAAATCAAATCAAATCTTTTGAAATCTTTTGAAATCTCTTCATTTTATTTCGAAAATTTTCAGTGGCGAGATAGATTGGTATTTCGGAGAAGCCGACGGGAAAAAGGGACTCTTCCCGGTCAACTACGTGAAACACATTGGGAAAGAGGCGCCGACGGTTCGTTTTTTGTCTTTTTGGTATATTCAAAACTATCGTCTATACAGTATTTTAAAAATACATTTCTTCACACGAATAATGTGATACAAACAATACAAAAGCACAACGCTTAAGCCCTAAATTAAGGGAAGAAAAAACCAATATACAGTCGAAATTCGTTATAACGAACTTCGATACAACGAATTTGGAATTATAAAACGTGCTCAAAATTTCTGTCTAGTTGCCCCAGCCAAATGCAATCACTGTGGGGTAGGCTAATTTCCGCAATCCTTTTTTTGCGCAACAGGATCATTTGCGCAACTGGGTCGTATGAGCAACTCGCCATAACTTTTTTCTAAGTCGGCCAATCTTTATGATTTTGGTTTCATTTTATTACACTTGTTGAGATCTACAAAATGAAACCAACATCATAAAGATTGGCCGACCTAGAAGAAAGTTATGGCGAATTGCGCACACGACCCAGTTGCGCAAACGACCCAGTTGCGCAAATGATCCTGTTGCGCAAAAAAGATTGCGAAAATTAGCCTACCCGGAAAAGCCAGCTTCTGGTGTATCAAGTGAACATTTAGAGTAACTTTAAAACTCTAACTTGCTAATGCCACTTCACTATTTTTCAATATTTCAAAGTGCAGCCTTATAGTTCTTGATTAGAACTAATCGAATCTTTTTACATTTTGAAATTATCTTAAAAATTTGAAAAGTTATAGCGCGTCAAAAATTTCGTCCAGTTCCGGTGGACAGAACCGTCCCGAACGTGTTAATTTGAATTAGTTTCAAATTGGGCTGAGTTGTTTTTTTGTTGATTTGGTCAATCCAAACTTCAACTCGACATTTGTTTTTATTTTAAAGATAATCTTTTATCTAATAGCTTATGAGATTATTTAAAACGATCTTTTTAAGATCAAAGCCAACGAGATCGAAGAGTTGAACGAGATTGGACAAGGAGCTTTCGCCCGGGTACTCAAAGCAAACTATTGGAAAGATGTGAGTTCAACTCGACATTTGTTTCAAGAACTAATACTTCAATATATTTAAAAACTATTAAATAAGTTTATTTAATAAGTTTCAAATAAGTTTATCAAATAATTTTATTAGGTTACGGAGAAAGGGTTTGCTGATTTTTTGGGAATTTTCTTGTCCTTGCCCGATCTGGACGTTTAATAGCTCATTCAAAAGCTAATTTTCTAGTAGATTGAATGAAAAAAAACCCGATCCAGCTAACCATTTAAATAGTGATTTCAAATGTACGAGTACAATTTCCAGGGTAAACGCTTGGTGGTGGCGCTGAAGAAGCCGAAGAGCATCACGGATAAGCGAGTGATTGAGGGTGAGGGATTTGATTTGATTTGATTTGATTTCTTTTGATATCAATTGTTTAAATTGTATTTGAGTTGCACATTAATGATATTTTTCAAAAAAATGGAATTAACGCAAGGCTTAAAAGGAGCTTAGTTTGAAATTCGGCTTTGAAAATGAACAAGATCTAAAATTGATCTAAAATTGATCTAAAATTGATCTAAAATTTAAAATCGAACCTATAAACTGCTCATTTTTGTTACTTTTTGCCATTTTTGAATAAAGTATATTAGGTTGTTAAAAAAGCTCGCGATCACTTGCAGAAAAATTCAACTTTTATGCGCAAATAGTAAACAAAAAAAAGAACGTTCACTTTTCGAAGTAGAGTTCGTCATTCTTTACGACTTTCTGCCACCGAGCAGCCGAATTCCGGATCTGCTCGACCTACCAAACCGACTTCTTTAAAGCAAAGAACTCTTGACACGCTTCTTCAACTTCTTGTCTTCAAGATTAAAATCACCGTCTTCAAATCAAATTCAAATCTTCATTGAAGCGTTTAAACCACTCGATCACAGCAGTTTTGCCAACAATTCCTTCATCTTCCACCTCACAAATCACTTCAACAGCAGATCTCGCAGACAGACCTTCTTTCCAATAATGAGGAACAAAAAAAAAAAAAAAAAAAACAAAAACAAAAACAAAACAAAAACAAAAACAAAAACAAAAACAAAAACAAAAACAAAAACAAAAACCAAACAAAACAAAACAAAAACAAAACATTCACTCACTTTTATCCATCTAGAGACGTGGAATTTGTAAAGTTAGTTAGTTAAATAACAAAATGCTCGCAAGAAAACAGGCTTTCAAATAAGCCAAAACCCATAACCATCCATTGTCAAGATAATTAGATAATTTGAACTTTTTTGCAAGTGACCGCGAACTTTTTTGAACAACCTCGTACAATTCCAAACTTTTTTTTTGCACATTTCTGTCAACAGGCCGCAAATTGGCAGAGTTGTTACTCAAAGAAGGTTTAGTTTGAAACTCGGCTTTTGAAAATCAACAAAAAATGAAATATCGATCCGAAAAGCTGTCTAAAGCGTATCTATATTTAAGCAAATTTCAATTCTATCAAAAATTTATGGATTGAACTCCTTTTCAGATATGAAACGTGAAGCAGTGATGCTCCAGCGTTTATGTCACCCGGAACGCCATCCGAATGTCGTTGAGCTTTACGGGATTTGTCTCGAGGCTCCACACGAGGGATTGCTTTTGGAATTGTGTGAAGGTGGGTGTGTTTGATGAAAGTTGATAAACTTGAAAGGAAAAGTTGAAAATACAAAGGAATAAAAAACGATTTAAACAGGATTCAAGTGGATTAAACCTCTGTGCACTCCACGATTAAGTTTTTCCCTGTCCTATGGGCGCTGTTTAACTTGAAACTTTGACCTTAGAATTGTCAAAAAAAAGATTTTGGATCTTAAAATAATAATTATCTTAAAATAATGATCATCTTAAAATTCAATTTCTTCTGGCTCGCTTTCATTTTCTTTCTTTCTAGTGGTAACGAATTAGAATAGATTTCTAGGATGAGTGATGATTTAAAGTTTAAAATTTAAAATTTAGTGAGTTACTGAGAAATTTTCTTTTTTAAATCTGATTTTCTGGGAATTTTCTTGAAAATTTTGTTTAGAATTTTTATCTTTCTAGTTTATTTTCAAGTTCTTTTAGGACCTACAACTAAAAACTGATTTATTTAGATGGAAATTAACATAGCGAGTGAAGAAGAGTACCCTTGATTATTTCCAAAAGAAACTCTTAATAATCCTTTTATTTGAAACTCAACAATTTTTTAATGCAAACTTTAATGCAAACTGCAATCTGCTAAGAATTTCAAAGCAAAATGGAATTAAATTGGATTGGATTAATCATTCAACCAATTACTAATACTTTATTCAAACGATAAAGGGAAAGAAATCATAAGAAATGCACAGTGATACTTAATCATACAATACATTGATGATTGGATTAATCGGATTGGATTAATCATTCAACCAATTGCCAAATTGCAGCTATTCCTTCGAGTTTTTGATCTTGAAACCGGCTAATTTGATATTTTCACGAAATTACAGTCAAAACCGTTTTAGCTTAAGCTGTTTATTAGTGATGGATTCATATTTTAAAGAATTTTTATCTTTCTAGTTTCTTTTCAAGTTCTTTTAGGATCTACAACTAAAAACTGATTTGTTTCGATGGAAATTAATGTAGAGAGTCGAAAGTAATCTTGATTATTTCTAAAAGAAACTCTTAATTTGCCTTTTATTTGAAACTCAACAATCTTTTAATGGAAACTTTAATACAAATTGCAATCTGCTAAGAATTTCAAAGCAAAATGGAATTAAATTGGATTCATTGTTCAACCAATTGCCAAATTGCAATTTGGCATTCCAAATTGCAGCCATTCCTTCGAATTTTTGATCATGAAACCAGCTAGTTTGATATTCTCACGAAATTACAGTCAAAGTGAACCGAAATATTTAGCATTAAAAAGCTGTTCATAGAGATGATGGATTCAAATTTTTAAAGAATTTTTACTTTTTTAAAGGAGTGAGGAAAAAAGAGGGAGTATTGAGCCACCACCCCTAGTTTCTTTTCAAGTTCTTTTAGGATCTACAACTAAAAAGTGATTTGTTTCGATGGAAATTGACATAGCGAGTGAAGAGTAATCTTGATTATTTCTAAAAGAAACTCTTAATAATCATTTTATTTGAAACTCAACAATTTTTTAATGCAAACTTTAAAGCAAACTGCAATCTGCTAAGAATTTCAAAGCAAAATAGCACTAAAATTGGATTCATCGTTCAATCAATTGCCAAATTGCAAGTAGCCAAGCAGCTATTCCTTCGAATTTTTGCTCTTGAAACCGGCTAATTTGAAATCACAGTCAAAACTGATTTAGCTTAAGCTGTTCATAAGCGATAGATGCACTACTTTAAAGAAAAATCCTTGCATTTTCATTTATTTGAAACATCACTTTCCAATTTCCCGATTTTCTTTAATTGTCCATCTTTAACTTCACTTTTCATTTAACTTTTCTTAACAACTTTCTATTCTCAAGCGAAATTCTGATCAAAGAGTAGAAAAAAAAGCAATTTTTTGAGAAAACTCCCCAAATTACGAGACTTTTTTTTTTGGGCAACGAAAACTGATAACACGACCGGAAGTTTGTAAACCCACAAAAAAATGACAAAAACATTTTGCCCAAATGGAGAGATCGACATCAATTTTGATATGGGTGAAGGGGCTAAAATTAGACTAATCATTCAGCAAACTACACAAAGATTGCTGACAAAAAAAAAAACGAAATTTCAATATGAACCGGGTAAAGGACAGGGAAAGGGACTTAGTTATCGGGATTTCAATTTCATATTCTTCATATGACAAAGAACGAAAGAATCTTTAATATGACTCAAATAAACAGAATAATACCTTTTGGCTTAAGTGTTTAACCAAAGACAAAGAGCAAAATCAAGATTCATTCCAGGAGACACCCTCGCCAGCGTGTACAAAACGTTCTCGAATGTGGCGGTGAGCGCTCGGGTACTCGTCGATTGGGGAGTGCAGATTGCGGCCGCGATGAAACATTTAGTCGAGCATCAATATGTGCATCGAGATCTCAAAGCGGACAATGGTTGGTGAAGAGATTGCCAATAGATTTGATTCTAGTTCGTCTTTTCTTCTAGGTTGTCGGTCCTTTTATACGCGTCCCGTCCCTTTTGCCATTGGCAATCTAACGTTGAGCTTAAATATCTTGGTGTTGAGCTGTTCAATTTCAATATTCTTGTTATTATTAGATGCGCCAAGTCTTTCGCTATCGATTGGTACAAAAACTATTTAAATTGGACAGTCGAGCGCCAAGATATTTGAGCTTAAAGTTAGATTGTCAATGGCGGGGCGCGTATAAAAGGTCCGTTGCCCCGACCCTTTTGCCATTGACAATCTAACTTTGAGCTCAAATATCTCGATGTTGGGCTGTTCAATTTGAATAGTTGTTGTACCAATCGGTAGAGAAAGACTTGGCGTATCTAATGACACCAAGAACATTTAAATTGAACAGCTCAACACCAAGATATTTAAGCTCAAAGTTAGATTGCCAATGGCAAAGAGATTGTGGCAAATTCCCCACAATCTCTCTTCTAGGCCGTTTTCTAAAATGCGCCTTTTTCTCTTTCTACCGTAATCTTCGTATTTTTTCTCTAATCGATCCACTTTTTGTTCTGATTTTGTATGGTTCACAAAGGATATCGAAAGTTCACAAAGGATATCGAAAGATACAAAAAGTGAATGGATTTAAGAAAATAGAGACAAGATTACGGTAGAAAGAGAAAGGAGACACGTTTTAGTAAAATGGATTGGAAGAAAGAGACGCTCTACTGGTCAATGAGCTTTTTTGAGCTTTTTTGTGAATATCTTTTTTTCCAAGTTTCAAATGTCTTCCATAAATAAATCAAGAATCACCGATGAATGCAATGCCATCGTTTTCTTTTTAAAAGTAAAAAAATCTGAAAGTGAAGTTAGTTTTGGAATGTTTAAAGTCAAAAAATGAAGAACCCACATTTCTTCGGGTAAATTTACCTAAAAAGGACAAACAATGGTCATTTTTGGCGCTCATTTTGAAAGTCACTTTTTGCAAAGATAAAACGAAGAGAAACTTTTAGAGAAAGACAAATTTGGGAGGAATTTTAATTAAATAATAGATAATAAATGTGATAATCATTAAATTTCGATGTTTTTTTCAGTTTTGGTGAAAGAGCGAGTTTGCATGTGTGCCTTGTCGCCAACCACTCCCAGTACTCCCACATCTAGTGGAGCCGATGAGGTACAAATCCCAATTTTCAACTTATATTGAATAAGAATTTAGTTTGGCCATTGTCGAAATTGTCGTGGCTACACGCTGGACCATTTGACGTTAAAGATCACCGATTTCGGGCTAACGAGGGAAGCCGGGGACAAGAGGTTTCAAAGTTATCAATATCTAAACGTGTCCAGCGAATGTAATTGTGACTTTCTAGCTTCTTGTTGTACATTATATTATTGTAGCTAGTTCTTTAGCTAGCTACAATAATATAATGCTTTACCACAAGATTGTGAAATTTTAAAACCAATTCTCTGGCTTCAGTATTCTTGAAACCTTGCCAGCTTAAGATTAGCTAAATATCTTTTACAATACACTCGAGATATTGAACCGCTAAGCTCAAAAAGAAACAGTTCCAATCCAATCAGTTTTAAGTTCCAATCCAAAACTCAAACATACTATAAGATTTTGTTGTATTTCTTCAATTTTCTAGGCAATCTGTGGCTGGTACTGAAGCCTGGATGGCTCCGGAGGCATACAAGTTGAAAGAATATGGAGAGGTGAGTGGAAAAAAGGGATAGTTCTATAAATGAGTTATCTAAAGAAGTATAAACAAGATAAGCAACAATTTCTCAATCAATTTCTCAATTAAAAAATCGAATTCTAACTAGGGAAGACAAGGCAAAGCAAGCCAAAGCAAGCCAAAGCAAGCCAAAGAAAGCCAAAGAAAGCCAAAGCAAGGCATAAGCCACCTAGAAAACCCTTGTTTCAACATGAAGAGCTTTTGACGAGCTTTCAAGCTTATAATAAATAATCTTTTTTGACGCTTTTCGGTTATATAGACATAAAATTTGGATTTAGAATTTTAAAAAAACTAATAATGACCGTGCGGAGTGTTGCGGAGTGTTGCGTAGTCTAGCTTTGAACGCGTTTTTCTCGACACTGGTTTATGCTACAATGCGCGCTTAGGTATCAAAAATAGTCCTGAATTTCAGCTATTTTTGATACCAAAGACACATTTTTTGAAAGTACGGGCACTTTGAAAAAAATGAAACACTAAAAACACTAAAATATGCACTATTGTAAATAAAATATCAATTTTAGTGTAGTTTTTTTGTAATTTTCGCATTCAAGTTTATTGTTTTGAATTGAAGAATGGATTGCTTGAAAACCGACAAACCGACAAGTACTCTTCATCCCAATCCTTTTAGGCCTCAGACGTTTGGTCATTTGGAGTGGTTTTGTGGGAATTGTTGACGAAAAGCATCCCTTATGAAGGAATTCAAGGAATCGTCGTAGCTTACAATGTGAGTTTGCACAAAAATTGCACAAATTTCATTTAACTTGGTAAAGAATTTTTTGAGTTTCAAGTTAATCAGCATTAGTTTTGAAAGTTCTCGTTAATTGAAGGCCTTTATTTTTTTCTAATTCTAATTGTTCTAAACGTTCTAAACGTCTAAAAATCAGTAAAAAGCAATTTGTTTTGCAGAAAACTGAAAGAAAAATGCCAATTTCAGGTGGCAGAGCGAAAATTGAACTTACCGGTGAGACCCGAATGGCCACAAACACTGCAAGCGATCCTCAAAACGTAACTTTTTTCTTTGAAAGAATTTTGAAAAAGTTTTCTTATTAAAAACAAAAAAGGTTTTACTAAGCATAAGGCTTGTTTTGAGCGTCATGAGCGTGGCCTAAATTGCTCGAAATCTCGAGAACCGCTTATCAGAACCTATCGATGTGCGGTGGGAAAATGTAGCTGACGATGAGATCTAGTGGGGGATTAGAGTGTTGAGCTTCTGCATAAGCTTGGAAACCGTAAAATAGTCACCAACTCGGCTCGCCGGGGTGCACTACTATTAGAGAAAATACGATCATATTTGAACATTATTAGTTGAAAACTAACAAAAACTTAGCTCTTCTCAGTAAGCAGTGAGCAGCTTGTTTTTCAAAAACTCCAAAGCTAGTCAAACTAGGCTAAGTGTGACTCTAAACTTTGAGAGCTTGTTTTAGAAATTTGTGAGCTCCTATCGGCTAGATAATGGGCATCCCTACAGGAGACCCAGTCAAAATCAATCTGTAGAATTTTTATGGTAATCGGTTATCTTTTGACTGAGCTACACCCTCCAAAGAGAGCATGAGTACCGTATTCTCTCTAATAGTGGTGCACCCTGAGCGTTGCCTAAATTGCTCGAAATCTCGAGAACCGCTTATCAGAACCTATCGATGTGGGGTCGGAAAATGTAGCTGACGATGAGATCTAGTGGGGAATTTGAGTGTTGAGCTTCTGGGAAACCTTTGAAAGCTGTAAAATCGTCACTAACTCGGCTCGCTGGGGTGCACTACTATTAGAGAAAATACGGCATTCATTTTGATCTCTGGTCCAAATCGGTCCTTTTGCAAAAGATACGCGGTCGTCAACGTGTTAAAAATTGTTGTCCCCACATCAACGGCTATCTTACACTTGTAAGCTCGCAGACGCATTTCCTTTAGAAGTGACATTAAGACTTTTAAATATTTGTGTCCGTTGGAAATTGGTTAGAATTTTGGCGCAACTAGCAAATCAACCAGAAAAGCCTATTTTAAACGAGCTTCTTTCAACTTTAACAGTTATTGATTTGCTTTAAAACATCAATAATGGCAAATAGTTTTTGAGCATTTATATATAATTTTATTCAAAGATCATTGCGGTTTATGACTTTCGAATCAACATTTGATTGATACAAACAATTTTTCAGCTGTTGGGATTACGAGCCGACGCAACGGCCGAGCTTCATCATGCTGCACCAACAACTCACCGAGTTCAAAGCGATGCTCACGGTCGGTTCTTCAAATTCTTCTAAAAGATTACTTTTATTATGAGCCTGCTTTCAAATTAAATGCTTTTTTTCTAGAAAGAAGAAGAAGAACAAGTGCAACGCGTTCGCACGAATATCCTCGATGATTTGGAGAATTTCTATAACGATTTATCGATGGAGGCAAATGTGGAGAAGAATCCCGAACACATGGAACAGTTCGTTTTTCAAGGAAATTTCCATTTACCCTGAAATCCATTTACCATTTACCGCAAAAAGATTTCCTAAGGTTCCTAAGATTTATTTTTCAGATTCAAGAAAGTCTACGAGAGGATGATCGGCAATCTCACGCACACAAGAGAAGAAAAGGTTTGCAAAAAAAAAATTGCTGCTTTTGCTCTGATCAATAAAAAGGTCAAAAAGCCTATTGGATTGTCTATTTGTTTAAAAACAAAAATTATTAGGTACATCCATAAGAGATGCGGATTTCAATTTTCCAACGATTTTCAATTTTCATAAATTTCCAACGATAGAAACCTGATATCGATGAATGTTATAAACTATTTGAAAGTTGTAAATCTCCTCTACAAAATAGGCAAAAACGTGTTTCAATTGATCGAGCAATTAAAGAAATTTCGAGGAAAATCTTTCGGAAGGTGAGTCCTCCCCATATATCTTTTTAATATTAGCAGCTGCCAAACCTGCACTGTGCTCTTGTAGGAACTCATGAAGCATGACATGACGAATATGTCCCGGTGGCAGATTGTCGAGTGCCTTAGAAGAAGTGAAGAAAAATACCAAAAAATAAAAAGCTAGAAGCATATTTTTTCACAATAATTTGAGGAAACGTTGAAATAACCAAAACCCCTTTCAGCTGGTTGAAGGCTGTTGTTTTTTATCTTCGAGTTTTCAATTCACCAACCCAATATTTGAAAGTTGTAAATCTCCTCTACAAAATAGACTAAAACATGTTTCAATTGATCGAAGCATTGAAGACATTTCGAGGGCGAAATGCGAGTGACCAAAAAAGGGCACTTTTTGAAAACCCCACTTTCACAAGAGTTCGGTTTTGACTATATAGTGGAATATCACTATCCTAAAATATCATTATCCTAAAAATATCATTCAAAATAATTAAGAGTTGGGATCATTTCATGGGAAAACTTTGTTTTTACAATAATTTTTCTTTTTTTGTGAAAAAGCCGGTTTTTTGACAATTTTGAGGGTTTTGAACTTACGCTCTATCTAAATTTCTAGGAATTGGGAGAAGAGCTAGGGGTTGATCATGCTAGAGTGCTAAGGTACCTTCATGCTCTTGGATTTAAATCGAAACTTGGGACTTGGGTGTCCCATGACCTCACTGACCCCCAGAAGTGGCAACGCGCCTCCATCAGCGCAGGCTTGGCAGCTGCTAATATTAAAAAGATACCGTATTTTTTGTAATAGTAGTGCGCACTACAATTTTTTCAACCCCCCTCCTATCTTTATCGATATCAATGATCAGATATGAGACTTGAGCACTCAATATTCACTCAACATTCACTGAATATCCCATTAATCTTTTTGTCCGAAATGTAAACGAGCCTGCACTACTATTACAGAAAATACGGTATATGGAGAGGACTCACCTTCCGAAAGAATTTCGCCCTCGAAATTTCTTCAATGGCTCGATCAATTGAAACACGTTTTTGCCTATTTTGTAGAGGAGATTTACAACTTTCAAATAGTTGATAACATTCATCGATATCAGGTTTCTTTTGTTGGAAATTTATGAAAATTGAAAATCGTTGGAAAATTGAAATCCGCATCTCTTATGCATGTACCTAATATATTCATTTTGTAGCCGTTTACTTTGTGCAAAATTATGCGTGTACTTTCTGGTGCACTTAATTCTTTATTTTCCTTGTAAAAAGAATCGTTCCTGCAGAGGAAGTGAAGTATTGAGTGCACTAGAAAATGTGTGTTTACAAAATTTTCACTATAAAGTACAAATCAGGAGTGAAAAAGTGTCAAAAGAAGAAAAAGAAGAAAAAGAAGAAAAAAATGTTTCAATTTTCAGCCAGCTCCAATGATCGCTCCACAACGAACAACATTGCGAAGAAAAGAAAAGAAAAAACAATATGGAAAAACGGGGAAAATCGATAAGAAAGACATTGGACGGCCACAAGGTATTATCGAATTTTAAAATTTGAACAAAATCTTAAAGCTTAAGCTATTTTAGACTAAAGAAAACGAGAAATACCGTAAAAACTTTAATAGAACAACCCCCTATAGGAGCGTCGTGTAGTCTAAGTTTACACTCAAATAAACGCTCATATCTTGACACCAGTACGTTTATTTCTGCGCGCTTAGGTATCAAATTAAAGTAGAAAAATAGGGGAATTTTTTTCAGCTATTACATGTATTTTTAGCTTCAACCAGCGCTTAGAAAACATGATTAAAAAATCGCAAAAAAGCCGATTTTTCAATCACTGTTTTCTAAGCGCTAGTTAAGGCTAAAAATCTATGTTATATCTCAAAAAATCACCTATTTTCTCTACTTTAATTTGATATTTAAACGTACAGAAAGAAAGGTACTAGTGTCGACATATAAGCGTTTGTTTGAGTGTCAGTTAGACTACCAGACGCTCCTCCTTTAAGGGGTTCTACTAGAATGTTTACGGTAGCTAAAATGTGAGAGTTAGGAGTGATTAAAATTGAGTTATTAAGTATAAGTATTGAGTTATTAAGTTATTAAGTAACTGAGCAGCCTTTAGTTTGAAAAATGATCATTAATGTTAGTGATGATTGAAAAATGGTCGTTAATAGTTGATGTTAGTGATGTGATCCAAAAAGTGAGTTGAGTTAAAAATTGAAACTTGAAACATTTTTTGTATACAATAAGCAATTAAACAAATTAGGAATCAAGTTTGTTTCTCTTGGGTAATCCATTTTCTAAAAGGTATCTATTTCTAGACAAACTACAGTAATCCAAACGCCAGTTTTCATTTGATCAACCATTTGATTTGATCATTTGATCGATTTGATCGATTTGATTTGATCATTTGATCGCTTTGATATGATTTGATCATTTTATTCGATCAAAACTTTGGTATCATTCGATGAGAAATCACAAGGCTCAGTCAATGAAAAAATTAGGCGAATCAAATGGAAAATGGCGGGCAGATTACGGTAGTTTGTATAAAATCTGTGCCTTTTAAGAGATTAACTAAGAGAATCAAAAGAAAATGTCATGGTTATGTTTACAATATTTGATTGTTAATACGGGGGGTAGGCTAGTTTCCGCAATTTTTTTTTGCGCAACAGGATCATTTGCGCAACTGGGTCGTGTGCGCAACTTGTTGATCAAATAACATTTTTCTAAGTCGGTTAATCTTTATGATTTTGGTTTCATTTTGTTTCACTTATTGAGATCTACAAAATGAAACCAACATCATAAAGATTGGCCCACTTAGGAAAAAGTTATGGCGAGTTGCGCAAAAACAATTGCGGAAATTAGCCTACCCCATCAGTGGCCGTCCTGGGCAGCTACGCAGAAAATTTGAGGCACGTTTTAGGTTCGTTATATCAAAGTTTTCAATCACAAACGATTAGTTATATCGATGTTCGACTGTATCTGAAAAAAGAACCAATAATCTAGCCGGGATTGAACCGCAATTTTTTTGTTGCGCAACTCGCCATAACTTTCTTCTAAGTCGACCAATCTTTATGATTTTGGTTTCATTTTATTACACTTGTTGAGATCTACAAAATGAAACCAACATCATAAAGGTTGGCCGACCTAGAAGAAAGTTATGGCGAATTGCGCACACGACCCAGTTGCGCAAACGACCCAGTTGCGCAAATGATCCTGTTGCGCAAAAAAGATTGCGAAAATTAGCCTACTCATTAATCTCTTCTAAAAAATAACAAAAGCATGAGTTTTCTTCTGAACTTCTCAACATGTAAATCACATTTTTTTTAAAGATTAGATATGGAAAAGTTTTTTTGAATCGTTTGTCAATTTGGTGAAAAAGTTTGTCGTTTGTCAAAAGAAAAAGCTGTGCTGAATTCTTTTATTCAAATTTCAACATACATTTCAACATAAAGATTCAGTAAAATCGATTATTGTCTTCAAAATTGAAACCAAAATTCAAAATTGAAACCTCAAAATTGAAACTTAGTCTCGTTTAAATCAAAATTCACTGAAATAATCTAATAATTTTAATAATAGTCAAATTTCTAGAAATATTTTAAGCAAGCAAATCTAATAATAGAATCATAAGTTTCTTTGGGCTTTTTTAAAAATAGTTTTACATCAACAAAAGCTGGGTAAAACTGTCTGTAGAATCTTTAGAATGTCTTTAGTTTGTCTGGTTTGTCTTGTCTGTCTAGAATAACTCGAGTTCAGTTTTTGATTCAATTTCATACCATGAATCTAAATCTAAGATAACCAATGAACAGCCAGATTTGTTTTTTTTGTTTTTTTCAATCTAAATCCCCATTTCTGACAAACGATTCACAAAAATTGCCCATTTCTTTTCCAGACTTCAAGCACTGTATCCATGTGAAACAGCGGACGAACTCGAGCTCGCCCACCTCCTCTAAACACGGCCTACAAGTCATTTGTGCGTTTGTTTTTTCGTTTTTTTTTTCTCAAAAATTCTCAAACTGTCTCTCGGTTTTTCTTTTGCAAATAGAAAAAAGCATTTTAATAGAAAAAAGCGATTAAAATTGAGTTAAGTAACTGAGCAGTAACTAAAACTTGATCGTTTTAAACTTCTGAAATACTTTACGAATCAATTTACGTCTATTAAAGATAGAGATATCAGTTTAATAAATTTTTCCTTTGAATATAGAGATTTGATAGCAAGAAGAAGCTGCTGAATACATTTTGCGTAGGTGATTGAGGCAGCTCTTGATTGAAACAAGGCCTTTTCTCAAATCTTTTACTAAAATTGTCATATCAATCTTTTTGTAATGTGTATTGTGGTTTTTGGAAAATGTTTTTTTTTGGAAATGAGTCGAAAAATACCACTTCCACTTCTTCCGATTAAGAAAAGTGGACTTGTTTAACGGTAGTGACATTATTAGTACATTAAGCCACACCGGGTCAAGCTCAGAGAAGGCCAGCTATCATTGGGCTAGGATTAGATCACATTTAGAATAAAAAAATGATCATTTTAACTTCTGAAATACTTTACGAATCAATTTACGCCTATTAAAGATAGACAGATCAGTTTAATAACTTTGTTTCCTTTGAATATAGGCATTTGATAGCAAGAAGAAGCTGCTGATTAGATTTTGCGTGGGTAATTGAGGCAGCTCTTGATTGAAACAGGTCTCAAATCTTTTACTGAACTTGTCAGAAACTTTTTGTAGTGAATATTGTGGTGTTTTTTTTTCTGTAATTGTCGTATCGTGATCCTGATTTCAGATAACGATGAGCCACTCGAGCTGAGCTCTTCCATCTTTGGCACATTACCCAGAAAAATGACCGACGCGTCAAAGAAAGCAGCTCAACAGAATTTCTATGGAATTCTGAGTGCAAATCATGAGACTTTATCAGCTCAGCACTCTATTTCGTCCCCAAATCTGAATGGAGTGAATCAAGAGCTTTTCTCGCCGACAACTCTTTCCAATGATCTCCATCGAGTTAATGCTATCAAGAAGAAGAGAAATGTGGAAGGATTTGGAATTGGTGAGGCGTTGTTTATGTTTCATTTTTGAATGTAGTGAAGTGCCTTTTCTTGAGCAAATCGTTTCCTAAAACTTGTCCTCTTTCACGACTATCGTAATCTTGCCTTCAGAGATATTTCAAAAGCATTTTTCCAGGCCAAATTAGACTAGATCCTTCCTCGATAGTAGCTAGCTGAACAATCCAGTTTGACTTTGCTTTGTCACAAACTGGTCTAGAATAAACTTGTAACAAAAAGTGGAAGATTCAATAAAAATAGAGACAAGATTACGGTGGAAAGAGGAAACGTTTTAGAAAATTAGAAGAGAGGAACTCACTCGAGTTTGGCGAAGAAAAGTACACTAGTACAGTATTTTGTTTGTGAAGCATGTGTGTTTGTAAAAAAGCATATTTTTAAGCCCGTAAATTCAAAGCAAATACAATTCTACGAATTCAAACATTACCACAGAACTTTTTATGGAATTTTTGGGAAAATTTAACTCACAGGTAATTTAACGAGTTTCAAAGCTGACAAATAGACACCAAAGAAGAGTCGGCAAATAAATCAGATCAGATCAGATCCCAGCAACTTCTTGTACAAGCTGAAATGATAAAATTAAGGTGCTAGTTGAAATTTTGACTAGAAATTTTCATACTATTTTTTGAAACATCAATTTTTTCAGATGGTGAATTCGATACGCGACTCGCCATCATCGGCACGCCAATGAAGACCCCAGCTTCAAAGGTATTTTAATTATTCAAAAGATCAAAGTTTTTTAAAAAACCCACTCTAGTTTAGCAAAAGTCCTAAATTCTAAAGAAATTATTCGCCCAAGATTGCGTATTTGTCTAACAAACTAATGATAAATCTAATTAACTAATGATAAAAAATCTTAAGTTGCCCAGGAGCATAGACCAGGAGTGAGTGGTTTAAGCTTTCCGTGATTCTGGTCCCGTCCACGTGGCAAACCCACCAGGCCCGGTCTATTCCGGTACATCTATGTACATTCCTAATTTCACTAAGCTTAGTGAATGTTAGTTTACAAGCGTAGAGAGCTATTTCACAGAACCCAGGAAACTTTTGTGTTCAATTCAGTGTGATCCCGTCTAAAATCCCAGATCCCAGACTTTTTAAACTGAGATTTTCGGTCCATGACGTCCCCTCTCGATCTAGACACTTATTTTTCTTTTACATTTCTTAATAATTTGAAATTTAAACCTATCTTAACTATTAATTTTTCTAAAAGATTTTTACAAATTTTAGGTGAAAGACAAAAGGAGCAGCCAGGACTCGAACTCGTCAACTTTTTTCGCAAATCTCAAGCACAAAGTCTTCGGATTTGCGGTAAGTGCTCGTTTGCTGTCAAAAAATTTCAAACTTTAAAACCCGCAAGACCTTTTTAAGATCATAATGATTCACATCGGAAAATGGCATAGAAAGGTTTCATTCCCATTTTTCTTTTTCTTTGGATAATCTTTCTTGCGATCGATTTTGCTAGTTTCAAATCATTTCAGAGACGACATTCCCGACAAGATTCCGAGGATAAGGCATCGATTGATGGAGATGAGCCACATCGGTGAGGTTTAGACAAATACAGTAATACTCGCTAGAAAAAGTTGTACAAGTTGTACAAGTTCCAAAACAATGAACCAGTAGAGCCAAAGTCAGTTCTAGCTCTGAAGCCAGCTTCTGGGATGCTTGGCTTAGCCCAATCCCATAAGACCAGAGGGTCAGAGATCTAGGTTCGGAACCTGGTTTCTAGGTTCTGATGTGGCGTTACCTGTCTGGCCTGATTGCCCTGGCCTGGCTCACAGCCTCCAGGACCCGAATCCACCAAACTATTTATCATTTACCATCTAGCATTTACCAATTCACCATCTAGCAATTTTGCTAAACGGATTTATATTTAGCATTTACCAATTTTGCTAAATTTTGGCTTGTTTTTAGCCTGAGTATGTCGGAGTTCGAATCTGTGATTAGATTTCTTTGTTCAGAGCAGAGCTATAAGTGTTTTTTGGAGTTAGCGGCACCGCTAAACACTCTCGATGGTGTTTAGCCAAAAAAATCCTAAATTTAGCAAGACTCGATTTGCAAAATCTAGCAGTTGGTGGATCCGAGCCCAGGATCCGGTTTGAAACGAATATCCCTTGTTAGTGCTTTGCTTGAACAACAATCGTAAACTTTAAAGCGAAATGAAATTGCTCACACACCTGTGAGCAATTTGAAATTGCTCACATCGTCAATTAATCAACTTGAGACTGATAGTTGGCCTTTTTCGATTAATTGACAATGCTATTTAGTACATAATAGCAATCTAACAATCTTGCAATAGACAAATAGTCAAGATCAATAGATTTTTTCAAAATTATGCCACAGTTTACGAGTCAAAATATTTCCGGGTTTCAACCTTTTTGCCTTTCAACATCAATCAATAACAAGATTGGCAATTGATTTCGAATGAAGTTTCGTGAAACCTTTAGCTTGGTTCTATTCAAAAATTCAAATAAGGAGATCAATTTTTTGATATTTTCAACTTTCAGATCACCCCGCAGTCCATCGGAGAGCTCACAGCACAGCCCGGATCCGCGAATCTTTGGCAATCTCTCGCGGGGACCCGCCTCGACGACTTGGATCAGCGGAAAGGTGTTTCGATGTTTCAAAAAAGTTCATAGGGAAATCGCTGCATCTTAATGCCTTTTGACTCAAAAAAAACTATTTCTATTCTAAAAGTTTGGAAAATAAATGAAAATGAATGAAAATGAATGTTTGAGCTCACTAGTTTAAAATTTTGAAACTTTAAGACGCAAAAATTTATATTTCAAATTAAACAAAATTGATGATATTGACGAAATGGAATATAAATATTGAAAAATTGTCTTGTTAAGCCGAAAAAAATTGGGTTTCAAAATATTGAACTTTCGAGGTAGCCTGATTTGCTTAATTTGTAATGATCTCGGTCTTAAGCAGCATTTTTTTGAACTTTGATATTATTTTTTAAAATAAATTAAATTTGTGAGCCCCTGAGCGTCGCTTAGATTGCTCGAAATGGGAACCGCTTACAGGAACCTTCAGGGTCGGAAAATTTACCTGCGCTAGAATTTTTAGGGTATTCGGTTGATCTTCTGGACTGAAGCTTACACCCTCCAAAGAGCGCATTTGAGTACCGCATTCTCTTTAATAGTAGTGCACCCATGAGCGTCGCCTAAATTCCTCGAAATCTCGAGAACCGCTTATCAGAACATATCGATGTGGGGTCGGAAAATGTAGCTGACGCTGAGATCTTTTGGGGGATTAGAGTGTTGAGCTTCTGGGAAAACTTTGAAAGCTGTAAAATCGTCACCAACTCGGCTCGCTGGGGTGCACTACTATTAGAGAAAATACGGCATTCTGCTAAAAAACTTATTTTTCCTTTCTAGAATGGCGGCGGCGTTCGACCACGAGGCGTTTCAACGAATGAAGACGATTTGAATCGAGTAAGAGAACAAGGAACGAAAGGAAGGGGCATCTTTCAGCCATCAAATCGAACCACGTGAGTTTTTTAAAAGAAGAATCGACAAACTTTTAAATTTTTAAGTTTATTTATGTCTTTGCAAAGCTCAGAGAAATTTGAATTCGTTTAAATTGACAAATGAAATCTCATGAAAAATCGTTTATTTCAAATTTGTTATCATTTTGACAAATGCTGAAGGTAAATCGATTTAAAGTTAGCTTTGAGCTAAACAATTTCTAGAAATAAGAAACGATAAAATTTTAATAATACAAAGCTTTGAAAGCAAAAAAAATCAACTAAATATTACCTAATCAAGATTAAATTTAAAAATAGAACGTAAATTTCAAAAAACAAAAGTATTGGTTTCAAATTTTTGGTTATTATGCTAAAGCCGGCAAAATTAATAAATACAATGTATATTACAAAAAAAAATTTCTTTCCTTTACAAGAATATTCGGTACTTGTTTTGTTATAGCCACTATCATCTTTTTAATTTGTCTTAAATTTTCATTTATCGTCTCAACTTCCTCAAAATGTTTCAAGTTTAAGAAAAAGCTCAAATTCATCGATATAATCTTTTTGGTAACGCTTTTATACATTTCAGACTTTGTTGTATGCATTTTTCGATACTTATTGGTTATCTTCCCCTCCCAAAAATTTGCATATAACATTCTGATTTTCGAATTTGGGCTCCTATCTCTTCATAGGTAGTATTAAGCAATAAAATTTGCAAATTTGCAATTTCTTGCATTTCTTTGCAAACTTTGTAAATAGCATAAGTGCAGGTACTATAACAGGAAGCTACCATATTGGAACGAAATAAGAACCGTATTTGAACCGTATTGGAACCGTACTGGAACCAAATGGGAACCAAATAGGAGCCAAATAGGAACCAAATAGGAACCAAATGGGAGCCGTGTTGGAACCGTATTGGAACCGTATTGGAACCATATTCTAATAAAATAGGAATCGTATTGGAACCGTGTTGGAACCGTACTGGAACCAAATAGGAACCAAATGGGAACCAAATAGGAACCATGTTGGAACCGTATTGGAACCGTATTGGAATCATATTGTAATAAAATAGAAACCAAATAGGAACCAAATAGAAACCAAATAGAAACCAAATAGGATTCTTTGGAAAACATCGAAATTTATACGAAAAACCTGTTTTCCAGGCATTACCTCAAAAACACGGTCACCATGGCTCAATCGTCGCCGATTGTGCCAGGGAAAGTGAGGCCGTCGACGGGGATGAAGAGCTCGTCGCCCGGATCACAATTGGGAATCGATGACGCCGTGCCGACGACCCCGCCACAGGAATGCGGTCAGTCAAATGAATACATAATATTCGAAAATGTTTTAAGAGATAAAAATATTAGCTTGGTGACTTAATCTTGACAATTTTTTGTACTTTTGTTTCAAAATAATAGTTATAGTCCAATTGTTTTTCTAAACAAGATTGTTGAAATATTACCAAAACTAGCTAGCGCTGGGCGCCCGCTACGCGGTCAAACAGAGAAATTGTCCTCTGGCACCCATCGAAATTATTCTAGTTTTAAATTTCCAACAAAATGATACATTAACCATGAAAATCGGTACACTGGGGGTCGAAGTCCAGGGTCGGAGTACGCAATACTACGGTTTCCGTTGCCCGTAGAAAAAATCTGATCTCAACGGGGAACTTCGCGGCAAAAACCTATAAGGGTGTTGTTTTTGGAGCACTAGCTTCTCTGGTTTTCGAGATGAAAGTTGCGTACGGACGAACGGACGGACAGACAGACGGACAGACGGACGAACGGACAGACAGACGAACGGACGGACAGGCGGACGAACGGAGGAACGAACGAACGGAGGAACGAACGAACGGACGGATGGACAGACGAACGGACGGACGAACAGACGAACAGACGAACGGACGAACGGACGGACGAACGGACGGACGGACGAACGGACGAACGGACAGACGGACAGATGAACGGGCAGACAGACAGCCCTCAATTATATATAGTAGATATTCTGTCTCTGATTTTTGGGAGCGTTTTTTTGGGAGTTTTGGGAGTTTGGGAGTGAAGTTGGGTGGTCAAAAAAAGGCGATTTAGGCACTTTGGTCCACAGAAATCTATGTTGGTGCAAATAGGAAAAAGAAAGAGCACAAAAAGTTTGGTATCTAGCCAAATTCTCAGAACAATCTATTCACGCAGTTTCTTTATAGGACTTTTTATCGAATTCCTGCGAAAAACTAGTTTTTTTCCACTCAAATTTTGCTTGGAAACAGACCAAAATCGACTTGAAATGATAGAAAAGTGAATGCAAAACATCTTCTATTTGATCGTCTATTTGATCGTCTATTTGAATCTATTCTATTTGAAGTAAATCGTAGGTCAATTGATGGACTTAGTGATTTCTAAGTTTATGTACAAAAAAAGTGGTCAAAACTTGTTCACCTGTTCAGCTAATAGAATAGGATGGCATTGTATTCAACAAAACTCATATTGCCTCAGCAAATTTGAAATTAAAGCACGATTTTAGAAACCCGATTCCCGTCGTCCAAGATCACTCAAATCCATCAATATCACATCACTGGAGGTAAATCCTTGTAAAATAACAATATAGCAACTAATATATCAATAATGAGCCGATTTGAACTTTGCAATCGTTTCATCGTACGCTTAAAAGTACAAGGTGCAACTAGCAACGCTTAAAAGTACAAACTGCAGCATACATAGGTTTTTAGGGTTGTTAAAGTCACTGAAAAATGTCACGGCTCTTATATTCTATGTAAAATGACGCGTAGATTTTATGATTAATTCTTATTTTTCAGCTTAGATTAATGTATTTTCTTAGAAAGCTAAAAAGATGTATTAAGCGCGAAACTATATAAGCAAGTTTCAAGCTGGATGGGTTGAAATTGTCGATAGAAAATTAATGATAAACTTTTTGTAGATCCTCAAAATCTTTTACCTTTTACCTCTTTTACCAAAATCTTTTTCAGTCTCACCAAACGGTTACGAGAAACTCTCAAAAAATGAATCGAAATTGATTGGATGGAATCTGGATGAGAAAATCCCGGCTGACGGGCAAACGGCGGTGCGAAATTTGTAGAATGCTTAAATTTGTGCGGAAAAAGTTTTTATATTAGTCGACTAGACTGAAAAACCCGTCTTTGAATCCGTTGAAACATTCGATTTTCAGACAACCAGCTTCGACATGGCTCCGCCTGCGATTGGCTTTCGATTACCCACACAAACGGTTGGTTAACAATCTATTAGAAACAAAATTTAACGATATTTCAACCTTTGATAAACTTTAGTACTGTAGCGAATCATTTAATCATACTGCAATCATGTTAAAGTTAAGTTAAGTACTTTTTACATTCTCATCATTTCTAGGTGACCACTACCCCATACACGACAATCAGTCACTACAGTTCGCAGCTGATGGGCGCTGCGCAACCATTGAATGCACACAGAGCATCGATGAGTCCTCTAGCGCAGGTAAGGCAACTCTTAAAAGGCACTAAAACTACCGTAATCTGGCTGCTAGTTTTCCCAGCTCAATTTTGATATCATCCGATGAGGAATCAATGATACTAAAATCAGGGCTGATCTCGAGGGAAAACTGACGGCTGAATTACGGTAGTTTTGGTGCTTTTTAGAAGTGGATTTTGCAAAACCGTGGCAATTTTAGACTCCGCCCGCTTTCCCGGCTCCTCCTCCGCCGTCATCGTTCAGCTCCTCGTCCGTTGACAAGGCACCCGTCTACATATCAAATCAAATGTATCAGGTAAGCTTTCTGAAAGCAATAAAATACGGTAATCCCATTTGTATTTATAACTATTTCATTAGCTTGATGAAAAACCCTTAAATTCTTTGAAATTCAGCAAAATTACAAGATGTTTAACACATTCATGAGGTTTTTTGATTTTTGCTTAAGTCATTTCCCTTCCAAATCGTCTAAAAACGTTCACAAGCAACCGATTTACTTAAATTAAAGATCAAAATGAAGAGAAATGTTTGAGGATCATTTATCTGAAAGCTGTTTGTCAAAATATTGACTTTAAAGAGAGTTATGCGCCTTTGAATGCAACGATCACCGCTCACTGGTGATCCGGGAAGTTTCTCATGCTAAAACACTCTTCAAACTCAATATTTCTTTAATTTCTTTTCAGACAAATGATCTGTAAAGATTTCTCTTCATTTTGACTCTAAACTTAAGTAAATTGATTGCCTGTGAACGTTTTTAGACAAGCTGAAAGGGAAAGAACTTATGCAAAAATCCAAAAAAACCGAACGTGAATTTGTTAAAGAAATTTTTTATCTTTGATGATACTAAGAATGAAAAATTGAGTTCAATTCAAAGAGAAAACGGATGGCACTATGATTTCTCCTCTTAAGGACATTAAAATAAAGATATTATTTGAGTTTACAAGCAAAATCCAAGCTTTTCAGCGAATCGACGCCCCGCCAACGATCATCCCACGGCATGAACGGCCGGCCACTTTAGATTTACCCGTCACTCCTGGAGAGTCTGGGATTAGGTAAAAAGTATAGTAAATAACAAAATATAACAAAGTATTCCTAGAGGAAAAAGCTATAATAAATTGTAGCAGTAATAATTAGTTGTAAAAATAGATACACTTAAAAGTTGGAATTCAAATTGAAATTCAAAATTGAAGTTCAAATTGAAATTCAGAATTGGAAGTCAAAACTTTGACAAGCAATCTATAAAGAAATCGGCTGATAGTTCAAGTCTTGTTTGCACCTAATTGTCAAAGAATTCTTTGCGATTAAGCCTTTAAAAGCTTTTAAAGCTAAATTCTAAAAAGTAAATAATAAAAAGAAACGGCTTTTTAAACACTTGATTATTAGTATTTCTTAAAAAATGATTATTGAATGCATTTTTTTTCCTTGTTCTTGCCAGCTTGTCCCATTTTAAATTCAACAAAATTCCTATTAAATTAAATATTCTAAGTTTTAAGCTCAAAAAAAGACAATAGATTTATTAAAATTCATTAATTTCTCCCTCGTTCAGCCACCCTATCCCATTTGAAACTCAACAAAATTTTCGGTGACTAATGTTAAAGGTTTAAATTTTTTTTTGGTTTAAAACAAACAATTTGAAAACTCGAAACTTTTCAGCACCGCCGGCAGCTCGTTAACGTCGGCGCCGTTAGAGTACGCGCCTCCACCTCCACCCCGTCCGACCACTGTCCCCGTTGACTTATAAGAATTGAAAAATTTGCATATCTTCCCGAAAATTTGCATTTATTCACATGTAAAAATTCCCTTTCTATCCTTTTTTTTAGTTTATTTCGTTTTCTTTTCCCTTTTTGTAAATTGTTTACAAATTGCTTACAAATTGTTTACAAATTGCTTACAAATTGCTTACAAATTTAAATGTTTCAAAGTGGTTAATGTCTTTTCCATGTTGCCCAAGCTAATCTTATTTCTTTTTCTGATTGCCCACAGTGTATTCTTTGAAAGAAATCATCTAGTTGTACGATTTTTTTATCGTAACTGTTTAGTGGGTTTTGTAAAACCTGGTACTGTAAAGCCATTAGTACATCGAAATCTAGTATTAGTACTAGCAACTAGACGAACTACAAAATGACGAACTATCAAACAAAAAACGGTCGTAACTTTCTTCCCGTTAAACATTTTTCTGTAAAATTTTTACAGCACAAGTTTCAAGTGGATTTATATAGAGTACGAGACACAACTCGATGTCAAAAACTCTATAAAATGTTTTATACTCTGTTTTGTACTCTATGTTTTATACTCTATAAAAAGCAACTCGAAACTTGTGATCTTTATATTATTACTGCACAAATTTCTTTTCATTCGATAGCTCTTGAGTTCCGCTATCTTTTGGTAAAAAATTTACAGAAAAATGTTTAACGGGAAGAAAGTTACGACCGTTTTTGGTCTGATAGTTTTGTAGTTCGTCATTTTGTAGTTTATAGGCGCCTTTGTCTACTAACAGCTGGCCTAGCTCTATGTTAAACAGTTCTAATCGATTTTTAAGAACAAAGTTGGCAAAAAAAGGTCAAGCCAAAGCCAAAGCTAAGCCAAAGCCAAGCCAAAACCAATGGCTTTCAACTGGCCAACCCTTGGAGTTGCAAGCTAGGCAATTGCTTTGCCGATTCCAGCCGATACCAGCGACTCTTTTGAGTCTGGCTTGCAGTAAAGCGAGAAACCAGGCCAGAATCGGGCTTCTGAGCTGTCCCTGGACTAGAAAAGTTACGTTTAGACCAGTCCTAGATCAATCTAACGGCTAATCTAGTATCAAAGGCATTGAGCTGGTTACAAGCTCAAGTTTTGGCACAATACAGTGCAACTGGAGAGAGAAAAATACAATTTTTGATCTAGTACAATCTCGAACCAGTGCCAGAGTGCTTCACCTACAAAACCAATGAAAATTTCGTGTTCAAAAAGAGCTTGTACAAACCTAGTTACTTGAATGGTTACGGTAAACTTTCGAATCTTTTAGTAAAACTATCTTTACAGTAAATCTTTAAAAGCTTTAGTCATTTTGTGTGCCTTTTCGTCAAAACACTAGGAAAAGTAATCTTTTGTAAAAAAAAACTAATTTTTTGTATTAAGTGTTTTTCGCTTTTCTGGAATTTCTTTTGTGTTCACTAGTCGTTGATGTTAAAATCAAGTCCAATCTTGGAAAATTACAAAAATTCACTTTAATTTGTAAATAGATAGACAAAATTGTTGTGTTTTTCCCTTTTTTTTTTCGAATGTCTTTCCCGGAAAATTTCCTTCTTTTTTTTTCATGATTTAATTTGCTGTATTTCAAATAAAAGTGACGTAGTTAATGAAAAAAATTGAAATAAAAAAGTAAAAAAAAGAAATAAAGTTGAGAAACACAAGTGGGCAACGGAAAGGACGACGATTACGATGAAAAACGTTCGAGTTTCTCTCAATAGAACCAACTTTTGATGTTCTGTTTCAAAAAGAAATGATGGTTTTTTGGGCAATGAATAAGTCAAAGTTTTTGTCGATCGTTCTTTCGTACCAGATGAACCATTAACGAACCTGTAAAGAAATCTTCTTTGCGTGCTTGGTACTCTTCACTCAAGACACGTTATTTCTTGTTTCGAGCAATCTGATCTCACTTCAACTAAAACACTTTATTCAATAGCCGACTGACTCGGAATTTTTCGGCTTTTCTTGAGTTTCGGGCTCTCACTTGAGCAATTTTCACACAAAATCGACAATTGAATTAAAAGCGACGATAAAAACAGAAACAATTTCGTCCTAATTAGAACACAACTTTCACACGAATAATAAAAAGGAAAGCAGAAAAAATAATAAAAAGAAAAAACATCAAATAAACAACCGTTGCCTTATCGAGGCTTTAACACAAGGTATTCAGCTAACAAGCTACAAAACAATAAATGATTTGCGGCGCGAAATCGAATGAAGGCGCACGGATTTCCGCAATATTTATCCAATTTTTAGGCTGTCAGAATTAGGTAACTTTTTAGTGGCTATTCACCACAGAACCACCTTCTAATGCTTTAACGGTCTACTACGACAGTTCGTTTGGTATCCATTTTCGTGAATGTCTTAAAGTGTAAAATTGTATTCTCTTTTGTTCAAAATCAGCTTTTTTAAGTGCAAAAAGATCTTGAATCATGAGCAGATCAAAGATCTTTTTTTGTCTTTCGAACGTGTTATCAGAAAATCCGCTTTCAGTGATGACTTTTCGCTTTCAGTGAGTTTTCAGTAATGACTTTTCGGAAAGAGTTTAGTTTACTGATAAACATTTTGCTTTTCAACAACATTTAAAGAACTTTTTTTATGATTTTTTTATGATTCACGGACGGACGGACGGATGGACAGACAGACAGCCCTCAATTATATATAGTAGATATTTTGTCTCTGTTTTTTTGGGAGTTTTAGGAAAAATAGGAAAAAGAAAGAACACAAAAACTTTGGTATATAGCCAAATTCTCAGAACAATCTATTCACGCAGTTTCTTTATAGGACTTTTTATCGAATTCCTGCGAAAAACTAGTTTTTTTCCACTCGAATTTTGCTTGAAAACAGACCAAAATCGACTTGAAATGATAGAAAACTGAATGCAAAACATCTTCTATTTGATCGTCTATTTGAAGTAAACCGTAGGTCAATTGATGGACTTATTCATTTCTAAGTATTTGAAATCCATTCTCGTGAATGTCTTAAAGTGTAAAATTGTATTCTCTTTTGTTCAAAATCAGCTTTTTTAAGTGCAAAAAGATCCTGAATCATGAGCAGATCAAAGATCTTTTTTTGTCTTTCGAACGTGTTATCAGAAAATCCGCTTTCAGTGATGACTTTTCGCTTTCAGTGAGTTTTCAGTGATGACTTTTCGGAAAGAGTTTAGTTTACTGATAAACATTTTGCTTTTCAACAACATTTAAAGAACTTTTTTATGATTTTTCAGTGAAACCAAAGAAACTTAACGTTTTGGATTAGAAATTGGATTGTTGAATTGGAATTGGATTGAAATGGAAAACGTATTGGATTAGAAAAGCGTTTTCTTATGGCTTTTTGTTTTAGTGTCAAAATTTACTAACATTTTTATTTTATAAATAAATTTTCATCAATAACTTTTTTGAAATTAATGTTTTAGATGAAAATAGTTGTGCTAACGGTGCTGGGAGGAATTCTGATTGAAGCTCAAAATGAAAAAGCAAAAGAGAGATTGACTGCTCGTTGGCCGGTTGATTCATTTGCAACAAAAAGTCAATCTTTTCTTGATTTTATTTGAATAGTTGTTTTTACAAAAATTTCAGTGAATCGTCAGTTAATACTTGGAAAGAGTTTGAGAAGAGAACTGGCTCCAATCGACTTTGCTGCCAAGCATGAAGTTCGTTTTGTTCTTTGAAAGTGACTGAATTGGGAAAATTCAAGTAGCAAATGAAAGTTTGAAAACCTTACGTTATCAACAAGTTTAAGTATGTATGTTTTCAATTTCCAGTTCTCAAATTCCTTTCAAATCGATTCTTGTGATCCGGGGTGGACAGGGCCGAGCTGCGAAAATCGTATGATTTTTGAAGGATTAGTTTGAGTACTAAGTTGAATACTAAATTCAATTTCAAACTGAGTACTCAACCAAATAATTGGAGTGATCACAAAATGACAAACCATTGCAAGAATCCTTTTTCTAGCCATTTGCTCAAACATGACAACACCTTTTAAAACACATGATGGACAGACAGAGTTGGGTGACATGATCGAGTGGCAAAATGGAGACTTTTGCAAAGAAAGGTTCTGTCAGTAGCTTTGATTAAACTTATTGTAAACGAGAATTGGCTTTTTCTTTCGTTAATTACATAAGTCGTTACTCTTGTATAAGTCAGGCTTAGGCTTAGGCTTAGGCTTGGGATCAGGCTCAGGCTTAGGCTTAGGTTAAGGCAAACACTTAGCGTAGCTCAATGCGGTTTAGTTCGCTTTAGTTACAACTTCCCGGTCGATTCAACATTAATCGGAGATCTTTACATCACGGTCTTCCAGTTCGATTTCGGATGTTTAGATATTGGAGGCTGCTATCCGGACTCAAAGCTGTTCGATCCAAAAAGTGAGCTTCATTCATAGTTGTTCCCAAAAGCCTTAAGCCATGGCTAACCAGAAAATGCCGATGGTCTTACTAGGGAATGGCAAACACTTACCGTAGCTTTTTGAAACGAGACCAAAGCCATTTTATAGAATCGGAGTTCGAATCTGCTTTTAGTTCGAATCAAGGCAAAAAATCTCGTATCGATGGCACTATCCCCTCAACCACACAGTCACATTTTAAGGAATAGAGATCAAAAATGCAATCAAAACTTGTAAGCTAATCTCTTGCGTTACAGGCCTCAAGGGGAAAAAAGTAAAAGAGGATTCGAACTCAGCATAGCCGATTCTATAAGATGGATTTGATCTCGTTCCAAAAAGCTACGACAAATGCTTGCCTTTCCCTAGTAAAGCCATGCAAGGCAAGCCAGGCCTTGTCTGATCTGAAAAGTTGACCCCAATAACAACCTGGTTTCATCATTTATCTCAATTTTTTTTGTTGTTCAGTGAAAAGAATCACTCCGTGTAAATATGTGGAACAAGGTCCATACGAGAGTGTGGCAAAGTATTGTGATGTGGTGAAGAATTCTGGAGAAGGACTCTACACGATGCAAATTACAGCAATGGGCGGAGGGTTAGAGCAGTGTTTTTTGTTGAGGAGTGCTCAAATTTCTCAGTTCTTGCCAAATCGTAGTCAATGCTCCGACAACTCTCGTTCTCGATGGCGGATTTGTGATGTTTCCTCAAGATGATGTCGTTCAGGCACAATCTCCTCTCGAACTCAACGATGGAATATGGGAGTGGGTTTTTTTTGGAAAATCCTTTACATTTAAAAAAGCTAGCATTTGGAAAATTACATACCGTATTTCTTCGAATAGTATGTTGGAGAAGGTCGGCGCCGAAAATCAAAAAATGTAACTCGCGGGTAACTTGGGAAGGTTCCCTAGTTAGTCGGTTCTATCACTTCTCCTTGGGCGTCTAGCTGGAGTACTTTCCTTGTTCGTAGTTCCGAGCTCAGAACTTGGAGCACAATCAAGTGAGATGCTATTCAAGGTAAAGCATTATTCGTGAGTCATTTACTTTAATAAAGCTTTCAAAAATGGTTATTCCTCTTGTTCTATGCAGATTTCAAAGTTGCTAAGCAAAAACGATTCTGGTATTAGATTTTTTTTGTAGAAACGCTACAGTCGGAGTTGCGTCGCATTTCGCGTTTCAAATGTCTCTTGACAAGGCTCCAGTGCAGCCACAGGTTTTTCAGTTGATGTCAACAAGATTTTCCATATTTTTCAGTCGATCGAGATCTATCAAATCCAAGATCTTATTTATACTTCTAACTTGACGGAAAGGTGAACAAAAATCAGTAACAAATCGCTTTCAAACTCCTCTAGATATCGATGTGCAACGCCGCACATGTCTATTGAGCCTTTCAAATGCCCGCCGAACGATTTCGCTGATTGGATTTACATGTTAAAAGCCAAAGGAATTGGCGAAAATGTGAGTAAATATTATTGTATTTAAAGTATCTACTGTATTTGATCTATCTGATTTAGCGCAGTTTCTGACTTGAAAGAAAGTCTTGGAGCCTAGGATCAGCATAAACTTTAAGTTCCATCCTGATTTCGTGAACTCTTCAAAAATAGTCAACTCCTGGCTGAAAATCTCGGCAATATCTAGCCCAATCGGGCCTGTTTTCAATCTTGATATGATCTATCGATTAGTATTGGCAAAAGGAGTCAGTTGAAGACAATCCAACAGTCAGCTGGACACAATCCAACAGTCAGTTCGATAGTTAGACATTTCATCGCTAAGATTTTTAAGTGATTATTTTTGAAAAGGCCACTATATCAGCTTAGATCCAAACTTCGTACAATTCGAATGATTTGATACCCAAATCGTTCAGGGTTATCCATGGCAACGAGTCTACTATTTCTACTGTGACAACCCGACGTTCACCACGGCATTCTTTAACGACGGAACCACTCCTACCCCAGTCACCTATCCGACGTGTGATCCAAGTGTACCAAAAGTTGATCTGATTGTTGCTTTCGACATATCAGCAACTGCCACACTTGAAGCATATCAAGATGTGAGTGTTTGTTTCTCGACAGCTTTTTAAGCTGTTATTTAACCTGTCAGTTAAGCTGTCATTTAAGCTGTCATTTAAGCTGTCATTTTTAAGAGTTTCTCATTGGTTATTGGCTTTTTTTAAAATTTTGGCATAATTTGTGAAATTTGACATGTAAAAGCCATCGACATCGACGTATAAAATCATCAAAAAAGCCTTGACCCGTTCTCTCCCAAATGATTAAAACAAGATTTTTTAGGAAAAATTACTGTTTCAGAAAAAACTTTTTGACAAATAACCTAGCCAATGTGCTTTGATTTTTGAATTAAGCAGCTGTTTCTATTGCGCGCGTTTCATTTTAGCAAAAAAAAGTTTTTTACGAAATCATTTTTGAGTCGCAAAAAAGTTTTGACCCATTGGTTTATTGTTATGAAAACTTTGTTTTTTAAACGTGATTTTGAATTTTCTGAATTAATGAATGAATCCTGAATTAATTTATTATTTTTAGATGGCGTGCAAGAGATATTTGGATACGCCAACAAAGGAGTATACTGCTCGAGCTCGTCAACGATCAAGTGGCAAGTGTCTGTGAATTGTTCTCCGTTTCGCGAAAAACCGTTTCTCAACTTTGCAAACGCCAAAAATTGGAAGAGGAAGTGCACCGACATGCGAAAAAGGCTCGACCATAAAAAATAATAAAAAACGACAACAAGGGAGGATCGTGCATTGATCAGGATGTTCGTGAAGGACTTAAACAGGACGATCTCTGATGGAATCAATGGAATGCTCTGATGGAATGCTTCAGGCGCGCTTTGGAGTTAGCACATTCACGAGAACGAACCCACATGGTGGGTCGCTCGATTTTTTAGCCTGATCGTCAGATCGACCCGAAAATTTGTGTGAATACCAAATCGATAGCGGGAAATCCAAATCCGGTGTTAGTTTTTTAGAAAAATGTCCACCTGCCTTTTTGTGCCTTTTTCGATTGAGTGACATGGCGGAGAGACAAGACGTGGACGGAGAGACAAGACGGATAAAAAAGAGAGACAATCTCTCTTTCGACTCTCGTCCCAGACGGCAGTTTTGTGAAAAAAGACCTCGGTGTGAATGTGTTAATGTAATGGGACAAACAATTAGGAATCGACTCAAATCGGCTCGATTGTTTGCCCTCCGATCACCACGAAAGCTTCTGATAGTTTAGTACACCCAGTAATCTCTTCTCCATAGAACTCTTTTAACTCGCAATTTTCGAAGGGACAGCCATCTTCTGCTCATGAGCTACTAATCAATAAAGTGTTTGGTTTGAGAATCTCAGTTTCCATGTTAACTCTGGTATAGCACCCAGTCGAAAGTTTGAATCTTTCTAATTTGTTAAATGAATGAATGATAAATTTGAATTAAATCACTAGCTTCAAATCAATTTTTCAAATATTTTTTCAAAACAACAAACAAAACAAACAACAACAAAAAACAAAAAACAACAAACAAAAAACAACAATAAAACAAAACAAACAACAAACAACAAAACAAAGAATCCTTAAGAAATAATAATGTTATAAGAAAATAAGATGAAATAAAATGCCTAGGAAAAGAAGGAGGTCAATTCAGAATTGACTAAATTCTAAATTCAGAACTAATTCAGAGAAATAAATTCAACATTTTTTAGCGAGCATATAGAGTCATGGACAAAAGTCTTTTAACGTTGGTTTTTAGAAGTTTATTCTTTGTATATCTTAGTCCAAATCCGATCAATTTGCAAACGGTTAAAACTCTGATAAATTTATACCTAACACTAATCGGAAACTCAGCTATTTTCAAGTTGAATTTTTCGCAAAACGAATATTTACAGGCGTTGGATGCTTTCTTCGATCTTCCCACGGCTGTCCAGTTTGGTCCGACTCGCGTTATTCTTGGCACATACGAACTTGATGTATGCAGAAAGAAATTAAACAGTTTTTAGAGAAACTAAACAGTTATAATAAGGTTTCTCTTTCTTTAAAATACAAAATTTTCGCCTTCAGAGCTACTTTTATGGTCAACACTTTGCGAATATCACAGACTATGGAAGCTATGTGAATCGACTCGTCAATTTGATGTATTCTGGTTACACGGGAAATTACGGCAATAATCTTTCAAGGTTGTTTAAAAAAGGGATCATTTTAAAAAAGGATAGTTTTAAAAAACGTCAATCTTCAGTGTTTATTGGTCAAAAATTTTAAAAACTTTATGCTAATCAAAAAAAATATTGGGTTGGTGAATTGAAAACTGCCGGCTATTGGCATATGTCACAGTTTGGGCACTTTCTTCAAAAGAAACCCATTTTGGTGTCAATGGAAAAATTGTAGAGAATCAAAAATCAAGCTTATACCCAAATTTTCAGAACGATTCAAAAACTGGTTTTCAAGAAATGCCAAATTTAGGAATTTTCACAAAACTTGCATTTTAAGCGAAACTACTAAGTGTATCTTTTTGCAAATTTGGCTATAAGTCTAATTTCTGATTCTCTACAACATTTCCATTGACACCAAAATGGGTTTCTTTTGAACAAAAAGTACTCAAACTGGGACATCTCCAGCCCTCGATTTTTGAGTCTCACACTTGTCCCACACACAAACCAAAATCCTACTACGAAAGAGGAATCCGCAAATTGCCTGTAAAATGGGCAGAAGTGGTCAATAATAATGGAAATTATTTGGAATGAATTGATGGTTTTATGTTGAATAAATTTTAGTTCAAAGTCCCGCAGTTTTTGATTCACCAACCCAATACATTCATTTTTAAAGTTTTATAGGCTCTTCAGTGTTTTGAGCGGCTACGACGAAATACCAGACGGCTTTCGAGCGGATTCACGAAAAATGATTGTCTATTTTAGGTGAGCTTTCAGAAATTAATGTGCTTTTTTTTTTAAACAACGCACCAAGAGCTCGAATAATTTTTAGCACAACTGATTGGTCGTCAGATCCGAGACAGTATGATTCGCTCAAGGAATTGAGATCTCATGGTGTTGAGATCTTTCCGATTGCCTATGGAAGAGGCGGCAATGTGACACAGGCAAAGGTCAGTGCAGCCTGTGGAGACATGTGAAAATATTTTTGCGAAAGTCAAATTCTATTCCTCACGAATTTTGACATGATCTCCAGGTCAGCAAGATTTTGAAAAAAGCTATTAATATTTATTATCTAATATTTAGGTATTTGAATAGCTATTTACCTATTTTTACTTTAAAAAATAGCTATTTACCAAAAAAAGTGCACGGGCCAGGCTGAATATTTTCGCTTTGATCCGACTCAAAGCATTGTATTAGGTGTATGCATGAGTTCTGACAAGAGGATGCCACAAAATGCCCGTAGCAGATTTTGACGCCTTTGAGATGCAAACGCCAATCGGACACAGGGAATCCGATGCTGTATTCAGTTTTTGCCCATATTCAAAAACACACAAGAATAACGTGTCCAAAGTTTGGGTGTCTACTCGGGGAAATCGTGCCGTGGGCTTATAAAGGCTCTTTTAAGATCCGCAAAATGTGGCCAAATGGCGTAGTAGTGAGTGCGTACCCGATTTTCTTTTTGCGTTTTGACCGCAGGTTCAGATCCATTGAGATTCATTGATCTGAGGGTCCGGGTTCGACTCTCAACTGTGACCAAATTCTCAACTTTTTTTGCAAAAAGACCTAACAAAGAGCTG